TATGGTATTAGTCAAGATTTATTGCATATTTATTGTGACAATATGAGTGCAATTAATATTTCCAAGAATCCAGTACAGCACTCTCGAACTAAGCATATTGAAATTCGCTACCATTCCATTAGAAATCTTGTAGAGGAAGGAACTGTCTCATTAGAGTATGTCACAACGGAGAAACAACTTGCTGACATCTTTACTAAACCCCTAGATGCACAAAGGTTTCATTCCTTGCGAAATTCGCTTGGAATTTGTATTGTCTGACCTGTGCAGTTGCATAAACTGTTGCAACAGTCTGTGTCCAGACTTGCAACTTTTAAAAGTTTTATGGACACATCACGCATACTGCATTTTGTTCATCTAGGTTATGCATTAGACATACTGCATGTGATGAGACCTCTTGTGTATTGGATACTATCTGTACTTTCAAATTTTGTGAGGTAGAACTTCATCAATCCCCAAATGATAGCTACAGAGGCTTTAGCTTATTTACTACCCTTCACATTCCTGTCATGGTTGAACACTCTCTTAAGGAAAAGCTGCCGCTCCAAATGAGTGAAAGCTACTCTTGAATTTTCGTAAATTCTATATATATAATGTCAATCAATTGGTCTGTGAATAGTTCGAAGCCTTTTTGAGTTGAGTCAGTAAATCACGTGGCCGAAAGCTCGCTACAGGGCTCAATTAGAAAGCCCAAGGGACTACACATTGCACGACCATTATAAATTTTATATGTGGTCAGTGAATAGTTCGAAGCCTTTTTGAGTCGAGCCGGTAAACCACATGACCGAACACTCACTATACGACTCAATTAGAAAGCCCAGGGGACTACACATTGCACGACTATAACTATCTCGCTATCTTAATTGTTCTGCTTTTCATGAAAAAGCTACCATTGGTAGTGTGTGTATGCTACCTAATAAGAGTGTTTTTGTGCTTGATTTGAGGATACTAAGTTTACTGTTAGTCTCCTTAGTCTATCTCTTGGAGCTTGCTTTTTGTTAAAATTGAAGATAAACCCCATGTTTTTGATAGTCCTAATAGTATCCTATTCACTTGTGGTTATTCACTCATATTCTTTTCTTCTCACGTTTATTTTTTGTCTTAATTATTTGGCTCTGCATGATTAGGCATTTAGTTTCTTATTTAAAAAAAAAAAAAAAAAAAAAAAAAAAAAAAAAAAAACGGGGTGGGTTCGTAATTTTTTGGCGGCAATATATTTCTTCGAAGTAACCTACTGTTCTGAATTTTTTTTCCTTTCGAAGTTTTCTTGAAATGTGTTGGGCTTCATATGTGAAGGTTGAGAGTTGCTGTACCTGAATTTAGTTTTTCATAAATTGCACTCATTGTTGCCAGAATAATATTTGCAATTTCTTCACTATAGTCTTCCTAAATTGTTAAAATACCCATGAGAAGACCAACAGTCATCATTGCATAATCCCTCCTTCACGTTTTGTTTTCTCCCCAAATTTCTGTGCTTCTTCTTCCCTACTGCCTTGCTGTTTCCTCTTCTTCCCTTGCAGCAACTTCTAGAAAATTTCAATCAAATCAAAAAGGGAATTAAGAAAATCATCATGGGAAAACGAAAGAACATCGGCGGTTCATCCTCATCGTCGAAAAGGAGAGCTTCTCGCCCAACGACCACGTCTCGGGCGGACCCACCACCGCCTCGCCGCTCCGGTCGTCGATCTGCCGTTGGGGAGCCATGTGATGCCGTGCCCCTTGCTTTTTGGGAGCCCCCGCTTCTCCTCACGGCCGCCTCCTTCGACAATTTTGGCAATCTGCCACTCGTTTTGGTCCCTAGATTTTCTCCACCGCCGTCGCCGCCAGTCTCGCCGCCGTCACCGTTCATCTATTCTCCACCATCTCCTCCACTGCCACCCTCGCCGGCTGCCCAATCGTCACCACTCACCTGCACCACCGCCACCTCGCCGCTCTCGTCGACGCGTTACTCACCCTGCCTCGCCTTCCGCTACTCGCACCACCGCTGGTCACTCTGCACCGGATCCCGTGGTGCCTATCTCTACTGTCGATGCTTTTAATTCTCGGTTCTTTCTCCGAGCGCATCAAACCCGGTGGCGTCTGTCAAGTGGTTCATGATTTTTTATGCCCACCTACCTAGTGGGGTCTCTGATTTTCGAGGTCGTTTTTACGAAGAAGAAACTCGACTATTTTACTGCCCTTGCTCAGAAAGGGGGAGATTATTCTTGAGGGGGAGTTGACAACGAAGCATCAACAACCCAGGAGGAACCGCATACAGGGGGAGCTGATGCAGCTGCTGGAACTACTACTGAACTGTTGTTGCTCCAACTGTTCCAACAGTTGATGGTACAACAGCTGAAGTTGATACGAATGATGATGAGGAGTTGTTCGTTGATGCTGAATATATTCTGGAGTAGTTTTTTTGTGGTTGTCGAATTGATTTTCTGAGCAACGGCATCTAATAGTCTGCTAGGCTTAACTTTTTTTTCTTGTTTCGTTAACTGCTTTTTCCTTTAACTGTTCTAACAGTTACTCTATTATGCAGTCTAATGTTTTGTCAGGTATTTGATCAAGGGGGAGGACTTGATTAAAATAAATAGATGACAAAGGGGGAGATTGTTAGAATCCGAGAGGATTCTATTTCGGTTTTTCAACACGTGTGCGAAAAACGTGTATAAAAACTAGGGAAGTTTCCTTAGTTCTTTAAACTCTTATTTTGTCATTAATTTATTTAATTGCCTAAGTGTTTTATTAACAAGGAATTTAATTGACTAAGACTTTCCTTGTTTTACACAACTCTCTTTTTCTTACGTGAGATAAAATAACCTAATGGGCTCCACTTTTGTGTAGGGCTCTACTAATCCACCTAAGGAAGTATAAGAAGGGCAGCATCAACGTTATTTTAGGTTGTCCCTTTTATTTGAGAGAAAATTTATTTTCTGCTCTTCACGTTGCTGCTCTTGTGTTTGATCGTAATCGAGAAGAAAAACAGAGTAACAGATTTGCTTCTTTCACGCGAAAAGAAGATCGGTTCTTCGGGAGGAGAACTCAGAAGATCTCGGGAGGAGGTCGACCCGCCGACTGAGGGACTCAGCGTTGAAGGAATTTCAACCGTGCGGATCAAGGGACGTGCTGCAAAGTGAAGATTGTTAATTCAGCGTAGTATACAAGAACGGCGTCGACAAAGAGGGAGTCTTTGCATTTCGATTAAGTCCTATTATTGTATTCGTAAAACTAAAAATTAGTAAATTTCATTTGCAGGTCCCCGTGGATGTAGGGTACAATTGTATCCGAACCACTTTAAAATTTGTGTCTTTTTATTACTGTTCCATTAACTGTTGCAACTCTTCGTAAAACAGTAGAACCGTATTTAAAACTGAATCTGGAATTCATCGGACACAAATATATAATTAATTTGCACGAAATAATTCTAACAGGATTGATTGCACTATGGTTTATTGGATGACCGGTAATCTAGAGCAAATATTACTTCCCCGTGTACTCTAAGTCGAGATCACTTTACACGTTTTTATTTTCAATTGCATCGATTTAAATGTGAAATATAACGTTAGGGTCATATTGGTACAATTTTATAAGTGCAAAGAGTAAATTGATACAATCAAAAGTAACTGAGGGCTAAAGTGATCATGACCAATAGTATAAGGGTAAAAGTGGAAGTTACTAATTAATTTATCATGAACATACACAAATGATCACCGGATCCCACCAAGAGTTGGGTTGGGCTCTAGACCAGTCTTCATTTGGCCCATCACTATTTAAAGGTTATTTTTGTGGGTTGAAATTTTATACGGGCTTTATGTAGCACGAAAACTTCAATTTTTAACGTTTTCGTGTTTTGGATACGTTTTATCGAAACTCGAGGTCACTTACCGCACTCTTTATCTGCCATTTTGTAATTTTTAAAAAGTTAGAAACATATTTGAATAGCAAATTTTTTATTTTTTTTTGTCGTTTCCCTAATTATTTACACGATTTAATAGTCAGTTGCAAATTGATAAAATGATGGTAAAATTTATTTTAAATATGTTTGTATGATATATAAAAAAATTGGGTAAATTACAACCACCTCCATGAGGTATGGTCAATTTACGGAATAACCGCTATTGTTTGGATAATTACATCTACCTCCCTCAATTATGATTTTTTTCTTACAACTCCACCCTTATGGTGTCAAATTCAACATAATCATCTAGATTTCGTGGAATGTGCTCTAGTTTGTACTCGTTTTATGTAAAATACAGTTTTTGATGCACCACAATCTGATATATACAAGCTAAAAAACACATATTATGATCATCTTGCTTCTAAATGTAAAGTTCGAATGGGATAAAACGGGTACAAAAGTGATAATATTCCATTTAATCTCAAAGATTCCACTAAATTTGAAACTGCAAGGGTGGACTTGTAAAAGATTTTATATTTGAGGGGTGGTTGTAATTATCCAAATAGGAGGGGGTTTTATAATTTGACCGTGGTTGTAATTTACCCAAAAAAATATATATATAAACACAAACTTATATATTTATATGGCATATTTATAAAATCAAAAAATTGCTAAAAAAACATATACCTAAGGATTTTTATTTTAAAAACGTACCCAAAAAATTGAATATCCATATTAAATAATTCCTTATATTTAGTTTGAAATATTAAAAATAAAATATGTCAAACAAGAAATTGAAATCGAGAATATCATTACAGAATTGTACATAAATTTAATTAGCATTATTTCAAAATATTAAAACCCTAGTTGAAATCTCTACATTAGCAAACAAATCAAGCCTATTATTTATTTATTTATTAATTAATTGATAAACACAATACGAAATCTTGCTATATTTAATGTTGATAATATTAAAACAATATTCGAATATTATTTTGTAATCTCCACATTAGCAAACAAATCAACCCAATTATTTAGTAATTGGTGATTATAATAAGGCGCAATAATTATTTATTTCCAGAACATTACAATATAATAAAATAAAATATAATAATAATAATAATAACTTTCACTTTTTTCTGGTCATTTTAGAAATTACCACACCAAACTCCAGACAAAGACAAACCTTGGTTTTTTTCTTTTTCTCTTCTTCTTCTTTCCGACCCCATTAATGGAGGGAACTCTTACTTTACAAACTTTCCCCACAGACAAAATAAAAGCTAAAAATTGAAAGCAGACAAACAAATAATTTTACCCAGAGTAAATAGAAATCGGTGTACTGCCTTGAAATTTTCTGGCGCCATTTGTTCGCTGTTAAGCTTTCAAAAAACACACTGGTGAATTGCCAGGGGTTTTAGAAGGAAGAATGGAAGTTGAAGACAGGGAAAGCACCGATTCCGGTTCACTGAGTGGGAACCCGGAGTCCGAGTCGCCGCCGTTGAGTGGTGGTGGTAGTTATGTTGACCTTGACCACGGCGGCGGTGTCGGTGCCGGCGAGGTCGGCGTGCTTCCGGGAGTGATTGAGAAGACTGCGGCGGTGGTCGACTCACCCGCCGTGGGTGTGGGTGGTGGAGTTATTGGTGGCGGCGGAGTCGTTGACGGCGGTGGCGGCGTATTGGGTGGTGGAACTGGAGCGGTTGCCGGTGTTGGTAGTGGGAACGGTGATTCGACGACGGGGAAAAAGAAGAGGGGGAGACCCAGAAAGTATGACGCAGATGGGAACTTAAATCCGGCGTATATAAGATCTCCGACGGCTCAGCAAGCCGGCTTCACGCTGTCAACTCCTCCGTCGTACGAATACTCCTCCGCCTCGAAAAAGGGGCGTGGCCGGTCGTCTGGTTCCGGCAACTGGAATATTCTCGCTTCTTTAGGTCAGTACCTTCAATCTCATTTCTACACCCCTCTTTCATTTTCAGATTTCAGATTTGAATATTTCCTCATCGGATTTCATATTTAATTTAAAAAAAATAAAATTGGTGGGTGTTAGCTGGAAGAAGATCTGAGTTTGACCATGGTCAACTCTGGGTTATGAACTACAGATTTCTTACATGATTTATCTGTCACCACCACCGCAGGTGAATTGTTTGCAAACACAGCAGGAGGGGATTTCACACCACACGTGGTCACTGTACATACAGGAGAGGTTTGTCTTCTCAGATCTAATTGAAGCACGTTTTCTTCATGTACAGTTTTTGGTTTATAAACACATGTTGTAATGAGTTTGAGTTGCTACCGCAGGATGTTGCCGGTAAGATACTTACGTTTGCTCAAAAGGGTCATCGAGGAATTTGTGTTCTTTCCGCCAATGGATCCGTTTCCAATGTCACACTTCGACAGCCTGGTTCGTCTGGTGGTCTATTAACATACGAGGCACGATCTCTCATCCTCGTATTCAATACATATATAGATCTATTATTGACGGAGTACGAAGTTTACTCGATAGGACATAGTAATTCCTGATGCAAGAATTAGACAATAATATATATCGAAGAGTGTTATGAGGTTTTTTTTTTTTTTTTTTTTTTATGGAAAGGGTTGATGCGATGTTTAAGGTATCGATTATCAGTGGCGGATCATTTTAGTACATTTGTCTGATTATAGTGGATTGTGATATGATGCTTCCAGAATATAGTGTTTATGCTGAAACAATTGAAATTATTTGCAGGGGCGTTTTGAGATATTAACACTAACTGGATCGTACACAGTTTCCGATAGTGGTGGAATGAAAAGCCGTGCCGGTGGATTAAGTGTTTCATTGGCTAGCCCAGATGGCCGTGTTATTGGCGGCGGTGTAGCTGGTTTGCTCATGGCCGCTAGTCCAATCCAGGTCAGATAAAATATCTATCGCAATAATTAGATATATATTATATGTATATATATATTATATATGTATAATTTATGCTTCGCGTTGCTAGATTGTGGTTGGGAGCTTTGTGCCAAACGGGATCAAGATCCCGAAAAGAAAGTACAACAACGAGTCAAGAATGGCCAAAATCTCGTTGCAGTGTGCTCCGGCGACAGTCACAGCGGCAACACCAATATCACAGGCGGCACCAGAAATCAACGCGTACCCGATACAGAAAACGCAGTTTGTGGTACAAAACCTAGGGGAAGGGGATAACAGCTTGAGCAATAAGGATATGCCGAATTCTGCATCGACTGATACTGCTGACTGGAACGGGTCCGATAATCAGAGACCGTATCCAGACATTAACTTGTCTTTACCTCTCGAGGAGCATTGAAACCTAGTCGGTTCTTTTTCGGTCTCTCTTGTTTAATTTGCTGATCCGATTAAGATGAATTTTCTTGCAGCTTTAACTTTTTAGGTCTTTGTTAAGGATTTTTAACTGTTGGTGTTAACACATGTTTTAGATTTGGTTTAGCAAACTTGTGATGAGGTGGTTTTATATATCCAGTGCAGTTTCAGTTCTTTTTTTTCTTGATGATATCTACATTACCTCCACCATGTGTTTGAATTGCTGAGTGAGATGTAGGGAAATGGTTTCAAATTGTTGAGTCAGGGTCATTTTAGTCACTCCTTAGAATTTATTATATAATGCATATTTATGTCACTTATTTTTAGTACTAAAGATATGAATACTTTCACAGGTAAATTACCTCCAGCCTTATGAGATAAGTTCAAATTACGAAAAAAAACGCCTCTTGCTCGAGTAATTTCGCACATTTTCACTCTTCAAGTGTTAAATTCAACATAATCTTTCGATGCACCACAATCTGATATTTAACACAATATCACTCTTCAAGTGTTAAATTCAACACAATCTTTCGAGACACATCTTACAATTATCTTGTTTCAAAATATGGGGATCGATCGTAAGAAGGTGGCTGTAGTTATCCAAATAAGAGGGGCTCTTTTGTAATTTGGATTTACCTAATGAGATGGCCGTAATTTACACAATACTTTCAACGTTTATAATTGCATTCTAATTTTCATATTTTCATATATTATTAAGAGATTGATGGAAAAATATGGATGTAAATGAAGAAATAGTTCATCACGAAAGAGCAAAACTTGCATTTTCAGGAACAACAGAAACATTACTTAATAACACTTCAAAGCTTCAAAAAGAGAGAACCATAACCAAGGGGAGCTACACAAATTCATTACATCATAATTGTTTTAAATTCATATTATTCAATACTCATTTCATAGCAAATCCCATCACTCAATAATATTCACTTAGATGAGGAACCTTCAGCAGTTGTTTCTTCTTTCTTGCCATAACGACGAACAACCTTGGAATAGAAGTTCCAATCTGGATGTTCCGGTGTAATCGCAGGCTGTCCAATCTTATGATCTTTAACATAAGACTGAACATCTTCAGCATCCGCTACGCCATTCAGGTATTTTCGAAGCTCTCCATCTGGACCTAAACAATTTTTCGAACGAAAAACAGTTTATTAACCATACAAAAACAGAATCGTATAAGCTGTACTTCGAGATAAATTTAGTTATATCTTACCTAGTAAGGTATCTCCCCTGTCGTGCTTCTTGTACGGTTGAGGGAAAATTGCTGTATTAGGCTGCAAATAAACAAATACTAACATGATTTAACCGATATTCAGATTAAAAATAAAATTAAAGTACGATTTTCTTGACCAGAAAAAGGTACCGGATTGAGGAGGCACGTGTGGGGTTCGTCGTCAATCAAGAGAGTGTTCGAAGCAGAGTATTGTCCCTTTAATGACTTCTTCTCCCACAGGTCTTTCGTCTTCTTCAGAAACAGTGGCTTTTTATTGTTATGGAGGCAGAAATAATCTGATTCCATGCATTCATCTTGATTCTGGTAAAAGAAATTAAATAAAATTACCATTCTCAGAATAAAAATTGTGTAGAGCAGAGTTTATGAAATTTACCCAAACAAACAGGAACTTGTTCCTCATTCCACCAGTGATATTATCCAAAATACCTTCTATATTGTGTCTGATCAGAACCAGAAATGAAGCATAATCAAAACAGAGATAAAATAAATAAAAAATAAAAAATAAATAAAAATAAGGGTTATGGTTTAACTAACTCCATTGCAGAGGACCACAGCGCAACTTCAAATCGTTCGAAGCAGAATTTCAGGAAATCAGTGCAAAATGGCCTCTTAAAAACTGTCTCGCAAAATTGAGATTGGGGAAACAAAATTAGACGGAAAAACAAAATAAACCCTAGATGAAAAATGCAAAGATGGTAACTTTACCCCAGAATTTTCCATAAACGACGTCGGGGCGAAGTCCTCGAACAGTGGACTGATTCTTCAGGTGAACCCTGTGAACCAGTAATCCGCCAAGGCAGAGCACGAGAAGCTTCTTCTTAGGGCCGAGATTCAGTTTATCCAACGAAAGGCCGAGATCAACGTCGTTGCCGGAATCGTAGTCGTCGTCGCCGCTGCTTTCATCGTCGGAGAACACAAGTTTCAATTTTGATTTTTCCGCCATTTTATCACTTGATGTATTGACTGTGAGTGATCGGAGAGTGGTTATAGGTGTGGCATTATATAGAATCGGAAGATCATTTTGAGAGTCTACTGTTTTTCTAGGTCTTTTGGTCTTCCTCTCTGTTGGAATTCCGAATTGATGATAGTACTATGCACGTACCCTTGAAATGACTATTTTACCCTTGATATCTGTTGGAATTCCGAATTATTATAATGTGTACGTACAAAAAATAATTGGCTTGTATTGTATGGATGCGTTACAAAAGTGACAAAACTTCTTGGTTTCTCCGGCTTTTGGATGTAAATATATATATTTTTAATATTTTGATAAGTCGTAGTTAATTATATTTATAGACGTAATTATTATTATTTATAAAACATGACACACAAAATCATATTTTTCTTTTAATACCCATTTTGAAGGGGTTTTTTTTTTTTTTGTTGATTTATTTATTGTTGTTTTTTTAATACCCACTTGAAGATTATTAACATAACCCAGTGGCCCTAATGGGGAGTCATAATATCCAAACGAATCTTTTTATTTTCTTCTTTATGCTTTTACTATTTTCTTTATAATAGTGGGGGTTATTTTCTTTCTTTATGAATAATCAAAAGAAATCGATTGGCTTATTTATACTTTAGGGTATATTACAAACACCCCCCTGAGGTATGGTCGAATTACAAAAACACCCCTCTTGTTTGGATAATTACATCCACCCCCTCAACTCCTCAAATTTAGTGGAATCTTCGAGATTATATGGAATATTATTACTTTTGTACCCGTTTTATCTCATTCAAACTCTACATTATGAAGGGCAAGATCATCATAATATGTGATTTTTAGCTTGTATATATCAGTTTGTTGTGCATCGGAAATTGTATTTTTTACACAAAACGAGTACAAACTAGAGCAGAACACATTTCACGGAATCTAGATGACTATGTTGAATTTGGCACCATAAAGGTAAGAAAAAATCATAGTTGAGGGGGGTAGATGTAATTATCCAAACAAGAGGGGGGTTTTTGTAATTTGACCATACCTCAGGGGGGTGTTTGTAATTTACCCTTAAAAATATAATATTTAAAAAAAAAGTTGTTGACCAAATAAAAATTAAAAACAACTAAAAAATAAATTTGTTACCAAAATGTGTTAAAAAACAAAAATGAATAGCCGTTGGGCCGGGTTCCTCCGCCCAGTAAATATCATTTATTAAGCCCGATAAAGTTAAATGGGCTTTAAAGGAATATTCGGTCAGTTTCCCCTGATAAATGCAAGTCACCGTTCATTGCAATATCCGCCCAACAAATTCACAAACGCCAACAACACACAAACACACACTTCCCCTGTGTTGATTTCTTCTGCATTTCACATTTTTCACCCACAAACAACAATGGCAGCAGCCACCGCAGCAACCGCCACTTTCGCCGTCTCAAAGCTCGTCGCCTCCTCCTCCCCCAAACTCAAGCAGCCGCTATCCTTCCTCTCCACGCGCAGAAATACCAGCTCGCTCTTCTCATCCTCTTTCGCCTCTTCCCCTCTCCGCCGCCCTCAGTCGCTCAGATTCTCCACCGCCCCCAAAATATCCGCCATCATCTCCGTCGGAGACAAGCTCCCCGACGCCACCCTATCCTACCTCGACTCCGCCGACGAGCTCCAGACCGTCTCCGTCGCCGAATTCACCTCCAACAAAAAGACCATCCTCATCGCCGTTCCCGGCGCGTTCACACCCACGTGCTCGCAGAAACACCTCCCAGGGTTTGTGGAGAAGGCAGCGGAGTTTAAGGCCAAGGGCGTCGACGCCATCGCTTGCATCTCCGTCAACGATGCATTCGTGATGAAGGCGTGGAAGGAGAATCTGAAAGTTGGGGATGAGGTTCTGCTGTTGAGCGACGGAAATGGCGATTTCACTAGGGCAATCGGATGCGAGCTGGATTTGAGCGACAAGCCTATTGGCCTTGGAGTTAGGTCGAGGAGGTACGCGATCTACGCCGAAGATGGAGTTGTGAAAACCTTGAATCTGGAGGAAGGCGGCGCTTTCAATGTTAGCAGCGCCGAGGATTTGCTCAAGGCCATCTAAGAAGTATTTAATTCTATCTCTTTTTTCCCCCTTTCTGTTAATTCACTTTTGAAATTGAGGGATCTGCTCATGTGTTGGTTGTTGTTTTTTTTTTTCCCTTGATTTATTTTCATATGCTTTGAAATAAAATCGGCAGATTAGATATGATAATTAGTGGTTTGATTTGTTATTTCTTAATCATTTCGAACATTGAGTTAACACAAAATTGGGATGATTTGTTATACTTTGAAGAGTGGCCAATAGGTTATCAAGCTGACTCGAACTTATGGAGAATGTGCAGTTTGCTTCTCGATAATGTTGTAGTGAGTGAGGTGATCTGCATTTCGTATTGGTAACTAAGTAATTACCTCGTGGTTTTGTGCTAATTCGATCATGTTAATTTTCTTGTGCGTGAGATGTTGGATAATAAATATGAACTACAAAGTACGTGTTTGTTGAGTACGATTTTAACTTCTTGTTCGGCCAATGTAGTTGAAGAGTATTTGTCTTGCGACTTCTTTATCGAGGTTTTTGACGTCTATGAAGAAAAATTCACAGTAAACCTTTGCACTGCATTTGGTGTTGTATATATGTATGTATGTATGTATGTATGTCAATCCCATGCTTTCATGTACAATTACGCGTTTGCCACTTGCCCACTAATCACCATAGGTTCCCCTAAACATTTTAACGTGTCGCGAGTTTTATTTATGCATAAACTTTTGCAAGTTTTACCTAATACGATTGAAGCTCATTTTATTTTTATTGCAGCTGTTGAGAATCGAAGAGGAACTCGGTTCAAAAGTAGGATATGCAGGAGCCATCTTCCGTGCATCCGTTGAACCTTCGTGTTTTTGAATAATGTAGTACTTTGTTTTCGTTTAACAAGGCTGAGCATGTTAAGCTCGTTTTTGTACTGATGATTTGCCTCTCAAAAGTTGAACCTGTTAGTGATATTATTGATTGGATTGAGTTTTAGTGATTAGCTTCATTACCTTAATTGATACTGATCATAGGAAACACTTGCATAATACCAAATATTGCCTGTTAAAAGGGTTTGTTGGCAAGGAATTATGCATGGCTAAATTGAATACTTACATGTGCATGCTAATCATGATTAATTAGTAAATCTTTATGCAATCAAGTATTAATTTGCTACAATTTTACTATATCGAACCATCATCATAGGACTTAGGAGTGTAGGTTTCATCCCCTTTTAGGTCATTTTGCCACGAATTAATAAATAATAAAAAAGTTCAATAACTAAAATTCAAAAGTATTGTAGGGAGAATAAATTTTTAGTATTTGAAGTAATACTTTGTACAATTTTAGTTGCTAATATGTAGTCCAAATGTGACATTTAAATTTTAAAGCATTTAGGATTACATGATTAAAAAAAAAATTGAAAGATAATTAACATATTATAAAAAAATAAGAGCAACTAAAAAATTTGCTGGCTATGGGGTTCGAACCCATGCGCACTTATGTGCAGAAGATCTTAAGTCTTCCCCCTTAACCTCTCGGGCAAACCAGCTGTGATGACGGTTTACCTACATTATATTATTTATAGCGTAAATTATATTGATAAATAAAGTTGTTAAATTACAAACCCTAGTGCGCGTTTCATTCGGTCTTCGATAAAAGAAAAAGGTTGAGCTTCTCAGCAGAAGAATTATCAGGCAAGAATGGCGGAACACTTGGCTTCCATATTCGGGACGGAGAAGGACAGGGTTAATTGCCCATTCTACTTCAAGATCGGAGCGTGCCGTCACGGCGACCGGTGCTCGCGTCTCCATACGAAGCCGACGACAAGCCCTACGATTGTGCTTTCCAACATGTACCAGCGTCCTGATATGATTACCCCCGGTGTCGACCCCCAGGGCCAACCCCTTGACCCCAAAAAGATCCAATCCCATTTCGAGGTTTCCCCTCCAATTTATTTTTACCCATTCAATTCATCTATATTGTTTTTTTTTAATAGATTCATTCATGTTTGAGAAGGATGCGATTTCGGTTTTTTTGTTTTATTTTCCAATTATTTTGGAGACTGGAGCTCTGGTAGTTTATTCAATTTTGGGTGGTTTTACTGTTACTTAATTTTAAAACTATTTTAGGTTTAGTTCTTGATTCATTTGCTGTGTAATTTGTGGACAAACCCACAAACATGTCAATTCCTTTCATCGTATTATTTTGACAAAGGAAGATCTGGTGTGGGAACTTTAGTAAAGATTAAAGAAGCTGAAAAGCATGGAAAGCTAACTAAAAAAAAGAAACATTAGTTTAAGAATAATCGAGTATGTCTTTCGGGCCTCGTTTAGTTAAGTCGCATCCTTTATACTGTTTGATCGATTTTTTTGTCTGAAATCCTGTATACTCGTTTTTTCTGAATGTTGTTTGTCGGAAAACAGGATTTCTATGAAGATTTGTTTCAGGAGCTAAGCAAGTATGGTGACATTCAGAACCTGAATATCTGTGATAATTTGGCTGACCACATGGTGGGTAATGTCTATATCCAGTTTAGGGAGGAAGATCAAGCACAAGAAGCTCTTCAGAATCTTACCGGAAGGTCTTACGAGGGTTAGTGCTACTCGTTTGTTTTTTAATAACTATTGTACTCGTAAATTTAGGTTGTAAAGAAATACATTTATGGATGAAGAAGTAGGATTTATGAGGTTGAATCACATAATTCTCTAGAAAATAATATTCGGCTCCATTTGGTTGGAATGATTTGATTTCGAGGAACGTTTGAAATCCATCATCAAATTCCTTTATCCGAACAAGTGGAAGGGATTTGTTATTATGAATTCGAATTCGAAACCCCTCCTCCAAATGCTTCCATCTAAATGATGCATCCCGTTTATACAGTTAAATACATACTGTAGGTTTAGTTTCATGCAGCTACACAGAAATTCATGGTCGATGTAATTTACGTACTGGTAAATTATATGGGATCGTAATAGAATAACCAGTGAAATGTGCTCCGGAGAAAGAGTTAATAATTCTGTGGTGGTATATTTCCGTTTGTCACATTTATGTTTTCGAGGAGGATTACTTGCACTGGTTTTGATAGTGCAAATGTTGAATTTACATAGGGCGTCCAATCATTGCTGATTTCTCCCCGGTGACGGATTTCCGTGAAGCAACCTGTAGGCAGTACGAGGAAAACGTTTGCAACCGAGGTGGATACTGTAACTTCATGCATCTGAAAAAGATAAGCAGGTATCTTTGATTACAACTCTAATTTTTTTTTTTTGTCAATTTGATTTGGTTCGAGTGTTTATTACCATGTCCTCTGTTGGTTGACGCATTATTTTTGTCTGAAGAGAGCTGCGACAACAATTATTCCGAAGGAGTGGACGAAGGTCTGGGCGAAGCAGAAGCAGAAGCAGGAGCCCTAGTCCACGTCATCGAAACCACGAGGAGCGACATGGTGGTGGTTCTGGGAGGAGAGGAGATCACCGCCACCATGATAGAGGCGGTGATAGAGGTGGTGATAGAGTCGGTGACAGAGGCGGTGATCGGGGCGGTGATAGGGGTGGTGATAGGGGTAGAAGGCCTAGAAGCAGAAACCCCGATCGGAGAAGCGGAAGAAGCAGAAGTCCACCTGGCGGAAGGAGAAACAGGAGTCCAGTTAGGGAAAGCAGTGCTGAGAGAAGGGCAAAGATTGAGCAGTGGAATAAGGAAAGGGAGACGGGGCCCGCTGTAGAGAATAATACTAGTAAAAGTGACGACAGCGGAAGCAGGGCTTACCAGCAAAACGATGGCCAATTGAAGGAAAATAGCGCCCCCCGATCACAGCAAGAAGATGGGAATTACGACTTCTGAAAGGCTTTATGGTTTGTTTTCTGTTTTTTTTTTCTTATTCCATTTGTGCCCTTTATGCTGATTTTTGGTTGTTTTTTCCGATTTTCTTTTGGTTAGATATGGAGCACTGTGAGAAAAGGCTTACTGCCCTTTTTCCACTGTGCAGGTGGGAGGTTCTTTCTCACGTGGTCAAAATCTCCATTTATTGACCATTTTCTCCCTTTCTTTTAGAACAGCAGGAAAAAGCTGTAGGCACGTAATTCACATATATATCATTACAACCTAATAAACCCATGCAAGAATTAAGGAAAATAATGTGGTCGTAGCTGATACAAAATATTGGTTGATCAGTAGAAAATATTGAGTGTCTGAATATCGATAGGCCATATTTTCTCGCATTAGACATAAAAATCCGTGTCATATAAGAATATGTATGTACCGGGTATGTTTGCGCTTCTGTACAACCAACCACAGGGTGAGCTGATAAAGGAGGTTTTAGGCGATTATATATTAAATTTGTGTAATTTAATAAAAATTCTCTCTAAGTTTTGCAGGGTCAGGTACTCCTGTCGGGGCGTGCTCTTTTTCATTCAAGTTTATATTGATTTTTCTATACAGGTTTTGCTGTTCTGTTTGCAGAGAAGGACACAACTACTATGACATATGCAAAAACATGTGTTTGGATTGCAGGATTGAGCGACGAATGGCATCTTCTGGTGTTTTGGTTTTATCGATGTTTTACCTGTAGCCTACTATGACTGTTTTGTTAGAACATGTTAATGGTTCTCTTCTTTTTATTGCCCGTGATATTCGCTATATGTACTCGCAACTTTGTTGTTACGTTTTTTGGTTCGGATTTCTGTTAATTTAATGTGGTAATTGAGATGGATTTTCTTGCTATTTCTATGTATCCGACACTCAGTATTATTACCCTCATCCTCATGGCATATTTGTAAAAATTCTTTTATTTCTCTACCATCTATTTTCTATTTTTATTCTTCACTACCTCAAGTAATCTATACCAATGTTATCTTATTTTTGGAATATTTAATATAAATATTTGCATTCTGAAACTTGGCTTTTTTAGATGTGCAATCAATGTTTATATTTGTAAATGTACCGTCATCTCTTATTACATTCTAGCCAATCATACTCCAACGACTTGTACATCGTGCTAGATAAGATAAATTACTAGTTCTATAAAGCGTAAATAACTGCAGACAACACCTACTGAAAATAAGCACAAGCCAGTGATAAATAAAACAAATTTGTTACTGCAGAAGCATTTTATAATGAAATAATTCAAAACAATAGGAAGCTAGCTCCAGAAAATTCCAGAGATAGCATACCACTTGAAACATTCACCGCAGTAATCGCAAAACCTTACATCGGAGAAGACATAAAAAGATAATATCATGCTAAATAGAGTAATAACCAAGTCTGCAACTAGACTTCAAAACCTAACCTCCCTCTTTACACACCATTGAAACACAGATCATTCTCTCAAAATAAACCATGTCAAGTTAGCAAAATAGCAAAAAGCTCTCAAGACTCCAAATTACTTTCCACCGGCGTGCTTAGCTTTTGAGTGGGATTCCAGTGCTTTCTCGGAACCAAATTTCCTGCAGCAAAAGTTATTTTGTTAATAAAATATATTAAAAATAAATGAAATTATTTACATTATAACTTAAAGTTTTATAGTGTGAAGATGTAAGTACTTTTCACAGCTATTGCAGGAATGTGCTGCTGCTGATTTTGGTGTCTGCTGCTTTGGCTTGTTGTTAGCAGGAGTTTTCCCAGCCTGTTTTCCAGGGTGAGGTGTGTCGACATGAGCAGATCCTTTCTTGCCATCTGATTACACAATGAAAGAAAATCCGATTAACAAATTACTACGTTATATAAACTGCAAGAGATCTACTACACCAATCAAAATTCTGCCACGAGTATCGATAGTTATAATTGTGAATATGCTTTGCCTAACAATGTGCATTATGAATTGATCAAACAAATGCCAACAAATGAATACATAACAGAAAGCAATGAGAGAGATTCTTGATAATATAATGTGGAAAGCAGGAAAATCACCAGTTTTCTGTGGAGTTGCTTTTGCCTTTTTGTCCGGAACAGGTGTTTTGGTAGCAGACTCTAAAGGTCTCTTCTTGCTTGTTTCTGCCTGTGAGTACAAAAATTAAAATCATATTAAGCCTAAGTACCCCGTATAATTATGACAATTAGTCCATAGAGGAAGAGAGTGGAACTTGTTGCCCATACCTTCTTTGGAGTCTCTTCGTCAGAAGAGTCATCGGAGTCGTCAGAAGAGTCATCCATATCCGAATCCTGTAACATAACAGAATTAGCTAAAATTCCGGTATTAACAATATGTGTGCATAAACATCATTAGGTACACAATTTTGCTTCTCAAATATAGCTAGTGTTAAAAAAATCGACAGGCGAAATTCCTAAAATCAAACCAAAAAGTGCTACAACCTAAATACTAAAGGCCATAAAACCTGGTTATTTGATCTAACAATAACGTGTACTCAGCTGGATATGAAATTAAATGTAATGAAATGACTCCTCATTACTCTAACTATTGCAATTTGCAAAACTCTCACGTGACATAAGCCTGCAGAGTAGTAAGAACACAGACGAACAACATGAGATAACTTATGTATTTAAAAACTCCAAGCTAGCTAGAATTATGTTCGTTTCTGTATTCATCAACTATTACTTTTAACACCTACCAAATCTAACTTAAAAAAGCTTCAAGTCAGAAAGAGCATTTTGGCATGTTTATTTTATCATGGTCAATTGTTTCTGCAGTACAAGCACAAATTAGATTGATAGAAGCAAAGATGCTTCTGTACAGAGCAATAATGTAAACAAGAGTGAGATCAATATGATTTAATCTTATTATAAGAAAACTCGCAAAATGTTCGCAACTAGGAAATGGTATAATTATACAAGCCAACATAATATCTCCATATTGATTGTCTGTACGTACCTCAGGGTCATCTGTATCAGATGAGATGTCGTAATCGCTGCTGCTAGTTTCATCATCCTCTTGGGGTTTCACATCTTTATTTGCCTCAACGGTCGTCACTTTTTTCTTACCAGCAATTGACTCCTTCTCTTTGGCAGCAACAGCCTTCTTGGGTTCCTCTGGTTTCGCCGGCTTGGCGTTTGACTCAGGTTTCCCTACAAATTTACAGGCCACATCAATATTCCTTGACAGAATTATTATCTTAAGATTACAAAGATAGAAAAGTACGGGACTAAGTACCATTGTTGGCAATGTTAGATGGGATATCCTCCTCTGAACTCGAATCATCTTCACCTGAAAATAACACACATATTCATACAAGTTATTCAACCAAATAAAAAACATACAGGGCTCCTAGCAGAACTAACTAAAGGAATCAATAGGTGAATAATGATGGATATGAAGAGAAAGATAATCACCAAAGGTTTCTTCCTCGGGTAACTCCGTGGAAGATGAAAAGCAAAGAGAGAGTCAAGGAAGATAATTCATATAAAGTTATTGCTTGTGACCAAAATATTCAAAGAAATTTAAAATTGTGAAAAAATGCATAAAGGATATTCTCTTTCAAAGGGGTTCTCTGCCTTGTATCCATAGAAGTAAACACTTCCGGTTTTCAAGTTGTGAGATAGCTCAAAATCACGGTCAAACACCAAGTCAAATTGCTGTTGAGGCAACTTATCAGGGAACAGAGTTCCAAGGACCAGTTTTTCTCCATCAACATTCAAGAACAAGTACACAGATCCATTTCCTTTCTCCTTTTTCAGTTCACCAAGACAAGCCTACAGGTTCAAATAAAAATAAACATTGTATATTACCTAAAAATAATATGATACGTACATGAAATTGGTACAAAACAAACTCCCCCACCATACCTGAGAAAGATGCACAACCATGCCATCTCCAGGAACCACCTTTAGAGGTTCTCCGCTTTTCACTTCAACTCCTGGGAGAAACAAACTGATATATAAAATCTCCACCAATACACACACACACACACACACACACACACACACACACACACACACACACACACACACACACAACACAACACAACTATCTACCAAAAACATTGACCAATATTTTCAAATACAAATTTAAGCATGAGTGTCCAAACCGAGAAGAGAAAAATAATTACGTGATTCAAAATAGAAACGATATTCAGTGCGATCTATTTACGGTTTCTACAGCAAAAAAAAAAAATAGCGTTCACTGTCAAAGATGATGCAGAGATTAAGATATCAAATGGTGAAAGGCTATCGTCCTCATTCCAGAGTAGACATACATAAAATGAATCGCGATCATTAGCAGATGTTGTAGAGAGAGAAAGCCTTACCCCAAAACTCCATTTCTGTAAGCGAGCGAGAGAGAGAGAGAGAGAGAGAGAGAGCGAAGGCTGAGGTTTAGAGAGAGAGAGCTAGGGTTTTGGAGAATGGGGAGTGTAGTGTAGCTGACAGGGAGCTAGCAAAACGCGCGTTAATATAAAGGAAGGAAGTGCGCTTGATTGGGCTTAGGGTTTAAAATTGAATATACTGTCAAAAGCGTTTGTTTCTGAAACGCGCTTTTCACTTACATTCGCGACTCTGTGGAATCACGACCGTTACATTGAGGCCCAATTGTTTCGAGGCCCAAACAGAATAGCACAAGCAAAATTAGTGATAAATATGCTCGCTCATAATTATTGAAAAAATAATAAAATAAAATAAGTAGTTGGGTTTTTGATTTTCCAGTCTACAAGTGGAGATTTAAATTCATTTTCGTCTAATTTGAAACAATTGACCGAAAATTAATTTCTATATTAACTTAATTATTTTTACTAGATATTAACTTAAATTAATTATATGCATACTCTACAAGTATCCACTTGACATTTTTGGCAATGCAACTAGTTGGGTTTTAATAATAATAAATAAATAAATAAATAATCCAAGTGGATTAAAAACAGCTAAGGGTGGGATTAGAATAGCGAGTCAAGTATCTTTCATTAATTAAACATTCGGCTAATGGTATTATTAAGTATTAATTTATGTATTATAATATCGTAAATTTACTAGTGAAATGATGTTTTACGTGGATTAGGGTATGTCGTTCATTAGCATTAATTAAAAAAATAATAATAATAAGGGTAAATTACAAACACCCCTAGGTATGGTCAATTTACAAAACAACCATTCTTGTTTGGATAATTACATCTACCCCTTATGGTGTCAAATTCAACGTAATCATCTAGATTTTATGTAATGTACTCTAGATTGTACTCACTTTGTGTAAAAATACAGTTTTTGATGCACCACAATCTGATATATACAAGCCAAAAAACACATATTATGATCATATTGCTTCAAAATGTAGAGTTCGAATGGGATAAAACGGGTACAAAAGTGATAGTAGTCCATATAATCTCGAAGATTCCACTAAATTTAAGGACTTGGGTGGTTGTAATTATCCAAACAATAGTAGGTTCCGTCAAATTGTAATTTGACCATACTGAGGGTGGTTGTAATTTACCCTAATAATAAAACTAATAAATAAAAGGTAAAATTAGGTTCGTTTGGGTTCAATTGGGCGAAGGGGAGCGTTACTAAAAGATATCGTTGTCGAAGTAAAAAGAATATTAAGATTGCTCCGTTTAACAAGAGCAGTGGGTCCCACTTTCCGACAATCGCGTAGAGGGAAGGAAAAGGGGGGAACTTTTGCGCAGACTGAATCTGGAAGAAGAAAGAAGAAACTGAAATATCTCTAAAACCTCGAGTGATGGCGGTGCTTCGGGTTGTATGATTTCACGATTTTTTTTTTTTTTTTTTTTATCAATTTGGCGGAGTAATTTCAAATGGAAATTCCTGGTAGACGATCGAATTACAGTTTGTTGAGCCAAACTCCGGACGAGCCACTGTATCATCAGCCGCCGCCGCCGCCGCCTCAACAGTCGAAATACTCCGCTGCAACCGGCGGAGCAGTTGCGCAACAGCCTTACTACTACGAACCCCTATCCGCGGAGAAGAATAAGTTGAAGTCGGAAAGGGCGGCGGCCTTCGATTGGGACGCGATTGATCAGAGAATGATGCAGGCGCAGCCGCAGCAGAGCCGGATCGGAACGGCGGCGTTTCCGAGCTCGTTCGGGTTGCAGAGGCAGTCAAGTGGGAGCAGCTTCGGTGAGAGCTCGATCTCCGGAGATTATTACATACCTTCGCTGTCGAACCCGGAGGTAGGTCTTAGTCATTTAAGTGACGGCGGCGGCGAATTGAGGGTTAAGGCGGCGGAAACGTCTGGTAGAGGCGGCGGAAGCTCGTCTTCTTCTAAAAGCTGGGCACAGCAAACGGAGGAGAGTTACCAGTTGCAGTTGGCTTTGGCTCTTCGTCTTTCCTCAGAAGCTACGTCTGCTGATGACCCTAATTTTTTGTATCCAGTGCCGGATGAATCTTCATCCCTTGCTTCTTCTGCTGCCTCTGCACAGGCCATTTCTCATCGATTCTGGGTAATATATTTTGTTTACACATGGATTGAATGAAATTGAAGTGCCTGAGAAAAGTCTCCATGGATTTTGAGAATTGAGGCTTAAATGCTGATTCTGAAATGAATTAAGACTTGTTACTCCGGTACAAAATTGATTGTTTGTTTATTGCGGAAAGGAACTTGTCAAAATAAAAATCTGTAGTTTCAGTTATGAGTTTAACTTGTAAAAAAGATGATGTGTGAAAAGTTAATACCACCGCCACATTATTTTTCTTATGGGTTTCATTACTTTGCAAGGAATTTTCTGAAAAAAGAAAGAAAGAAAGAATTTAAGATGCATTTAATGTGTGTTTGTTATTAGTAATACAAAGTAGTGAGTTGGTGCAACCTTTCAGAAATGTTGAGTTGTTGACAGCACTACGGATTTGTTACTAAAATCGATCACATTATGATCCAGTGACCAGAATTTTTTTTTACTTGTGTTTTGGATTCTATTCCGATAGTTTTTGCGAGACGGCTTTTGGAAAAAAAAAAAAAGGATATTTGGCTTTAAATTATTCCGATAGTTTTTGCGAGACGGCTTTTGGAAAAACAAAATGAGGATATTTGGCTTTAAATTATTCCGATAGTTTTTGCGTGACGGCTTTTGGAAAAACCAAATAAGGATATTTGGCTTTAAATGGTAAGATACGATCTATGATAATGGATTACAAAATGAATTTTATACAATCTTGCAGCACGTAAAAGTTTCCGAGTCTGCTGTTAACTGTATGAGTTGAAAAATATCCATGTGCTTCATTAGATTTATAAATCTGTTCTTCAGGTAAATGGCTGCTTATCATACTACGACAAAATTCCTGACGGGTTTTACTCCATTCATGGGATGGATCCATATATATGGGCTGTGTGCTCTGACCTTCAGGAAACTGGTCGAATTCCATCCCTTGAATCATTAAAGACCGTTGATCCTGCCACTCTGTCTTCAGTTGAAGTGATTTCCATAGATCGACGAAATGACCCCAACTTGAGAGAGCTGCAAAATTGGATACATACTGTGTCATCCAGTAGCATCACCACCAAGGAAGTTGTTGACCAGCTCGCAAAGCTAGTTTGCAATAATATGGGGTGAGCACTCTGAAGCTCCTAGTTTAAGTATTCCAGCAAACTCTTCTTGTTGTAACTAGGTTTCTTGTCTTTCCAAGGCGCGCAGCTTCTAGTGGGGAAGATGACTTAATTGCCATCTGGAAAGAATGCAGTGAAGACTTAAAAGATAGCTTGGGCTCTGTTGTGCTCCCTATTGGCAGTCTGTCTGTTGGACTATGCAGACACCGTGTGTTGCTATTTAAAGTATGCTCCCTTTTCTATGAATTATTTATCCTCGTATAGTTTCAAAGCATAATCTCTTGGTTCTGACCTGCCGTTGACCTTAGATCTATCAAATATACAATGTTGGCCTATTTTCTTACGTCACTTGTTTTGTTTGATCATGCCACAAGCAGATAAATGACTTTCTTTTTGCCTATAAGTACTAATATGTGTACCTCTCCACACTTATATTATTTTTGTAAAACAAAGAAAACCTTCTTCTGTTTTCATTTTTTGAAGACTACGCTACGCTATCTTATTTATTTATCTCGTTCTCTTCGTTGTAAAATATAAAAGATAAATAGAAATGATACAACATAATCCAGAAGAACATAAAAGATGGCGATGAAGATTAAAGGTTGGAGTGTGGTTTGAGAGCTTAGCAATTGCACATTCGAGATTGATAAATAGCAATGGAACCTCACCAATCTACCCTACTGTCTAGAACCTAAACCCTTTTATTAAGGCAGGAAATCCTGCCTCAATAAAAAAATTATGTACTTTCACATTTGACTCCTGTTTCTGTAATGTTGTCGGAAAAGAGTAAAGGGAAACAACTTAGTTGACAAATAATTCCCTTGTTATTTTGTTTTGGTTTTCACATCATGTTTTGTATGCAGATTATATTTCTTCCTTTTTTTCTCATTTGTTATGTATCTTTCTTATTTGACATGGTATACTACAAGAATAATTTTCTTTTGCTTTAAGATATACTAATGGAGAACTGGTTTCCCTAAAGAACTTAACACATCAAGATCTTGGCAGGTTTTAGCCGACTTTATTGGCTTACCATGTCGAATTGCCAAAGGATGTAAATATTGTACTCGAGAAGATGCTTCCTCTTGTCTTGTTCGGTTTGAGCTTGACAGGTATATCGTCTTTCTTAAAGTGCTTCTGATATATATGTCTGTGTGCGTGTTCCGTGATAATTCGTGAAGCTAATATCTTAATTGGGTATAGATAATGTGTGAACACTATATTGATCTTCTTTTTACACAATGTTTTTATATGCAATCCGTCCGGTATGTGATAGTACTACAGTGGTGGATAATGGTGTTGAGGGGAGTTACGTTTCAACTGTCAGGGTCTATATTTTGTCAGTGTTGTTATGTTCTTTGTTCAGTTTGTAGTTCGATGGTGATTGGTGAATAATAATGTTTCTCTTGAGTCCGGCTCTCATTTTTTTCTCATTCCTATTCGAGCTACTTTAACTTGTGGGCCTCTCTGTGTTTCAGCTTTTTCACTGCTACAACTTAATAACAAGTGTGGTACATCTATGCTTGTTGGGATTATATATTGAGATGCATACAATTGGCAAACTAATCCATGCTGGTATGGCATTACAGGGAATTTCTTATCGATCTGGTTGAGAAACCAGGATGTTTATCTGAACCTGATTCTTTGCCGAATGGCCCGTCTACAATCTCAATTTCTTCTCCATTGCGTTTTCCACGATTCAAGCAGATGGAGCCTGCAATTGACTTCAGGCTGTTGGCAAAACAGTATTTCATGGATTTTCAATCACTTAACATCACATTTGATGAATCTTTAGCAGGTAATTATCTTATCTGTACATTTGAGTGAATCTCTCCAGCTTTCCTTTGCTGATCCAATTTCAGAAGTTCTCACATGATTCACCAATGTGATAATATGCAACACTTCAAGAACAAAAGTATTTTTATAATTAAATTATTGATGTCCGAGATTTATTCATCAACTCAAGGGTATCTTAGCATAAAGTAACAAGCACATAACAAATACAACCAGAAGATATCATCATTTAAAAAGATGATGACAAAATCTGGCAGAACGGCAGAAGCTTATAGAAATGAAAGAATCCCTTACCAATTTATGCACATCACTGACTAAATTGGGTTAATCGTCATCTTGTATAAGAAAATAATCCTTGAAAGGTTAGGAAAGGAGGGATAAACGACAGAAAAAACAAGAAAATCTGCCAGTCTACTCTAAACTTATTCTAGACTCTTTTTTCACCATTTTTTTTGTTGTACTTAATTTGGGCATTCTTTTCTGTACTCTTAGTTGATACTCCTTGTAAATATGTAATTTCAGCGTATTAACTATGTTGTAATTTCAGTTGCTTAAAATGTATCTAATTCACTTCTCAATTTCTTTTATAACTAAGCCTGTGCGTTTCATTGGCTTGAAATTTTGTTACATGTGACAGCTGGAACTGTTGATGGAGATACGGATGAGTCCATGTTTCCTAAACAAGCGGACATGACTTATGAAGATAGAACTAGCTACCCTCCCGGATCAGGCAATCGAGAAGAAGTTTCCAGTATACCACCTTTACCCACAAATTCCTGGATTAATGTTGATGGTAAAGAATTACTGCTTCAAAAATTATCTAATCACCTGAGTGTTGTGAACTCCACAGATATGGTCAAAGGCTCAGTACCTTTAAAGCTTCTTCCTCCAATGGGGCATAAAGCTGTTCAGCCACTTGTTGTGCAGTCTGATCCAAGAGGAAATACAACTAAAGATATGAGGTTTGGTGAAGGAGGTTTATTAGGCCCATCTAAATCAAGTGGAGAACTGGCCTTTGATGTTGAAGATCTCAACATTCCTTGGAGTGATCTAGTTCTGAAAGAGAGAATTGGGGCAGGTATTTTTATCTGCTTCCTTGAAACATTCATCTTTATAAACTTTAGTTTAATCCTGTCACAGTTTGGAAAAGGTAGCAATTTTGTATTCTTCAAGTGTGCTTAACGATTTGGCTTGACTTTTGCAGGTTCTTTTGGCACAGTTCATCGTGCTGAATGGAATGGCAGTGTAAGAAATCTTATCTGGGCTTCGAATGTTGACGCTACATATATTTGTTTCTTTTTGCCCTTTGAACTCTTTCCGGGAGTTGCTATTTTTGATAATCAATCTGAATCGATTAATTTAGTCACGATCTGAATATTATTAATTATCCTTTATTCTACTATCATGCTTCAATGCCAATAAATTTTAAATCTTGTAAGACCTGACCTCTACCAGGATGTTGCCGTGAAGATTCTTATGGAACAAGATTTTCATGCAGAACGATGCAAGGAATTTTTACGAGAGGTAGCTAATTCTCTATAATCTACTGTAACTTCCCTCTTCTATTGTCTTTTAGCATCATTTTTTTGGTGGCTTAGGTGGCAATCATGAAAAGATTGCGGCATCCGAATATTGTGCTTTTGATGGGTGCTGTGACGCAGCCGCCAAACTTGTCCATAGTAACAGAATATTTATCAAGGTATATATTTTTAGTTTGGAACTTTGGATGTTAATTTTCATAGTTAATCATTGAAAATTCTCTTTCTCCAGTTTTAAGCTCCAAGGGAACCTTCGAGTTCGGATGATAGCACTGTTCTAACCGTTTGTGTTTTCCTTTCTCTCCAGGGGTAGTCTGTATAGACTTTTGCATAAGCAGGGAGAAGTCTTGGATGAGAGGCGTCGATTGAGCATGGCTTATGATGTGGTACTTGTTCAATTTTCTTTTAAGCAGGCCTAATTCCTCTTTATCTCCCCCCCCCCCCCCCCCACACACCCACCTTTTGATGGTTTGGCCTGACTACCTATACTTATTGGTCAGGCAAAAGGGATGAATTATCTTCATAGACGCAATCCTCCAATTGTCCATAGAGACTTGAAGTCTCCTAATCTTTTAGTTGACCGGAAGTATACCGTGAAGGTGAGAAAATGTTTATCTTAAGCATCATATTGCCGCATCTTATATTCTGACTGAATACTGGGGGTAAACATGTTGAGAAAACTGAAGTGACCTTAACGTAAAAGAAATACATATTAAAATATAAAAAGTTGCAAAAGGCAGATGAGACGATAGTGAGGTGAAATATTCTTGAAGCTTTTATTTCTTGTAAGGACTAAGGAGAAGGAAAAAGTCAAAGAGATTTATTCTTGAAGGTTTTATTTCTTGTACAGCGATGATAGATATTTTGAGGAAATAAGCTATGCTACAAATGTTTCTGATTAAAAATGTTATGATTTATTCTCTCTCAAAATCTCCATTGTTCCTTTGCTCCAAACTTCTTGTAAAATAAGCGGTGTAAGTGGTCTTCCTCATAGCATCCTTTCTCTCCTGGATTGCCTCTAGTAGCAATCGTGAGCATCTGCATCTTAATTTCAATTTATTTGAAGCCAGTAGGATATGTAAATGCATTCTAGTCAAATGTGTCATTATTCATATCAAACTTTACACATCGACTAAATTTCTTTGTAATTTTGTTTCTTTGCATAGATCCTTATCTGTGTTATGTCTGCATCAGGTCTGTGATTTTGGCCTTTCCCGTTTAAAAGCAAACACGTTTCTTTCATCCAAGTCTGCTGCTGGAACTGTAAGTTAAATTACTTCCATGCAATAACCTGATAATCTAATACCACCTTTTATTCTAGTTGGGAATTTTTCATTGGATAAAAAATATTTTTTCTATTCATGTAGCCTGAATGGATGGCACCTGAAGTCCTCCGTGATGAACCATCAAATGAAAAATCAGATGTTTACAGTTTTGGTGTGATTTTGTGGGAGCTGGCGACCTTGCAGCAACCGTGGTTTAACTTGAATCCCGCTCAGGTCGGTGATTTGGCTTTATTGTTGAATTGTTTGTAGTTAAATTGAAGGACTTAACATTATTTCTGTAACTTTAGGTTGTAGCTGCTGTTGGTTTTAAAGGAAAAAGGCTCGACATTCCAAACGACATGAATCCTCAAGTTGCAGCTATAATTATAGCCTGCTGGGCAAAGTAAGCTAAATATCTAGTTTCGCATAATGTTTTAAGAGGATTTTTTTTTTTTTGTGTCGTAACTTAGTTAATAAAACTGCAGCGAGCCCTGGAAACGACCCGAAACGACCCTCGTTTTCCAGTATCATGGAATCTTTGAGACCGCTGATTAAATCACCCTCAGCAGCTCAATCGAGTCGTGCTGAAATACATTCTCTGACGTGACAAACACTTTTGGCAATCGCTGAAGCTCATTTTTTTTGTCTGATGACATTAAGTTCTAATGCTCCAGTTTCTGGCAGGAAGGCCTTTCAGATTAAGGTTTGTCTAACGACTTTATCTTTGTTTCTGAGTAAACTCTATTAGAAATACGACAAACATATTTTCCATTTTATAGCTCTCCCCACAACAATTCAACTCATGCCCTCATCTATGTATCTGTAGGTGTTCCTGTGTGCGCAACCGATGTTGTTCAAGAAGCTACTGTCATTCTTAAGGGATGGTTAGAATTTGCTAAGCCAATTGTTTAGCCCATGTAAAATCAATTGATGCCACAAAATAAGTGTATTCATGTAATAATCAGTTAATACATTCTGTATTTTATGTGCATTGTAGCAAATGGACTTTGATTCATATAATCATTTTTTTATGTTTACATCCTTCACTAATGTAACCAACAGAAAATTACTACAACACTGCAGAAAATTGCGAAAAAATAATGGAACTCAAACAAGTGGAAATCATGTATAATGAAATAAAATTATAACGACACAAGGCATAAAAGAAAAAGGCCTTCGATTCTACTACTCATTAAAAGGATACCCTTCATCCGCCTGCAATGGAATGTCCCAAACATCTGAAAAACGACCTAATTCGGGCACGGAGTAATTACCGACATCACTCCAAAACTCATTAGTGGAACTACCAATACCAGCACCAGATTCAAAACCCTTGCTCCAAATTGCATCCTCCACTTCAGTCATACTTGCAGCAGCTGCCTTCTCCTTCGCCACGTCATCAGGGAACGAGATGAAATACTCGGGCATGGATTCTGGCAAGGGACCCAAAACAGCCTTTCCTTTAAGATAATGATCTTGAGCAAAATCCTCAACCTCAAACGACACATCTTTTGTACCAGATACTTTGTTCTCTCCTATTGGTTCACTACCCTGGTGTTTCACAAATTTTCGCATTGTTTTGGGGGTGGTAATGGATTTCTGCCCCCTCGTTTGCCCAATACGAGATAATAAAGACGGGTTCTTGAAAATTTTGCCCAGGAATGAAACCATCTGCTTCTGCCTCTTCTCGGCTGTGTGGAGCTTTTCGTTGACAGTTTCCATACGCTCAACAGTGCCTCTTTGCTGGTGCTGCAATTCGATTACCTCACGCATCATTGAACTTCTCTCTCTCCTCAAACGTTCGATTTCGCCTTCCAATGCAGCTGCTTTGCCTTCCTCGCCAGAAGAGCTTCCGATCTGCTGCTGTGGCTGAGATGATTTTCGCCTTTGGATATTTTTCAACAGATGCCTCTGCCCTCTTACGAAACCTTCACTTGCAAACTCCCACTTGTCTGTATCTATTTTACGAAATCCCTGTATATAATTTAAAAAAAAATGCACTCAAATTACTCAGATGAATAAACGAGATTTCTCACGAGAAGCACACGAACAACTTGACGATCAAAGTTAGCAACAAAGTATAAACAAATTGGATCAGTACAGTTATACATTCGAATACGAGTCCATGTAAGAAATCAGTTATCGACATAAGCAAATGTTCAAATAAAAGATTGAAACCTACCTGTCAAGGTACGTACGGACTTTCAGTTCCGCTAGTTGTTCGGAAGAGGAGGTGGTGGTGGTTCATAATTGTGATGTAGATAATAGTAACTTCTCACCGTTAAACTAAAACTAATAAAAATAAGTCCGATCCACCACCACGGTTCAACGGACTTCTGCAACCTCTACAGACAAGATTAAATTCTCAAACGAAATATCATTAATGCCCGATATATTTATTTACACACGATGAACATCAAATTCGTGAATCGTGTCGGAACCACTACATCAAGCTCTTCATGAATCTAGGCTACATATATACAACCTCATCAAGAACATTCGTAATCACAAATTACAACAAACAAGTCCTATAAATATACAAAAGACAGATCAAAAAATTACATAGGAGAAATAGCAAAAACAAGAACACAAAACAAAAAAAAAACAAAAAGAATCTCAGATAGCAAGCATCCTAGTGGTAAATGAAATCGATACCCACATATGTATTGAGCTGACGAACAAAGCTTGAGAAATTACGGTGCTTGAAATGCCTTGGCAGTATCATCCTCGCAAATTCTATTGGGTCCCACACCACAAAGCTGTTATCTTTTTTACCCCAAGAGATTATGGAATCAAGAGAAGGATCATCCACCAAATCAAATGTCTTGCCCAGAAATGGCGGAATTGGAGTTTCATACAAGGACTCCAACGGGTGGGGCAAAGCCCGTAAACCCTCGGGTTTGGATTCGAATTCGGGTTCAAAGCAACCGAAACCTAAGAAAGGGGAAAACGGCGGCTCGGGAAATGCAGACGCCATTGATGAAGGCAAAGGAAAAGATAATGGAGTATGAATTTTCTGATTATCATCGGAATCCATTATAAAATTTCAGTGGGATTTTTGAAGAAGGCGAAAAATCTTTGACGGTGGCGGATTGAAGTGTGGGGCTGGTATATATAGGTATTGCCGACCGAAGACGCAATCAATAAATACAATGGGTAAGGCGGTGGAAAGTTGTGGTGGTTGCCTCCCACTTTCCTCCACTCCAGTAAACATCATCGCTTCACCAGCTTCTATCTGCTAATTTATTTTCAGGACCAATTAAAAAAATTGAAAAAATATATTTACGAAAAGATGATGAGATATTTTCTAGGGTTTTGAGGAGAGGGTGTTTAGTGTGACAGTTCAGTAGGGCCGCCGTCCGCGCTTTCCTGATACTGTTGGTGGTTTGAATTTGTAGGCGGCGACACCTGAGCCTGTGGTTTTCTCCTCCTCCTCCAGCCAATCAGGTTTTTTTCCTTCAGATATTTTTTATTTTTTGAGGGACCACACGGCAAATACTTTTTCTTCCGAATTAAGTAGTTTTACTGTGCTTTGCTTTATCAACTTGGGAATTTGTCCTCTCTGGTCAACACACACGTGCAAATTGCGTGAGATTTGTTTTATTAAATGCAGCGACTATTTGTAAGACGAAAATTACTTAGGGCAAGACCAAATTAATTTTTTTATTAAATTCAGTATAAAAAGACTATAATAACCTTAATAAAATACAAATAAAATAAAAATTATTTTATTAATTTCCTTTTGCAAGACCAATTTAAAAAAGAAAATTAATAAAAAAAGAAAGAAAAAAGAAATTGAATTGAGAATTGAAAAACGAGGAGGGAAGAAGGGAAGAAGAAAACAAAAAAATCAATTGCAGCACTCAATCGTCGCCCCGTCGTCGTCGCCCTGTCGCCGTCGCCGTCGCCGTCGCCGTTGAAGTCCGTTGTTGCCCCAACCCCGCCACAACAATCTCACGAAAAGCAAGTAAGGAAATTACTTTTTGAATTAACTTTTTTTTTGAGAAATAAATGTGATAAACATGATTTTATTGTTAGAATAATGTATTCAAGTCATTTTAGAACATAGTTGATGATTCTAGGGTTCGATTGTAGCACTATTGTTGAAGGAGTTGCGGTTTTAAAAAAAACGACATGTACTTGTCGATTTTTTGGCAAATTTTCGACACACCAGCGTCGAAATATGCGCTTAATATCGACACCATAATGTCGAAAATTTCAATATAATTCGACAGTTAAGGAGTGTCGAATTATGTTGAAATTTTCGACACTACTGTGTCGATATTAAGCGGATATTTCGACCTGTACATGTCGAATTTTTTGTACGTGAAATGAGGTGCGAAAAACGAGAAAAACGATCACAAAGTACAATATTTCTTACCTCTTTGTGTTCTTCGACCTTAGAATCCTCCATATTTATGTCTTGTGTATCCATAATGTCCTTCTTTTCAAGTTTTAGTAAGATTTAAGGGTTTTATGTGATAAGGGTTTTGGAGAATATGGACGATTTTTTTGTGGAAAAAAATGTGTAAAATGAGGGTGAAGAAGAAGATGTTGGTATTTTGTTGGGTGAGTGAGTTCCCTCTCTTTTTTCCTTTTTTTTATTCTTTTTTTTTTTTTGTCTTGCAATAGCAATTAGCTTAATTTAAATTAATAATATCTAAATTATTATTGGGGTTATATTTGTAATTTCCAGTCTTGATCTTAGTAAATTTATTTATATTTTGGTCTTGCATGAAGTAAGGTTTTGCACTTAGTAATTTTCGTCTTGCAAATATCTGCAGCCTTTATTAAAAGGTGTTTTAACTTTTAGTCTTTTGTTTAAGTTTCTCTTGCAATTAGCTCCACAATTCATGCAAAATGTCTTGAATGTCCATTATTACAACTATGAACTATACTTCTTTTTTACTTATAAAAACGCTGATGCTCATAAAGACGTGTTCTAACTGAATAAGTTTTCAATAATATCTATTTACTTTCCTCAAAAACATTTTTTGATATTGTTTATTTCACCAAAGCACATTTTCCATAAACGTATTCTTACGGGCATTTTCAAACATCAATAACTTTATAGTTGGATTCACTGTACGTCACAATATTGTGAAGTTCTGCAAGAGAAACCGACGACGAGATAAGCCTGGAAAACCAAGGAAGAAGAAAGAGTAGGATGAGAAGTTTCGTTAAACTCATGTTGTAGTTCAGAGTCGTTGCATACCATATTTTGAAGGCTCGATTTCTTGTTCATAACAAATTGCATAGTTATTGAAAATTAGTCCTACCCCATATTTAAACCCTTAAATTATAAAAAGTTTGTTCTTTCTTTGTCGGAATTGTACGATGGAATATTATGATTCGACAAATTTGCACGATTTTGAGGAATTGTACAATAAATGACTGTGATTCCTTATTGTGAGAGATATATTCGTTCTTATACATTCAATATCCAATAGAGAGAAAAAAAAGGAAATACAAACTCTTTTAATGAAGAATATTCCAGAATTTTTGGATGGGTCGGGAGTCAACTGTAAGCAAAATTTAAAACGGAAAAAATACAGTTTCTAAAGTATAGTATATGAAAACGAAAAGGAATTTACGAGCTAAAATCTCTTTATTAAAGTGGAGGAATTGGGGAAGTTTCTAAGTCTTTAATAAAACATATATATTTTTTATTATTTATTATTATTATAATTTAAAAAACTTGTAGATTCCCAAGTATTTAATAAAACATATATTTCTTTTATTATTTATTATAATTTAAAAAGAAAAAGGAAAATGGGCTGTAGAAAGGTAGAAGTAGCCCAACCCGCTTTCAATTCAACGTGAGCCAATTATCACATCTCCGCCGGCCCAACCCAGATAACGGTAACGTTCCGCTGCTATAACGGGCCTTGCCCCTTTCCGTCGTCTTTAACCGGGAAATAAGTACATCTCATTAGGCGCGTTGTCCACTGTTCCCAAATCACAATCATCGGAAACCCTATCTCTCGCCACTTTCTCTCTCTACCCCCCCCCCCTTCCCTCTCTCTTATTCCGGCGACTCAAAGTTCGCGAATTGTATTTTTTTTTTAAGGATATTTTTATTTCTTCTTGTACTATTAGAAATTCTTTGTTTGTACATGTACGTTTCAATTCGTTAACAGCTGGAGTTAGGGTTGCTTGTTTTCTGTGATTTTTTTGTAATACTCGTCAATTGAATAGTTTTTGCTACTAATCTTTGTATTGAGTTTTCAGTTATTGTTAATTAGAAAACCAGATATTATTTTTGATTGCTGTAATAGTATAGGGCCGACGATGAACAATTGTAAATTAGGGTTAGGTTTTTCGTGATCTGTGATGGAAATGGAGAGTACGCGTAGAGCATTTGATAGATCTATGTCGAAGGAACCGGGACTCAAGAAACCTAGGCTCATCGAAGATCCCACAGCTCAAGATCGAATCTCCAATGGCCGTGGTGGATTGGTTCAAAGGCCGACCGTTTCGAACTCCGGCATCGGTGCAGGCTCGCGGGTCCAGAGCGGTGACTCTATGCGTGGGCCCTACCAGCACCAGGTAGCTCCGCAGTTGCATCAGGAGCTGGTGACTCAGTACAAGACTGCGTTAGCTGAGCTGACTTTCAACTCAAAGCCAATAATAACGAATTTGACGATTATTGCCGGCGAGAGTTCGCATGCTGCCAAGGCCATTGCAGCCACTATCTGCACCAATATTATTGAGGTGACTCTGATTTTTCACTTTTTATAGTTTTTGCTGGTAGCTTTAGTCCTATTTGATGCTACTCAAATTGTAAAGATGTATAGTTGTAAAATTAGTTGCGGTTATTGTATATTTTGCTTTATGATGGTGTGTCAAGAAGTACCAATTTTTTGCCTTTGGAAGGTTTTGAATTTGCTTTGAAATTCTTCCAATCATACCCATCGATGCATCTTCTATCAGAACTATTGATTTGAAGATATGGAGTGACATTGCCAAAAAGGCTACATGATTAAAATTTGACCAACCGTTGCTCCACTACAGGCAATAAGATTAAAACGTGAAGTGAAGTGGAATCCAATTAATATACAACTAATCGCATCCATCTCTGATGGCAAATATGTGAGGAAGCTCAAATCGAATACTTTACATTGTTGTTACAACTTACACGCTAAGTTGCTGTTGTATTTGGTTATTGAAATAGTTCGAATTGTATTTCTTTGATACTGTGGCCGCTTGGACTCATCAATTGGCGCTGTTTTATGATTCTTTAGTTTTATTATGTCCAGAGTCTGTTCCTTATTTGTTTGAGTGATCAGCAATTTCAGCCTAGAGTAATTTTTATATTCTCTCTTGTAATAGTTGCTTTTTGCCTCTTGTATTAAGGGGTTTCTGCAGCCTCATATGGTAGGAGCTGATCGTATGTATGGTACTATGGATATTCTTACTTGTAGGATTGTTTGTGTTAGTGTGACTGTCTTGTTATATAAGTGCTGCTTGTCTGTGATTGCATTTTTTTCTTATCTATATCATGTGGGTTAAAATACAATGCTTCTTAGATGTTTAGATCTGTCATTGAGATGATTGTTCAAAAGCCAAATACATTGTAATCTCATTCACGATTTGATTAAACCAATGTAAACTGGATGGTGTACGGCTATTAATCGTATTTTTCATCTTTGTGGATTTTTTATTGCATATGTTCCAACTACTGTTCTGGTTTTAAGGATAAATCAGATATTCAAAAGTGGTAAAGAGCTAATTTGGTTTTGATGGTGATAATTATGTCTCTAATTATTGAAGAAAATGTGAAAGAGGTTTTGTATCGACCACATTTCAGCTTTAATCTGGTCAGAATTGTCACTTCAGAATGTTCTGTGGCCCTTTGTCATTGGATAAATTTGGGAACTTCAACAATTGAAATCCGGTTCCTGTTGTACTTTAGCTCCCCTTCTTTTCTGGCTTGTTGTTTTGCACCCATTATTTGTTACAGTCGTTATTTTGGTATCCAAACTTCTATTTGTGGAAATGTTACCTGATCTATGGAATTCATTTACAGGTTCCTAGTGAGCAAAAACTGCCTTCTCTGTATTTATTAGACAGTATTGTGAAGAACATTGGGAAGGATTACATAAGATACTTTGCTTCCAGATTACCTGAGGTTAGATTTTGCGATATCGTTTGTTATTTGGCATTACCCGAGAAACAAAATTGCATCATTAAGTATTCATCACTCCTTGTATATCCTTTCAAGTTTCAATATATACTACTCTATTATCACTCAATTTCATGAGGGATTTAATGGTGACAAAAGTGGGATTCCCTCCAATCGCTAATAATTTATTTCCTGTTAGTTGGGGGAACTGCTTTTTGGGTGATGCCTCATTGTCTTAATTTTTTCATTATTATTCCCATAGGTGACACTTTTGGGTACATTTACCAGGTTTTCTGCAAGGCATACAGGCAGGTTGAACCTGCGATACATCAGGGTATGCGCCACCTTTTTGGAACCTGGAAAGGAGTCTTCCCTCCTCAGACACTTCAGATGATTGAGAACGAGCTTGGATTCACTACTGCGGCAAATGGTTCACCATCAAGAACAACATCTAGGCAGGACTCACAAGCTCAACGTCCTGCTCATAGCATTCATGTAAATCCTAAGTATTTGGAGGCAAGGCGACTGCAGACCACCAGGGTAAGGACATGACAAGCTTTACATAACCATTTTTTACAAATATTATTGGCATTCGCACTAAATGATTATAAATTGTAATTTGTTCTTCTATTATTTTTTTTTTAGTTTTTTGTTTTCATTAGCCTCTTTAAATAAGGTTCACAGTACACTTCACTATGCCTTCTTCCTAATCCGCCCCAATATCTCCAAGTACACACGATTGTGCTTCAGATGTTAGAAGTTAGAACTTAAAATAATAGCGCATTATCGTGAGTTTATCCTTCTGAGTCTTGTATTTTGCCTTTCAAAATTCTAGATCACGAAGATTAATACATAATTTTTTATCCTTGCTTTATGATTTATCAAATAATTAAAGTGATGGTGGCTAATTACACTTTCTATCCAAATTCACTTGTACCGACTTAATCGGTTGCAGGCGAGAGATTCTGTCAGCGATTCTGGTGAAGCGCTGTTGACCTCGCATGAGGATGTTGAAGAACTTGAGAGAGCAGCTAGTATTAGTTCGGGTAGATCATGGGCTGATCCTTATGCTAAGGTACAGGGGGAAAATTTAATCTTTTCACGCATTTTGTACTCAATAGTTGTTAAAGGCTCTAGGTGCACCACAGCACAAATAACTGTGTTCGTGCTTTATTTTCCGTGTCTTTTCTGAGTTACTCAATACTTGCAGCCCATTCAGCATCACCACAGAGATCAAGTAAATGGGCCAGTTCGTGGCAAAAGTTCAAGTGTACCGTATTCAGATTCTGAATATGGTTCCAGTGTATTAGGGCGTCCAGGCTTGGAAACTGGCAGGGTAGTTGAAAATCTTAAAGAGCGAGGATATGACAGGTCTTGGTATGAATCGGGAAGTAATGTGACTGGGATGTCGCATCAGAAGAATGGTTTTGGTCTGAAACGTGGATTTGAAGGCTATGCTGGCCACGAGTCTGCAAATTCCAACTCAGATCTACAGCTTAATCAAAAAATAGTTGGTAGGAACACGGTCGAGATGAGTGAGAACTGGAAGAACTCTGAGGAAGAGGAGTATATGTGGGACGAGATGAACTCTAGATCCACTGTACGCGATGCAGAGGATGCTTCTAAAGATCACTGGGGACCTGATAATCATGTTCAATTGGTAAGTTTTTTTAAGGTTAGGGGAAGCATAGTTGGAGCCTCTGTTACACAGATACGCCTAGGCTGAGAAGTGTCCACGTGTCGGACACGTTTCCGACACGAAACGCCCAAATACGCGTATAATACGCTTGGGGGCCGTGTCAGTAATTATTAAATAATTGGACACGCGTATCCAAAATTGATACGCGTGTCAAAGAAGGAAAAACAAAATTAGCAGCCTTTTTTTAAAAGCCCAAAAGTCAAAAGTCAAAACCTATTTTACCTTTTTAATTATAGGCTGTACCTAGCCGTAAATTTCTTTATTATATTTAATTTGATTGTTTTCTTAATTTTTAGTATGATGTGAAAATGGCTACGACATATGCTAGCTCCTAATCTAGAAATTTTTGCTAATTTAAGGTTGAAAAATGGAAACACTATTTGAATAAATATATATATGTAAATTTTAAATTGTAAAAATAAATATTTTAATAATTTACAAATAGACCCCTATATTTTCAATATTTACACGTATCCCCCACGTTCCCGTGTCCTACTTTTTTTAATTAAAGGTTTCCCGGTGTCCGTGTCCGTGTGTCGCCGTGTTCCCGTTCCCGTATCTATGTAACCTAGGTTGGAGCAATAGCGCAAAGTTTCTTTTATCTCCTTTCTATGGTTGCCATACCATATTTAAAAAGAATTTTCTTTCAAAATTGTTTAGCTGCTGCCTGCACTTCCGTCTGCTATTTTTAGAAATGGCCTTTCCCCTTCTGTTTGTGATTTGTAGTTTAAAAGTTCTTTTAGTCACTTTGTTGTAATGATTGGGTATATTCTCACTCTCAGTCAATGATTAAATTAAGGTGGGCCTTGTGCAGGACTTTCAAAGCCATCTTCGAAGGCCACAGAATGTACATGATATTGGGTCAAGGGACGACGATGAAGCCTCAGCTGATTCAATATCTATGGATTTGGGCCAATTAGCTTCTGGTACTCAAATGCCTTTGTGGTCACGAAAGCTACATCCGACAGAAAGTATGATGCTTTCAGAAGGTGGTAAAAGCGTATCAGGTTACTCTGAGGCATATCCTACGGTGTTGAAAAACTCTCAAACTGCAGTGGGCAGGGCACATTCTCAGTCTCATCTGAGCCCATCTCATATTGGGGGTTCAAGCTTTAAGCTTTCAACAAATCCGGTGCCAGTACCTAAAGTTGCTATAACACAACAGGGGAAGCTTCCTGGAGCAGCACCATCCTTAAAACGATCGGTAATCCCCCAACGGCCTCCATCACCTTCTTTTCCGAATCAACTACTAAACAATTTTGCTGAGCGCAACCAGACCTCTGTTGGCCCTCCGACTGATCCAAGAAGGCCTCTGGGTCAGACTAGCAGACAGAAATTGCAGCCCCAAAGTTTGCGGTCTTCTTCTACTCTGATACCTTCTGTTCAGCAGAGGAAAAACATTCCCTCTGCTCAGAAGAGAAATCTTGAAGTCTCTGAATTAGATATGCCGTCGCAAGTTTCGGGCTCTGAAAGTCGTTCGACGAGGGGGAATTCATCATCAGACCAATCGAATCCTCTTACTGTTCACTCCCCTAGCAAATCTATTAGTAGCATTTCATTGGACGCTGTAGTTAAGAGTGGAATACAAGGTATTGGAAGCAAATTGCTACCTACGGGTTCTAAGAAAAAGGTAGAACATCCATCCTTGCCAACTGGGCTACCTCCCTTATCATTAGCAGGTATTGGCTCAGAACAGACACCGAGTGCAGTTAGTTCCTCCTCTAATCCCTTTTCTAGTCTGTTAAGCTCACTGGTTGCTAAAGGTTTGATATCTTCTTCCAAGTCTGATTCACTGATGGTACCTGTGGACAAAGTTCCCGCAGTTGCAACCTCTAGTTCAAGTCCAGTTTCTTCTGTTCCATTCACTATACCAAAACCTCTTGTCTCTATCACAGATATACCTTCTTCTTCACTTGAGCCTGCTGTAAAGGCTTCTAATGATCTGCTCCAGTCGACAGAAAAAATAAAACAGCTTATTGGTTTTGAATTCAAACCCGATGTAGTTCGTAATTCGCATCCAGATGTGATCAGTGATCTTGTCTCTGACCTTCCACATGAGTGCACCATATGTGGTCTTAGATTTAAACTCCAAGAACGGCTTGGCAGACACATGGAGTGGCATGCGTCGAAGTTTTCTGATTATAATCCTAATAGCAATATGTCAAGAAAGTGGTACGCCAGTGTAGTTGATTGGGTTGCAGGAATTGGTCTCCTTCATCTTCAAGGTAGTCCTTCGGACATGTTAGAAGCTTCAGGTGAAATGTTGGAAACTTGTGAGCAAATGGTCCCTGCCGATGAGAGTCAATGTGCATGTATTTTGTGTGGCGAATTGTTTGAAGACTTCTACAGTCAAGAAAGGGATGAATGGATGTATAAGGCAGCTGTTTACTTGACCATACCATCCTCAGAGTCGGTTGAAAGGATTGCAACTAGTAATGATAGTGCCATTCTAGGTCCTATAGTCCATGCTAATTGCGTATCGAAAGATTCAATTCATGACTTGGGACTCGTTTCTGATGTCAAATTGGTAAGCACTTATTGCTTTCCTTGTTCATTTTTGCAATTGATAAAAAAGTTCTCGTGTGAGGTATATCCTACAATGCTCCAGTGACACAAGTTATTGGTTAAAATACGTTTATTTTGACTTTTAGCTGCGATGAGGTCTAATCTAATACTTTTTAACACCGCTAATAATATCAATTTTTGTTAGCTTTACAAAGAGTAAATATTCTACTACAAAGTACTTGCTGCTAAATTTACTTTGTCTTTCGCAACCTGTTAATATTCATCATTCAAAGAAGGTGATTGGGGGTACTTGACTATCTCTCTTGGTTCATTCTGCAGGAAAATGATGTGTAACAACATTTCAAGGTGAGATTGATCGATATAATGTTGCACGTTATGGTTTCAAAAGACTGAACTGTAATTTTTTATACAATCACTATCCATGAGTGCATCATGGCAGGCAAGTTCGATAGAAATTTTGTATGTTTTATCATTAAGCTCATATTGTATTGCCTTATTAAAAGGGCTGATGTGGCAAAGTGGATCAAACTCCATAAGAACCTCGTGACATACAATTGATACCTCCTGCACTTCGTAGGCTGTTGCCTGTACCTCTCTCTCAGCCTGATGAGGTTCTTTTCGTTCTTCTTGTATCCCAATGGAAGGGGAAAATACATATATACTGGTGACTGACTGATCGTTATTACGCGTCATTTTCTTGTTTGTTTGCTTGCTTTTTAGTATATATTTTATCACCGACTAAATATTTAATTTACGTTCTGTCATTTTTCTTATTACATGTTTGAAGTACACTTTAGCAGCAGCAGCAGTTTAGTTTGTGTTTGACAGTGAGCAACTAAAGATTTCTTGTTTTGCTCGTCTCCTATTCGTAGTTTTTTTTTTTTTATTGTTTTCTTGTAAGCATTTGTGAACATATGTTATGCTTTTATCTTGTATGCTTATCCGTTCAGAAACATCGAAACGAATTTATCAATTTCAGTTCCAACGGCATGAATGCGTGCCGTGCCACGTGGCAGTGGGAGGTTAGTTTCGTGCATAGTTGACCAATCTGTGTAAACGGTAGTAGCTAAGTTAAATAGAAAAGTTCAAACTCTGAAAATTTCTACTGCCATGACACAATTTGCATCATCAAGTAACAAGCAGCAGCAGCCACAGCTGAATGGTGTGAATAGTCAGCCTTTGCCACTTGTTTTTTTGAAGCAATTTAATTCCAGTCAAATGTGACAGATTATTATTATTATCAATCCCAACTTAAATATCTGCTAGTTAAGATTAATGATTAATTAATTGTTAAGGATTAATTAATTAGCCCAAAAAATAAACCTGCACCTCACGATTTTATTGCATATTTTATGTTGATTAGTTCAGATTAAGCGTGAAATCAACAAATTAATCACATCAATGTAGATCAGGTCAACCATTGGCCCAGTCTTCTCACTTCATATCTTTCATACAAGGAAGCTTACTGCAGTTTGCATTTGCTTACTGCAGTTTGCATTTGCCTACATATATAACTAATGACAATAACTGGAGTTTGTTTCTCTTTAATTTCTATCATTCTAAATTTTCGTTGTCCAATTAATCCGAGATGATGAAAAACATGGGAATTTGCTTCAGCGAACAAGCTGTAAAAGTGTCGAATTCTCATTACGCAAACCACGCTTTTAGCTCATCCTCAAACTCGAATCCAACTTCAATCCAACATGCAGTCACATGTACTCACAAAGTCAAGCTCTCGAACGGGAAGCAGTTTTTGATCAATCTCACGTGGTCCAATCCCTTAAACCACGGCTTCTCTATCAGCGTCTCCGATTTTCCAGTTTCCTCATCCAATAAGAACAGCCAAAACTCTGTCATAATCCTTCACAAAGCCCGAGGTACAAAGATGTTAGAGTCTTCCGGTTCAAGGATCGAGGTCTATTGGGATCTCTGTCGTGCCCAATATGATTCCGGGCCCGAACCGATCAACGGGTTCTACATCGTGGTCCTAGTCAACTCGGAGCCGGGACTGATTCTTGGAGACATGGAGAAAGAAATATCGGAGATCAAGAAACGTGTTTCCGATGCACGGCCATCTCGATATATCATAACACTAGTGTCGCGGACGGAGTATTTCTCCGGTAGTAATTGTTCCGTGTACTCGACGAGGGCTAAATTCCGCGACGGGGGCGTTTGTCACGAGATAATGATAAAGTGTAGTTATGCAGAGGAGTTGGAAGGCCAGGTATTGTGTGTGTATATTGATAAGAAGAGAGTGGTGCAGGTGAAGAGATTGGAGTGGAATTTTAGAGGGAATCAGAATATTTTCTTGGATGGAGTGTTGGTTGACTTTATGTGGGATTTGCATGATTGGTTCTTTACCAATAATCCAACTGAATCTTCATCTTCATCTTCATCTTCAGGGAATGGTGTGTTCTTGTTTAGGACAAGGAGTGGATTGGATAGCAGGTTATGGTTGGAGGAGAAGGATTGTTTTCAACAAGAAAAACTTGGATTCTCTTTGCTCTTGATTTGTGCTTGTAATAATCCAGATTGATCTTGTCTTGTGTGTGTATATGTGTGTGTGTTTAATTGCGTTGACTTTTTTGCTATACATAACAAGGGTAAATTACAAATCAACGATAATGTTAAATTACGAAAAATCTCTCGTGTTTGTTTGACTAACTACAATCACCCATCATCTATGAATCTTCTTACACGTCTATCCTCATGATGTCAAATTCAATATAATCTTTTAGATTCTGTAAAATGTTCTATAGTTTGCACTCGTTTTGTGCAAAAATGCAGTTTCTGATGCACCACAATCTGATATTTACAAGCCAAGAGACACATCTTATGATCATTTTGTTACAAAATGTGGAACTCGATTGGATAAGATGTGTACAAACCGGAGAATTTCCACATAATCTAGAAGATTTCACTGAATTTAGCACCGAAAATGTGGACATGTAAGAAAATTCATATTGTAATTATTAAAAAATAATAAATTTTTTCGTAATTTAACCTTACCTCAGGTGGACGTAATTTAAATCATTGATTAATAACACGTCCAACAAATTAAATTGGTCTCAAACACACAATTCAAAACCCCTTATCAAACATGGGCCTCTTCTTGTTCAAATTCATTTCCAAAATCACTACAATAACTGAGGCCCATCCAGTTGGCCCAATATATGGCATACAGACGGGCCAGCCCGACAGTCCAACGGGTCGACCTTTTAGGCGGAGCATAGACGGGCCGGGCAGCCCGTTTGAATAGCACTAGCAAATGAGTACAGTCAGCAATGACTAGACGAACAAAGAGCAGCATGATTTATGACTACGTCACCTGCCACGCCTACCCACTGTTGCACTGTATAAATAATAAAATAACACAATTATTAGGCGATAGCAGATGCATGTTTCAAACTAGTAGACTAAAATAAAAATCAAAAATTATAATTAAAAATTGGTGCTGAATGGAAAGAGGCATCATACTAGAAAACGTGAGAGATGACGAGTTGCAATCCCTATGTTTTATTTCTTTTATTTTTTGTAATAAGATTATTATTATTTGTAATAATAATAATTAATGTGTATTTTTTTTTTTAATAATTACAAATGGTGAGAACTGAGAACTAGGGGCTGCTCAGGTCAAACACACAGCTTAGATCCTAAGCCGTTGTTTCAGCTGCCTTTTTTTCTCTGCCCCACATGATTTTTGTGAAAAGTATTAATATTATTATTATTGTTATTGTTATTATTATTAATAATAATAATAATAATAATAATAATAATAATGTTTAGTATTTTACATAATTACCTTTCCACCTACCAATTGGCATATTCTAGATGGACTCTTCAATGTGAACAAAGGGTAACAACTAACAAACCATACCCTTTAATTTCATATTATTTACTATAATTGCCACAACTAAATGGACTGGGCCAAGTAAGGCCCGTACAAATTGATACTGCCAGAGCGTATAATAGTTAACTGACATTATTGCCCTTCAAAGAAAAATACCATAATAATAATATAAACAAAAGGAAAATTAATGCAAAAGAAGACTTTTCTAGAAACAAAAATATCAAGGAAATGAAAAGTAAACCGATTTTTCTAAAAACTTGCAGGCAGGCCCAAAGTGAGTAATAGGGGTGAAATGGTAAATAAGTGACCAAAAAAGACGGGTTACTTGGAGGAGGGGTCGTGATTATCGATGGGCCAACCTCCTTAACCTTAGTATAAAACCCCTCTACAGATCTCTTCTTCACTCCACCAACTCTCACTTCGTCTATCTCAAAAATTTTCCTTGTTTTCTCCGCTTCTCAGTTCGCATCAAGCATCTGTGACAATGTCTTGCTACAAGGGAAAGTATGCTGGTAAATTTTCTGCCTCCTTCTGCGTGCTTAATTTATCGTTTTTGTGTTTTTAATTGGTGATTTGTTGTTTGATTTTCATGTACTCAGATTAGATCTTGGCGATTTTGGATCTAGATTTGCTCTGCTTTATTTATTTTTTATTTTTTTATTTTCTGATGAATTTTGAGATCTGGATCTTCTTTGTTGATCTTCATTTTATGATCTCGAGAGGCGGATTTCGTGTTTTGATGTCGTAATTTTGTTCACACGTGGAGATTTTGACGGTCTAATCGGTTTAATTTGATCTTTGATTGTAGTTTATCATGTTTTTGGAATATTCTATTTGCGTACGGTTGTTGCTGAGTTCTTCTGTTTAGCTGGCTCTGTTTTTGCTCAGTTCAGATCTTGGTTTGTGCGTGCTTTTTTTACTTGCTTTTTTGGTTAAAAAGGTTACCGTCTTATGTTTAGTGCGTGAGATCTGGTTTATTTTGTTGTGGTATGGAATTTTCAAATGAATTTTGCTTTGATTTTCCAATCCAATCTGTTTAGGTTAGATCCATTCATTTCAGTTTGGATCCATTGTGGATTGAGATTAATTTGTTCGGACACATCTTGTTTATAAAATTGAGACAGAAATATTTTTATTTCAATTAAAACACAGTTTGGAGCAAAGAAATTAGAAATGCTATATGTGGTATGTGAATGAATTTTTATGAGATTACTATATGTGGTTTGACCCGATTGAACTGAATACTTGCTGTCAATGTTTATTTCTTTTATTTATGGAGTTAATGTTCAAAATTTCTTCGAAAGTGGTTCTTTCATCTCGTATATATTTAATTGCTATTGATCCTGCTATTAACCTTTTGCAGATGAGCTTATTGCCAATGCTGCATACATCGGTACCCCTGGAAAGGGTATTCTCGCTGCTGACGAGTCAACTGGCACAATCGGAAAGCGTTTCGAAAGCATTAATGTTGAGAATGTTGAATCAAACAGGAGAGCTCTCCGTGAGCTTCTCTTCACCACCCCCGGTGCCCTTCAGCACCTCAGTGGAGTCATCCTCTTCGAGGAAACTCTATACCAGAAAACCGCCGCAGGTAACTTACAATTAAAGAACTTACATCTTCTTATATATATATATATATATATATATATATATATATATATATATGTATATTAATTAATTTTTCAACTTGCAGGCAAACCCTTTGTTGATGTAATGAAGGAGGGAGGTGTTCTCCCAGGTATCAAGGTTGACAAGGGCACAGTCGAGCTTGCCGGAACCAACGGTGAAACCACCACCCAAGGTTTAGATGGCCTTGCCCAACGCTGCCAGCAGTACTACAAAGCTGGTGCCCGCTTTGCCAAATGGAGAGCTGTTTTGAAAATCGGCCCGAACGAGCCATCACAGCTGGCGATCAACGAGAACGCAAACGGGCTGGCCCGTTACGCAATCATCTGCCAGGAGAACGGTCTGGTGCCCATCGTGGAGCCTGAGATCCTCGTCGACGGGTCCCACGACATCGACAGGTGTGCTGATGTCACCGAGCGTGTTCTTGCTGCTTGCTACAAGGCCCTCAATGACCACCATGTCCTCCTAGAAGGAACCCTATTGAAGCCCAACATGGTGACACCTGGCTCTGACGCCAAGAAGGTTGCACCGGAGGTTATTGCCGAGTACACTGTTCGCGCTTTGCAGCGAACAATGCCACCAGCTGTTCCGGCTGTGGTTTTCTTGTCCGGTGGCCAGAGCGAGGAGGAGGCCTCAGTGAACCTTAATGCAATGAACAAGCTCAAGGCGAAGAAGCCATGGACACTCACTTTCTCATTCGGGCGGGCCCTACAGCAGAGCACCCTCAAGGCTTGGGCTGGAAAGGAAGAGAATGTTGGAAAGGCGCAGGCTGCTTTCCTTACTAGGTGCAAGGCTAACTCCGAGGCGACACTTGGAACTTACAAGGGTAGCAGCTCTTTGAGTGAGGGTGCTTCTGAGAGCCTTCACGTTAAGGACTACAAGTACTAAGTCGAAGTCGTTGCTGTTTTTCTTAGCCCTGCCTTTTTTTTTTTCCGTGTCAATGGGGAGAGAGAGAGAGAAGTAGTAATTGGTGACGGTTTTTGACTAGTTTTCGTATTTTTCTCTTTATATTCCCAAACTTTTTATTAGACTTGCGTGTTTTTTAAATAAGCTTTTGAGGAACTTCGGCACTGTGAAATGGATGTTTGTTGTTGAACAGGCTGTTTTGCTAAATTATGGCTGTTAGTTCTTATTTAAGACTTTGGCCCCCATTGATTGGGTGAGTTTTTCTAATTTGAATTTTCATGATTTGGTGCTATGTGTTTATCGGCCTGTCTGGAAATCTTGTTGTGTGTATTTATTTGTTTTCCTTTTCTTGAAAATATTATTAGTTTGTCTTTCTATTGGCCATGCATGAATACAACTTTCGACTGTCCTTTGTTGGTTTTTGGCGAAGGAGAATAAGTGGAGGAAAATAAAGGTTGTTTCCCGCCAACACGTCTCGGAGCCCCGAGCCCTTCACAGTTCACACTATGTAAACGTCGCTGTATTTCTAAAGCGTTTTTTTTTTTTTTGAGGATAGTATTTCTAAAGCGTTGAATTTTACTTTGACCATCTTTTTTGGCTAATTTTGAATTTTCAAAAAAAATCACATGCTATATTATATACATTTCTGCTAAAAATTAATATTTTTTTTTACTCTCGAATAAATAGTATATTAAATATTTATCCATCAATAATCTCGATTTGTTCCAACACTTGTATCACTAATTTTCCAATCGTCAAGTTGAATTTGTGTATTTGAAATCCAGTACGATTCTAATGGCGGATTCGTCGGGCACGAAATCCAGTACGCGGTCGATTCTACTGGCGGATTCGTCGGGCACGAAATCCATACGCCGCTCGGCAGATGCGCTTCATCAAATGTGTGGAGAATCCGGCGATCTTATTGCGGAGGCGCTTCCGCGGGATGGTTGGGACCTCTTCCGTGATCTTCTTGCCGGGAGGATTTCTTCACGGTCTTTTGTTCGGACACGAGCCGTGTCTTTGGTGGTGGTTTTCGGTCGCCGGCGGCGGGGTGGGGGAATAGATGTAAATCGGAAACGAGTGATGGGCCGTTGGCTAGGGTTTGGGGGGTGGGAAAACCCTAACCCTAGCCGCTCCCATTTCAAACCCCAGCGGCTCCCATTTCTTCTTCTTATCGATTGAAACCTCCGACACACCACCCCAATCCACCGCCGCCGTCGATGCCTCCGCCTCCGAATAATACCTGGTACGATTTCAATGAAATTAACGATCTCGCCAAACTTGGCTCCGTTTACACCGTTGCGGACATGGCGACATTCTCGGAGATTAATGAGAACCCTACTGTGGTTTACGCTCCACAAGGTGAGAGATACTTACTCACAAATTGAATTTCGTTCTTTTTATTTTTGCAAAATGTTTGTTGTTAGAGATTTCTCTCTGTAAATTCCCTGGTTGTAAGTATGCGATAGTTACAGTGATTCTAAATTATGTTTTACCCTAGTTCATTAACTCTACAGAATATTCATTATTAACTAAAATCCATTGTTTTCTATCTCTTTTTGTAGAGGCCGAGGAGGCTGTAGTTGCTTTGCTGAAGGAGCTCTTGGAATTTTGAGGTATGAACACTGATCTTCGCATCTTGCCTTTAATACATACTTGGTTTTGAATGTAATTGTTGCCAACTGATTTGATTTTTAATTTAATTAATTGTTTGCCTATGTTACTTATTTGTTGCTGAAATAGTAGTAATATGTTTGTCGTATCATGTATAGATACAAATTTTGCTAGGCTTAAGAGACTACTAAGATACAAATTATTTTTACTGAAATAGTAGTAAAATTGTTTCACAAATCATGTATAATGCTAAGATTGGCAGGTAATTATTGTGCGTATATCTTTGTTGAGCAAAGTTCTTCTGTTACAAATGAGGTTGCGTCAGCATTTTTTTTTAGTATTCTTATGTCAGATATGACTTTTGAATGCAGTATTACGATGGTGATGTCAAGGATCTTTCTTTGGATTTCACATTTACTGAAAAATCACTTGGAAAACAACATGTAAGATTCATAAACTTAGGCCTTGTTTTGTTGCCAAGATAAGATTATATGATCTAATGAAAACCCAGTGTATTATCGGACCATGGAAGAAGGTCCAATAAATAATCTCCCTAAAAGGCAATATAAAATAATATTTCCGGGTCGACTCGTAAAATTATTGGGTTTGCCAAATTAAACGAGGCCGTAAGGATACACTTTCCTCTTCTTCGTTTCCTCTTTCTGTTTGGTTCCTACTTATCTTTAATTAGTGGAACAAATCTTTCAATTTGATATATATATATATATATATATATATATATATATATGTTTATTCTTTTTTTTTTATTATTATTTAAATTTCAACTCAGTACATATGGCTGAGAATGATGTATATTAATATTGCAGGAAATAATATCAGCAGTATGCCTAAAGACAGTGAGCTGTGTAAAGCAAAACACAGTGAGGCTTGTCGAAAGTACGAGTTGTGAGTAGACAACCAATTTTCTTGATTATTCTGAATCCCGTATATATACTTATTATCTGGTATATCTATCTGTGTACAGTTTAGTAGAGTTCGAAAAACAGCTTATACCGCTCTTTGGAAAACGTGAAAACTGATATACAGTTGTGATATCTCCTTCATGGTTGAAGTTATTTAATTCAAGTGAATTTAATCAGGTATTTTTATTTGGTGCATTTTTCTCGTTATTCATTTTTCTTGTCTGTATTTGTTTATGTATTATGGGCTTTAAGTGTGTTCACTTCTATACTTTCTAGAAATTTGTGGGCAGAGCTCACTACATATAATTCCTGGGAAGACCTCCTTTTATTCGGGTACATACACTAGTAAATATAGGCTAATTAATCATTATTGCAATTCTCCTCAAGTTGACAATCACCTAGTATATATACAATTAAGTTTTTGTTAGTGACTTATATGAAATGTAGCTTAAGTCTTAACAGCCACAGATAAATTGCCAGACTAACCTCAAGGATATGTCATTTTGGGGTGCTAACTTAGAAACATGTATTCATTAGTCATTACAAATATCGATCTTCTGTACAAGATTTCCATTTTGTGAATAATTTTGTAGCTTCGTTTGACAATAGTACTCCTCTTGTTGGAATTCTTTACACTAACATTCGATTAATTTGTCCTTGTGATATGGCAATTACTTCTATATTATACATAATTCTAATTCGTCTGCACTCCCATATGATGGTCGTCAATATTTTTTGTTTGCAGTTAAAATGCATGCAAACTATGAGCGGGAGCTATAAGAAGTTAAAAAAGAGATATGTAAATGGAATTCATTTGTTGCGGTAAGACCACAGCAGTTCTCTAACAGAAAGTTGTATTATGCAGGCTTAATACAAATGTTTTTCTTGTATCCCCCTCTTGTTGAAGTTCTTACAGTTATGTTTTGTTTGTTTGCGCTCTAAGAAATAGGAGATATCCTCTACAAATTAGAATCTTAATCTCTAGAACCATCTACTTCTGTAGATCTAGTCTAGTGTGTTTGAACTTTGATGACGATATTTTACTTGATTTTTTATGGGTGGATTTTGTTTCCCTCCTAGCTCTTCGTGATTACATTTTGGACTTGACCCAAGAGAGTGTTGTATGCTTCTTAAGTTTGTACCAGCTGTGCCCAAGCACCTTCGCTTGGGTTCAAACACCTTCATCCGGTTATTACTATCCATAATCGATCCATGGTTATTCAGGGCCATCAAATTCTTTATTTGTTAGCGATTGAGACATTGACTATTGAGGCCAACGAAGTAGGCCAGTCTTGCCGAATCCAATCTTGGGATATTTTATTGGGTTTTTTTTTTTTTTTTTTTTTTTTTTTATAAATATAAAATCAATGTGACTCTTTTACGTCAGGATTTTTTCTGAGTATTGGAGGAAATTGGATGTCATATTATCGTAGGAGTGAATTCTGAATGCAAAATAGAGAAAATCTTTAGGCATATCCTTGTGAGTGTGAGCTGACTTATGAACTTACAATAAATGTAGGGGTTTTGTGATGTTCCTCTTTGGGCTCCCATCAGCTTCTACATGTTATAATACATTGAAGGTAATATTCGGAAGTCCATACACTGGTCCGTTCTTATCGTCACATAATTTTCTCATGACCTAGCAATATTTTCATTGATTTGATTGTACTTATAATGTGTTGTCATCTAACTAATATTTGGTCCCATGTTATTGATACAGCTTCCAACATACAAACGTGCCTGCACTTTGAGGGCAAAACTTCTATATGCCACTAATGCCAGATTCGAACCTTCTTATTAGTTTGTGACACAACGAGAAGGTATGGGCAAATTATATTTAATGTTGACTGTTTTGTTGTTATATTATGTCATCTCTGAGTCAGTTCTACAGTCTATCACCTAATATCGCTACGAAAATTTTCTCTCTCGATACATTAATGACAAATTTGTCATATTCTGACGCAGAAGTTGAAGGGAGCATAAGGTCTCTGGAATTTTGTTGTATACGCAGAAGTTGAAGGGAGCATAAGGTCTTTGGAATAAAGTAATGGCGGCTCGTGATCATGCAATAGGTGCATCTCCAGTTTTATTTGCTCCCAGATTGTATATACACGTTCCTGAAAGAAACTTTATAAATAATAAAACGGACTTTTGTTGTATATGCAGTGCTGAAAAAATCTGTCAAGTGATCGAACGGACTTTTGTTGTGTAAACGGACTTTTATCTTTTAATTGTAAAGGGACACATTATTCAATTCTTGTGGAATATATTCACATAATTTGGTCGAACGTATAATAAATTTATGCCTGGAACTAGCATTGCTTAATATTGGAGTGGGCCTTGATTGATTGTGATTGGGCCCAAAAAGGTCATGTGTGAAGTCTGTATAAAGACAGCACTGGACCTATTTTTGGGCCTCTGATGAATTAAAGAATCCGGCTGAAATGGGCCTGAACGTTAATCAGCCTGTAATAATTGTTGAATGGACCTGAATTAATTAGTCAATGGGCCTGAAGTAAAAAATTTATGGGCCACGAACGAACCTTACTTAGGCCTGGTTTAATCTGATTTTTGGGCCTGGAATGGATTTTTTAGTCATGTTGGGCTTTTTATCGGCCCAAAATCGTTTTTAGTGGGCCCAGTAAACAAATTTAACGGCCCAATACCGCGTTTTAACGGGCCAACTCTCGCTTTTTCATGGGCAGAGTCAGCGTATGATTGGGCCCAGCCGAGATTTTTATGGGCCCAACGGCGTTTTCCATGGGCCCGATCCAAATTTTTAACGGCCCAGCACAGCGTTTAAATGGGCCAACTATCGTTTTTCGTGGGCTTACTAATGGGCCCTGTCCAAATTTTCAACGGCCCAATATAATCATGGTAATGAATATATATTGGGCCCAGCAAGGCGTCTTAGACCTTTTAATGGGCCCAGAATGCCGTTTTTCATGCGCCATTCAAACATTTTTAACGGCCCAATACAATTTTTAAATGGGCCCAATAGCGTTATTCATAACAAAGAATTGATTGTAGAACTTTGTGGGCTTCGCTTAATTTAGAATGGGGCTCAATGTGCAGTTTCAATTCCTGCGTTAATTTTGATTGGGCGTATTTCGGCCTCGTTTAACACGCAATAGACCATCTTTTTGGGCCGTAATTGATAATTTTTAGGCATTGTTGAAAATCAATTCGGGCCTGGACTATAAATATATTTTGGACCTAGATGTGGCATATTAATGGGCATAATTCTTCAAATTCTTTAAGCTTGAACTAATGGGACTAGAATTGATGATCATATGTTGGGCCTAGTGTAGGATTATTTATAGGCCCCAGTTAATTAAAGAAGTTGTATTAGAGTCCATTTACAAATTCTTTAAGCTTGAACTAACATGTTAAAGCACCTTTTTTTTTACTGGTTTCCAATTTATATTCATTACCATGATTATTTGCATGGCCCCGAAACTCACCTATCCATCTCATTTTCTTCCTACGGAGATGCAATGAAAAGGGCAAGTGTTTTTGCAATTAAAGAACCAGCAGAGCAGGTCTCTCGGGAAAAATGAAACAGCAAAGCAGCTCGTTTCTAACATTTGATGTGCCACCCATCTGAAACTCATCCATACCAAATGTAAGCATAAAATCAAGAACAAAATTATGACCACAGAATAATAATGTAAACTAATAAATGCAAAGAAAATGATATTACATCTTCATTCTTTAGAGTCCGAAATTTAGTTTTAGTTGGGATGGGAATACAAAATCGAAAAAGAGTTGATAATACTAAGATTAGCTAGTTACTTCCTAATTCAAAACTTATATTCTCTGTAAGACACATAAACAATGCACATGAATTCTAGAGACGTATAAGAAAAGGCAACAACTTTACAAGCATTGTCCAAATAGTATTAAGATTAATTTTAGTATGGTTTATTATGATGTCTTTTGTTGCAGTTTTGGTTGAAGAAGTGACCAAACCACTCACAGTCACGAATAGTCGAATACTACTAAATTGATGAACTAACAAACAATGGTTCAGAGGGGCATAATAAGATGACCTTTCTTAATGGATCCTAAATGAGGTGATACATAACGAAATGAGAACTATAATAATTTTTAAATTTCCTTTTCAACCTACCTAATAAATGACATCTTGTATTTTTAATGTAAATGATATCAGTGTCAACATCAACTTTGCCCACGTATACATACAAAATCAGTCAACAAGTTGCAGAACATGCATTTGACTTATATTCCAAATTAATTGCCATCCTAGATCAAATTTGTTTGCAGGAAAAATAATATTAACTAACCTTTCAAAATCTGACTCCTCTACATGGCAATATGTATTCAATCCGTTTTTTAGAAAGGATCACCAGCACAACTGATTACCACCAGAAAAATCGCGACCTGCCGAAGGTAATGGAACAAACTTATGCTCCAAGCTGGACGCAAAGCACCAGCACGTCTCTCTGGGAAAATGAAACAGCAAAACAGCTCTCGCCTATAATGTTTGATCTTCCACCCATCTGAAATGGATCCATAATAAAGTAAGCATAAATAAACTATAGAATAATAACTACAGAATAATGTAAATTAATACATGCAAAGAAAATGGTATTACATCTTAACGCTTTAGAGCCCAAAATTTAGTTTTAGTCCGATGGGAATACAAAATTCAAAAAGAGTTGATAATAATAAGTTAAATGGTTACTACCAAACTAAGAACTTATATTCTGCTGCAAGACATGACATGAATAGCATGGCACGACGCAAGACACGTCACATGCTGTATACGATTGACATGTTCCACCTTCAGTTTTGGTGGCAGTGAATTATTATTGTGTCCAACCCATGGATAAAGACTTGGATTTACTAAGAGTTTATCATTTTTTTAAATGAGTTTTGTAAGCCAAACATCAGAAACAGCAATTTACGAGCCATACATAAGAAACCAAAAATGTACTTTCTAAAAAACAATATGCATAAAAAGTCGTGCAACATCAAACATCTTTTGAAGAATATCTACTTAAGCAGTTCAACAACTCTCAAGTATGTACATTCTCCACCAAATTAGATGAACATTCTCCACTGTTGATTACTATGCAGTTCTTAATATAAGTTTACGATGTCTTGTCTCTATGAGTTTACGATGTCTTCTCTGTATGTGAAAAGGGATCCATAACGTAGGTGAAGCAGTCGAGTTTAGAATGTAAGTGAAGCAGTTAAGTTGGCCAACACAACACATGATAAAAGCCAGAAGCTACAGACTTGAACTAGACCTAAACATTTGTCCTTAATCAACACAAGCAATGTCATGCATACCACAGGCACATATTTATCTACAAATGATTCCTTTGAAATTTGAATAACCTAATTCCAACGAAATGAATCTTTCTCGAAGCAGTATCCTCAATGTAACATAGCACAATGATGGATTTCCGATACAAAGGCACACAAGCCTCAATCTCACAAAACATAATAAGAGAAACCCTAACCAATTGCGAGAAACAATCACAATTCTTGTATCATAACTAACAAAATCTCATACTTCAGAAATAAAATCGAACCAGAAAAAAGATGCAGGTGAATCAACAACTTCAATTCAAGCCAAAATTCATCAATTAAAAGCAACCTCGATCATTTTCAACAGACTAAAAAGTGACAATGAAATTCAATTATACATAAATAAAAAAATCCAAATCAAAACAATAACCGGAAACAAATTAACCTCGATGCGGTCGACTCTAATGGCGGACTCGTCGGGCACGACATCCATACGCCGCTCGCGCTCCTCCTGCTGCAGCTTGAGTGAGATCCCACGGATAGCCCTTCTGGATGTGATTCATCAGATGTGTGGAGAATCCGGCGATCTTGTTGCGGAGGCGCTTCGACGGGATCATTGCGACCGCTTACATGATTTTGTTGCTGGTGCGGAAATCCTCGCAACAAGCGATAGATCACTTGCTGCGAGGATGTCTTCACGAGACGCGATCCATTTACTTGATGGTGGTTTTCGGTGGGCGGTGGCGGTGGCGGTGGCGGTGGCGGTGGGAGTGGCGGTGGCGGTGGCGGTGGCGGTGGCGGTGGGCGGTGCGGTGGCGATGGGCGGTGACGGTGCCGGTGTAGATATTGGAGACGAATGTTGGCTAGGGTTTGGGGTGGGAGGCGAGTGTTGGCTAGGGATTGGCAATTGGTGTGTTTATAATGAAAATGGAAGTTTTGGATTTGGTACCTCTATTATTTCTTTATGTTAAAACGACCCATGAGGTTTCCATTAATACTTTATTGAGCCAATTGCTTTTTTTCTCCATTAATACTTTATTGAGCCAATTGCTTTTTTTTTCCCCTTCTAATTTATTATGAACTTTATTTTATTATCACTTATTTATATTGTAATAAAAAAATTACAAATTTAAAAAAATTGTTTGTAGTTATTTATTATTATTATTGTATGGTTATATGTATATGTTATATAATAAAAATATATAAAATAGCCCACGAGATGGTTTGTGACTTATATAAGAAGTGTTTTAAGCCAAAAACTAAATTCCGTTGCCGGGACTTGAACCCGGGTCTCTCGGGTGAGAGCCGAGTATCCTGACCAACTAGACTACAACGGATTCATGTTCATTTCTTAGATATAACAATTGAGATATCCTAATACAATCTTATGCGTAAGCCAAAGTAACATCAAGAGTGCGGGTAGACTTGTCATATGATATAAGAAATAGTTGGAATTGCCAAATTGGTTAGGACTACAAGTACTAAGTCGAAGTCTTTGCTGTTTTTGTTAGCCCTGCTTTTTTTTTTTTCCCCTTCCGGTTTTTGACTTGTTTTCGTATTTTTATCTTCATATTCCCGAACTTTGTATTAGACTCGTGTATGTGTCTCTATGAAATGGATGTTTGTTGTTGAACAGGCTGTTTTGCTAAATTATGGCTGTTAGTTCTTATTTAAGACTTTGGCCCCCATTGATTGGGTAAGTTGTTCTAATTCGAATTTTCATGATTTGGTACAATGTTGTGTGCATTTGTTTTCCTTCCAATTGGCCATGCACTAATTAATAGGGATCAAAACAACTTTCGACTGTCCTTTGTTGATTGCTTTAAAGGTTTTGTCTCTACTTTCGTCTCTTTTCTTTTTTCTGCCTTGTTTTTTTTTTAATGTAAATTATAATAATTGGATTTTTTGTTACTATTGATTTAAACTATATAAAGTTTGAATTGTTTTCATGAGGGTTCCCAATCCATTGGTTAATGCAATTGACCAGAATAGGAAATAAGGACTAGAATAGTAAGTACGAGTTTCAATAAAACTTTTACATCCCCTTTTTCTCTTTTGGTTTTCAATTCTCATGAACAACATTCATTACTAAGGCCCTCCTCAAGGTTGATTTATTTCCCAAGAAAATAAATAATCCATCAATGAAGGGCAAAAATGTCTATTCATCTTATTCTAACATGGCATTTAGAACAAGCCCACTCAATTCTCGAGTTTGTCTAGGAGTGTAAAAACGAATGAAGTTGAATCAAACGGACCACATGGTTTATTTGTTTTGAACTTTCTTTAGTAAACAACGAGTCGAGCACGAACTGAGTTCAAACGAGCTTTAACTAAGTCGAACAGTTATATAGCTCAAACTCGAGCCAAGCTTCATAACTTTCAAACAAAAAAAATATGTGTTCCAGGTTGATTCGTTATGCATTTTGGTGAAACCCAAGAGCAAAAATCACTTGCGCTTTCATCCGTGTCACAACAATTAACGCCGTCAATGAGAATTGAGATATCGAATCGAGTATCAAATAGTTTTGTCCACACGATCACCTAACTAGCATAACAACTTAATCCAACGCCTAATAATAAAACAAACGCGTAAGATTACATTTTTATCATTAATAGACGTTCTTCATTGCTCCCAAAATATATGTAGCTCAAGCAAATTTTAAGGAAAAATAGAAACCATTCTCTAGCTTACTTTTGCAGTATTGCTTAAAGTAGATGTACGGAATTAAAAAAAATATTAAATATTTTTGATTTAAAGGATAATTTCTTAATCAACAAAATTATTTCTTTATGATTTTTTTATCACCGTTCTCATTTCATGAGGGTATAATTGGGCTAAATTAATTTTGATCTTTACTAAAATTGTAAAAAAAAAAAGGAAAGAAGAATTAAAAAAAAAAAAAAAAAAAAGGAATAGAAGAAAAGAGATATTCCAAAAAAAGAATATCGAGAAGAGTGTGTATATAGGAAAAAGGCCGACAGGCTTAGAAATGTGTCAGCATGTAACGTCAAATCAAACAACTGATTACGCAATATCAGTTTCATGTTTCCAAGTTATCTCAAACTGATGCTGTAATAACTGTGTTTCTGCTTCACTGCTTATTCATCCCTAATTTTACATCTTTTCTTTCTCCTCGGATTAATCAAATGCATGGAACTTAAATTAAAGGAAACTAAAAATGTAATATGACAGTAATAATTTTATGATAAACTACACAAAATATAAAGAATGTCAAAATCTTTACAAATTTTTTTTAAATTAAATAATACAAATATGAAAATTTATAAAAATTACCAAACAGTTGTAAAAATGTAAAAGAGTATAATAAAAGGATAAAACTATAAATTAAAATCCATTTTTTTACAAAATACATCATACTGTTCAATTTATATAGAAATATATTGTTTTTAATTAAACAATAACTAAATGAAATGCTAACAAGACTACTAGAATTTTTAGTTTCCTTATATGAATTTCCTATAAATAATTTTGAATTATTACAAAGCTTTTATATTTTTATAATTATATACATTAAATTATCTATTTAAAAAGCATATACCTTCATAAAGAGAACATAATCTATACAAAGGTCAATTCACCTTAATGAATCAAATGACCAGACAATTTATTTATTCCAATCATATATATATCTTAAACAATCAGTTCCCACATAACTATAGCTACTACAAATCCACAGGATTAATTAATTAATCCCTACAAGAAATATAATATAAACTAACAATAATATATAGAGATATAATTTAGGAAACATTACCACACATGATCAACAGAAAGCTCTATATATACTTAATCAACTTCTTCCATAGCCATCTCCAAAGAAATACCTTAAGCAGGTATCGTTAACTGCGGTACTGTTCGACAACTGCGGTTCGGTACTAATTGCGTCACACGATGAATAGGCTAATAACCCTCCTAATCCTTGATTGCAAACGATGGATTGATTATCAGTATCATCATGATAATACATGCATGACGAGCCGCCTTTCGTCGTCGTATTAATATTCTCCCTTCTAAGTTTCTTCTTGTTGCACTTGATCAAATAATCGTTCACGCTATCCCATTTTTCTCTACACATCGACGCGGACTTCTGTTCGTTTCCAAAACACCCCATTTTCGCCGCTATTTCCTCCCACAGCATCCCGTCCGAATTGCTACCATTAATCCGACATTGTTGAAATCTCGATTCCATTTCATTTCTCAGCTGAATCAGCCTCGTGATTTCCGATTCCGGCCATATAATATTATTACTGTTGTAATTCCCGGAGGGTGAATTATCCGCCCTAGTAAATTCTTTTCGGGTGAATTTGTTGAAAGCATCCATCAAAGCAGCATCACGGGCTTCCATCCAGGCCCGTTCGCCGGCCCAGAATTTGTGCTCCCTTTCGATTCGATCGGAATCTTGTTTCCTCCATTGCTCCTCTCTCATTATCCTTTCTTGATCCTTGTGCTCAATGGTGTTCATCATCTTCTCCATCCAAGCTTCTTGTTTCTCCATCAGCTTCTTCATTTGTGCTTCAATGGACTCCTTGATCTTTGCTTTCAAATCCCTTTTGCCGCCCCTTTTCTTCATCTTCTTATTCTTCCTCGGGTTGTTCGTATCGCTCTCGTCGTCCGAAGAACTCGTGTTTGAATCCGACGAGCAATTCGAGAAGCTGACGTGGCTGGTTTCTGCAGACAGCTTAGGAACCAAACAGGAGGCTTCTTGATAATTACTATTATTAGCTAATGGATAATTGCAGCGATCGTAATTAGTTCCGGAGATAACCGAGGCCGAATAATTATTATTATTATTATTATTATTATTATTATTATAATTATTATTATTACTGGCCGTTTGATCACCGTAGAGAGCTTCGAGTTGTCTGAAGAATCTGTAGTGTTTGCCTTGTCGTTTTCCAGATTTGCCTTCTTTGGTTTTTTTGTAATACTTGTACAAATTCTCAAACTTCTCTCTGCATTTTTTACCGCTCCTCTGATACCCGTGCTCTTCACACATTATCCTGTAATATCAAAAAAAAAAAAATGATCAATTTTTTTTTTAATTAATTACACAGAAAATATATATTAATCGAAACCCTAATTTTTTTTTCTTCTGATCATGTGATAATGATGGTTGATGAATATGTGGAAACTCATGGGGGAATTCTTCGATTCAATAGAAAAGATAAACTCTAAATAGAAAAAAAAATTAATTTTTTTTTTACTGTTCATAAATTCTACAGAAGCTTTGTCTGAAATGATGATGGAAGATGATGACAAAAAGATTGGGTCTTTGTGCCTTAAATAAGACAGTGGGGAATAAGTAATGGAGAAATGAGTCAGACCCTGGTGGGTTTTCTGAAACTGAACTCGGAGCTAATTAAGCTCTTGTCATTTTCTTGGTATTTAATTTTCTTGTTTAATCGAAGAAAAATGAAATATACTTCATTAATTATGTGACCGATGAACAAAGAGTGTGACCTCATCGTACAGACGACTGATGAATTGAATTTATACATGCTAATTATTAATTACTAAAAAAAAATTAGATTTGGGAAGAAGAAGGTTTCTTTAATGGAGTTTGAAAACCTAGCTAGAAATAGAAATTAGGTTAAACTATGATATATTATATTATATATACCGTGCGATTTCATCCCACAAGGGACCTTTTTGATTGGCCTCCTTGAATTTGGAATCAAGGTTTGATCTGATCTCAAGGAGAGCTAGTGTCTCTTGCCGTGGCCACCTCGCCGTACAACCACCGTCTCCGCCGCCAATTGCACCACCGGCGGCATCCATCTCGAACGACACACTCAAGCCCCGGGCGGCGGCGGCGCTGCTGGGCTCACCACCACCAGCGCTAGCATTAAGTACAATATTGGGATGGTCTGAGCCAAACATGAGCATATCATAGGGGTGGGGTGAAATCAAACCCCGGTGGTGGTGATGGCTCGACTGAAGGAAGTCCGGCTGCCGGGATACTGCCGGAAAGTAAGGCCTGCCGCCGGTTATGTACTGCCGTAGATCTGCCATCCCGTATTGGTCTTCCATGTTGTAAATTATTAGAGAGAGAGAGATAGAATCGAATCGATCGAACACACACACAGTAAACGTTTTAATTAGGTTTAGTTGGATGAGAGAGAATTTAGAGAGAGAGAAAAGAAGAAGGTAACGGTGAATGGGAGAGCGGTAGACCCGGATCATGTTATTACAGATAAAAAAGGTTTTAAAGTCGTGTAGAGGACGATGGACCCATTTCTCTGTTCCCCTAGCTCTCCCATATCAATGTACATCTCTCTCTCTACAACTATACAATTCTCTCTTCTTTCTCTCTCTTGTTTATCTATCCATATTTCTTCTGTAGTGTAGGGTTTTGGAAAACGTACAAAATTGACGCAACCTACCTAAGTTAAGTATTGGGGTTTCATTTCATTTGTACAGTAAATAGTAAATACATACATATATATTTTAATGGCGATTCTCTCCCTCTCTCTTTCTCTCTCTAGTTTCTCTCTCATCAAAAAGTAAGGATGAACAGTGAGTGCTCGAAATCCCACAATAGAGAAACTGTTTCTCTCACACATACTGACACTCGGAAAGAGGTTGTGGCCAGGAGCCTGTACTGATCATCTGAAACACGAATTCAATACGCTCATACATATATATACACATATATATTTGTATGTATCTACAGTAATAAGATTATTATATATATATTATTGTGATTTGTGTGTTGTCTCTTCCTAAATGAACTGATTCTTTGTCTGAGATTTTCGCATCTGGAGGATGCACACGCATTATGACGTCATCACTAATCAAAGAAGAATGATGAGTCTTACTAATTAATTAGCTCTATCACTCATTCAATTTTGCTTAAGTTTTGATTTTTATTTTAAACATAATTAATGCCTTCTCCTCTGCTTATTCTTTTTGTTCCTACTATAACCCTATTATACCCACTGCCTAATTAACAGTGTTACTATATGCAAATACCTCTCTCTCTCTCTCTCTCTCTCTCTCTCTCTCTCTCTCTCTCTCTCTCTCTCTCTATATATATATATATATATATATATATATATATATATATATATATATATATATATATATATATATATCAACAGCACTTCATTTAGATACATACACGATGAGTGTACTAAAATATATAAATTAAATTATGTTGAAATAAAGTAAGTAGATGCGTACTATATATATAATATAAAAGAACTCTGAAGATAAATTTTATTTTTTTATATTTGTCTAACCTTATATAAAGTTATATAGAACGAATAAGATGAAAATAATTTCTTGTAATAACTTAGTCATAACTCATATATGTATAATTTTTTTGAGGAATAGTTTATTTATAATACACTATTATAAATATATATGTGTGTGTGTGTGTGTGTGTGTGTGTCTTGATGAGACAGATATTTATATGTATGTTGAGTAACAGCTCCAAGCAGGCGTGACAAAAGTTTGGTATGAAAACTGACAAATATATATTCGACATTAATGTTTGATTTTGATTGAAAGATATACATTCAATGATATAAGCTGTTTTTTTGTTGATTTTAGTTATACATATTTTGCTGTATTATTAATTGCAAAGAAGGTTTAATTAATTTCTTTTAGGGAGAGGTGTTTTGAATGATATAATTTATATTGTACTCGTCGAATTATGTTTGAATATATTAATGAAAAGTAAATATTAATTAGTTAATGTTTGAATATTGATTTTGAATGTGAAAAAATAACCTTGGAAAGGCCTTCGAAAATCCTTACATACATATTAGTTTCAAATAATGGAATTAATAATTGGTGCTGCGAAAAAAAAAAAAAAAAACTTACAACAAAAAAACAAATGTATAGTACTTTTAATTTTTAAATGATTAAATATAAATTTTTATGGTGGGATTTTCTTAAAAAGACAAAAAATAAATTGTGGTCACGCAGAGGTCATGACGGTTATTTTGGACTTCTCTAGTATGTTTATATATAAGTTATAAGCTTTTAATTTGAATTCCACTAAAGAACCTAAAACTATAACCTAAAGTTCAAATAAAAAATACCGAGAATATAAAATGTTGATGTAAATAAATTATAGGATTTTTCGTGAATTGGGTTGGTTGATTATTGACCATTACACCAACTCAATTCAACTAACCAATTAATGTAAATATTGAAAACCATTATTCATCCAATTCAAATAAAACCTAGCGCTTAGCACAGCAAAATAAATAATAATAATATAATAATAATAATAATAATAATAATAATAATAATAAATGTGAAGAATTGAAATTAAGGCTATGGTGTTACTCTTAGGAAGGGTGGCCCAAGTTTTGTTGGTCCTTTTCTAGGCTGCCCCATGTGAATAGGGAGGTTAACCCCCCACCCCACATTCATGTACTATTTTTTCACTTTTCATTTCATTTCATTTCATTTAACACGTACAATTTCCATTCTCCGTGTAAATTGCATTTTTCATTTCATTATTTCAATTCCACCAAATTAAAAATGGTGTACGAAATAAATTCAATGATATTATATAAAGTAGATTTCAAATACACTAGTGAAGGAAGACCTATTTGCCACTAAAATCCAAAATAAAATAAAAATGTTGAGAAATAAAAAATAAAATAAATAAATAAATGAAGTGATGAATTGTAAAATAAATATATTTATATAATAAATGAATAGTGGCCCATAATCCAAGCTGATCAGGTGCTGCACCACTGCCCTCCGCCTGACGCTTCCTCACCTACAAGTATTTATACCACCCTCTCACTTTTCTTCTTTTACCAAAATATAATTAAATTTATTATAAATAAATTAATTTCAATTGGATTTTCTATTTATACACTATAAAATATTTATTATATTTAAAAAGACTGTCTAAGAAAGTGGAACAAATTAAATAAGGTCAAAAAAGGAATTGATTAGTGGTCGGAAAACATTTAATTTTAGAAATAAACAGGGGACCTCATTATCTCAATGTTGTCTAATCGCTATACCCTGGGAATGAGTTGTCAACATAAAAAAAAATTTAATCATTGTACTTAAGAAAGCCATGGAACTAAAGTGCGATTATTGTTTTGGTCGAGATAATTAGTCAAACGTTTAAATCGTTAATGGTCCCGAGTATGACACGTTTCAACTTATGAGTGGCTTCACATGTATACTTTTAATTTTGTTATTTCTCCTGTCCAGTTAGACCTATATAAATTAATACGTTTGGGACTATTAACATTCTATTAATCTAGAAGAATATTAAACTATTGCATTAACAATTTAACTAGCTTTCACCAAGTTGGGACGGAGGAGAATATTAATTAGGTGAAATTAAATAATTTATCGAGGTTTTACTATAAATTTCTAACATTTTTCTTATTTGAATAAAAAATAAATGGGTTTAAGGTAAATGGATATGTAGCCGAAATATACGTGGGCCTCATGTTAGTATAATGGGCCGTATTTTGAGAAACAATTTAACTAACGTGGCCATAAATCAATTTATCTATTGATTTATTTTTATGAAATATATACCTAAAATGAAATTGTGAGATTGTCTGCCGAATTGGTGTGACAGCCCATCAACTTGAAGATTTCCAAAAAAAATAAAAAAAAATACACTATATAAATACACTTGTGTTCCCTTGGTGCGAGTCAAAATCCATGTACCTTACAAACCACTTTGTCATCATCCGTACAATTGGGAATATATATAAATATGATTAAAAAAAATATTAATTCGTGGTGTCAACAATATTTATTTTTTTCATCAGTAATAGTTCATTATTATTGTGACTATTTTTTTGGGGTCACTATATAATACGTGTTGTCCGTACTGAAATCTAGTGTTTGTTAATTCAACTAACTCTCTCAAACTGTGCACAATTGTTTTAAGCAATTATTACACATTACACAAAACATCCTAATTCAGGAATTAAAGAGACAGATGGTCACGTTTGAAGAAATTATTGCTTAATTACATTCACGGAAGATAGCAGCAGCTTCTTTATTAATGGAAACACCACTGCTTTATAGAGATTACAAAGACTCGTAACACTAGGAGAAATCTCTTTCTCTTTAATTTATTTTTCCCCATTTTTATCTCCTTTTCTTAATAAAATTATCCTTTCTCTTAATTTTATTTTTTAATTATCACAATGTAACCTTTGTTAGTTAGATCAGTTGACAATAATGCGAGAGGTCAAAATTGGATTAGACACCATATAACATCAACGTACGTCTCACATTCCATTTCCAGCAAATAAAACATTCTTATATTATTAAAAATAAAATTAAAAAAAACAAAAGGTACGTTGAGATATATTGAATCACTAACTCATGAGTAGTACTGTTATATATATATAGTGTAATAAATAAATTAATCTCCATCAACAACAGTATAATTAACCCAACCCAGAAATCCATTAACCCAGAAATTCACAACTGGTTTGCACTTTGTAATTTCTTCTCAACTTGCCCTAAAATTATTCAGACAAATTATTCTTAATTACTCTAAAATTTTCACAGTAGTACAGCAAGGCAACACGTATATATAAATCTATATAAATGGAATCAGTATCACCATTTCATGCATATGGAATATTAATAATATATATATATATATATACAATGTCGTCGTCGCAATCTACTGGAGGAAGCGGCGGCGGCAGGGTTTCCGGGCGACACCCGATTTACCGGGGAGTGAGGCGGAGGAAGAGCAGCGGGAAATGGGTATCCGAGATTCGGGAGCCGCGGACGCCGAACAGGGTGTGGCTGGGCACATTCCCCACCCCTGAAATGGCGGCTGTTGCATATGACGTGGCGGCGCTGGCTCTTAAGGGCACGGAAGCGAAACTCAACTTTCCCAATTCAGCTTCTTCTCATCCCGTTCCTGCTTCCACGTCACCGCAGGATATTCAGGCTGCAGCCGCCGGCGCGGCTGCTGCGGCTGGGGCCGCCGGAGATGCTATCTTCGGCCGGAATAATAATATACCCGAAACTGATGAGGTGGCGGCGGCGGCACGGTCTCATGAAGAAATATTCCCGGGATGGAATATTGATCATGATGAAGAGTTTGTTGACGAGGATTTGATATTTGATATGCCTAATGTTCTTGTGAACATGGCTCAAGGAATGATGATTAGCCCACCGCGCCTGGGTCCTTCTGATCATAATTATTATGGCGATAATCATGTGGATTATTATGATAATGATGATCATAACCTCTGGAATTATCCCTAATTAATTAAATGCGCACTGCACGTACCATACCTAAACGTACTTAATTATACGTCTAGCTAGTTCGAACAATATTGTTTTTTTCAATAAATTATAAGCTAGTAATTAATCTCTGTTGGAAGATTGACTACGTGTGTGGACTGTGGAGTTCTGGTTAATTAATTATATATATAAATAAATATATATATATATATTTGATAATCAAATATAATTATGAAAGTATATATGAGTGTATTGCAAGTTCATTAGATAGTTATTGTTGCTTGTAATATAAGATTTCCTGCCTCTTCTCATATGTTCTTTGCCTTGATAAGTTTTATTAATTGCACCTAATCCACCTCAAATATTTATAAAACCTTTCAGTATGTATTCTAGGGTTTGTTCAATGCTACATTCATTGAACATAATCGGATTACATATATACACCCATACATATTTTACCGCCATGCACGTACAATATGTATATATATGCATGTATGTGTGTATAAAATGTGGAAAAACTACCTATCGTGACTCATTAATTTGGTGTAACATCTTGTAAACCTATTTTGATTCTAGCATGTTTCCTCACCCAAAATAATCATATAATTAAGTTGAGTAAAATATATAGCTTTATCATATAGTTATCTAATTAGATTACTATCGAGAATTAATTCGTTGATCGCTTTTGTTGCATCAACGAATCATGATATAACTAGATTAACCAAGTATTTAATTGAGTTTTGACTAAAACGAAAAATTAAGCTATCGGGCTATGTTATAATTAATTAGTTTAGTCAATTTAGGAATTATTTAATCATTGATTTTCCTAGGGTTTTTTTAACAACTGTTACATTGAGTTCTGTGTTTCTTTTCTTACTTTCTGTTAACTCTCTCATTCATCGGTATCTTTTGATTCTTTTAACTATTTCAGAAATCGCGCAATTAGTATGACGAACATGTAGCGATTGGAGCTTGACCGTCGGCCACTGAATTTTTTTTAATCAAAAAATGAAGTGTCATTTCCGACCGATTCAAAATAAAATGTGACTAATAAGCTTAGCTACTAGAATATTTAATTTAACACAACGTAAGTGTTCATATTTAATTTAGTTACCAATATACATTTAAGTTTCTACTACAGTAGTTAATATTCTTCTTCCTTTACATCAGAAGATTATGTGAATTAAAAACTGCCCTCTTTAAATTTCTTTTTCAAATTATAGTTTTAATTGAGTCGAACAATAAAGTGTTTAAATTGACTCGAATAAAAACGAGTTTTTGCAAGTAACAAAAGAATTCCCCCAGAAACTACGCTTTGTGGAAGATCGCATCTGGGCCATGTAGTGCAACAGTGTGTATAAGGTAGCAATAATTTTGGTGGAGTAGGTAATTAGTGATAATTAGAGATTAAGCAAAAGAAAGTTAGCGTAATAATCATGTCTTTTGACTCGCTAATACGTTGATAATTAAGTCTCAACTGTTCATGGAGAAGATGACATCAACGATTGCTGCCTTTTGACAGTTGAAAGAGCAAATTAAATAGGTGGTTACAGCCACACTAACTAGTAATTATTTTTTTTCTTATAATCAATTATAATTACAAGAAATTTAATTGGTCCCATAATCATCTTAGCTTCTAGCTACTTGCTGGCAAGGCCCATAAGATACACAAGCTCTATTTAATTTTTTTTTTTTTATAAAAAAATAAAATAAATCTAATACATAAATGTACATAGTCAGGTAAACAGAACTCTCGTGTAATAACTCGTAAATAAAATTAGACGTGTAGCACTTGACAAAACCTTATAGATTTTTAGTTTCTTTGATTGTTGAAGAACTATCAAAATATAGTCGAATATATGAATTAAACAAAAAGTTAAATGATTAAATAAGGATTTTCATTTCCACATGTATTATTATTATTATTTTTTTATATAGACATACATGATTAAATATTAATAAATAAAAAAAATAAATAAATGGTATTGCAATTTTGCCTATTGTTGCCCTTCCTCCTTGACAACTCCTAAGCCAATAACATTTACAGTCTTCACTCTGAATCTCTCAAGTCTTTGTTCTTCCCCCTCCGCCTCCGATGTAAACATATCCTCACTTACTCCTCTATCCGACGTCGTTTTATCCTTCTCTCCACCTGCCTCTGATTTTCCGATCAACTTTTCCAGCTTATCTGAAGCAGCTGCAGGCTTTTCCCCAAAATCATGTAAGTTTTCTCTTATTAATCTTTTAATTGGAACTGGAATATTCTTATTGGAAACAAAATTCTCCAACAGTTCGTGCCCTTTCACATTGAATATGTTTTCTTCTTTTGATTCATGAACTGTGGTCGTACAATGTTTTTGAAGAGTATGAAGCCCATCCAAGAAATCGATTTCTCTGTGATCCCGAAAGTGATGGTGAATCGAGTTCAAAACCCCACCCAACATTTTCACGTCTTGATTTTTTTGCTGAGAGAACGGAGATTTTGTGTTGATTGGTTGAAACTTGAAGATGTAGAGAATGTGTTTGTGTATTTGTCTGAATGAAAAATGAGGAGTTGGATTATGGTATATATAGATAGATAAACAATCCCTTGACCTGTTAATGCAGATTAGTTTGACTAATCAACCTTTGTAAACATCATTTATTTATTTATTCAAATTTATTGATTCTTCTTTGTCTGTGGAGACTTTTTCAATGGTCAAAGTTGCTCAACCGGAGAGGGCTTCTTCTCTCTCACGTTGTGAGCTATTTTTTTTTTAACTCAATTTGCAGCCAACTTGAATTGATTATATTGTTGTTAAAATGTTAATCACTATCAAATTACGTAGTAATACACCTTTGAATTATGATTACCACCAAGGTTAGGCGTATATAACCATATGGGATTCTAATTTTGAATGTCAGTCAGTGTTTTGGGATTTGACCTTTCAAAAAACCAAAAATAAAAATAAAAGAGGGAGGGGGTGGGGGTGGGGTTGGGTAGTTGGGGGAGGCGGCGCAAAACTCATTTATGTTTTTTAGTCGCCAAAAAGTCATGTATGTTATTGTTTTGGGTAAATCACTATCAACCCTTTTAGGTTTAGGTTAAGTCAAATTACGAAAAACTACTCATGTTTGAGTAATTATACTTACTCTCCTAAATTATGAATCTTCTTAAACGTCGACCTTTGCGGTGTCAAATTTAGTGGAATCTTCTAGATTATATGGAATATTCTCCAATTATTACTCATTTTACTATATTCGAGCTCCACATTTTTTAAACAAGATAATTATAAGATATGTCTCTTAACATGTAAACATCAGATTGTGATGCATAATAAACAACATTTTTGCATAAAACGGGTACAAACTAGAGATTATTCCACGGAATCTAGAAGATTATGTTGAATTTGACCCAATAAGGGTGGACGTGAAAAAATGTCATAGTTGAAGGGTAGTTGTAATTACCCAAACATGTGTGGGTTTTCGTAATTTGATCTTACCTCATGCAATAGTCCCTAATTTACCCTATTCTTTTTGATATTTTTTGGATTTTTTTTATATGTTATTAAAGGGCATATGTGTCATCTTAATCTAAAAATCGTAGTTAGAGTACGAAATTCCGCAATTAAACATACGATGGCAATATATTTTAGTACATTCAAATTTATACAAATACAAATAATAAAATGAGTTCTGTTAACAATCACAATAAACATGGGGGTGTAAAATACAAAAAATCCCCTGCTCCTCTCTGTAAGACATTTATTTCCCGCGTAAATCACAACACAAACCAAGACTCCAACTATTACAATTTACAACAAAAGGGTGAATCAAAAAGAGAGTATATTTCATTCACACAAATAAACACATCGAAAAATCGAAAAACAAATTAGTACCGATTCATTCCTACGCCGCCGGGCGAACATAACCCAAGATCGTAAAATATGTCTGAGCCACAGTAAGAAGCAAAAGAACTAAAGCAGCCAACGCTGAAATAAAAGACCACGGCGTATTGAAATAAGTGTACTTAAAACTCGCCAAATGCACATGCCAATGGTTCTTGTAGTAATTGTTCACCTCATTAAACTCCTCCGTCAGATAACACATATCGATATCGAACGTGACATCCTTCCCCATGTTGTTGATAAACCTCGCTATTTCAGCATCCGTCCCGAAGTAATTCTCGAGAATATTCTTATCGCACAAATACTCGACGTCTTTTGCGGTGTTGATCAGGCAATCCAACAGCGTCGCGTACGTCGTCAAATGCTTGGAGCAGTCCCTGTGGCACTGCTCGTACGCCACGCAGTTCAGCAGAAACGAGCTCATGAAATCGTCGATCGCTATGGTCGGCATTTCGATGACTCCGTTCCTGAATTTCACGACTAGAAAGTTTTCGGAGTTTCCGGGCTGTAGATGGATGCCGGCTTTCCTGAGCTTCGAAATGCATTGGATGACGTGGGTGTTCGGGTAACGGGTTTGCTTCGGCTCTCTGTAGCCTTCTGGAATGAAACTCGAACGGAGCAAATCGAGCAAGTGTTTTCCGGTGATTTCGCCTAATTTGTGGACGAATTCGTCGGATCTTTGGAGGGCGTTGTTGAAGAATGTGAGGGTTAAATTGGATAGGGAGGGGCCGGATTGTTCGGAGGGCATTATCGTCATATCGAACAAGCGTTGGAGAACGAAAAAGGGGATCTGGTTTTCGAGTCGGATCAAATCCCTAAGAAAAAACGGGTAGACCCACGACATCGAAAGCAGGGGGTCGTCGGCTTCAAATGCAACAACGCCGCCGAATTTTCTGAAAAGCTCGACGACGAAGCAGCCATCGAGAACCAGCAATTCGGTGAATTCGTGGACGGTGAAATTGATGGCGGTGGAGTAGCACTCCCTGGCTTTGGATTCGAGTGGCTGAACGGATTTCAATAGATCCTCCAGAACCAAGGGTTTGGTTCGGGTTCGTTTGAGGAGAGAGCCGAGGAATCGCCACTTGTGCTCTTCGATCATTTTGAGGTTGGGTTTGCCGTGGTGGAAAGGGCCGACGGAGACGATGTGGGGCTGGTAGCAGCGGCCGTTGATGTCGATCAGGCTTTGGGGGACTCTGAAGATTGAGCAAGTGCTCCGGCCGGCGGATCTACTCAGTATCTGCGGCGAGTCGGCGATTTTCTGCTGCATAGAAGTCAGTCTGTCGACGTTGACTTGCCAGATTCCGGCGGGGCGGTCGCCGGCGGTTTCAATTTCTCCAGCAGAACTGCTGCCCATATCGACAAAAAAAGAAAAAGGAATATTCCGTGAAGATTGGAAAGTGGAATATTCGGTTCACGTGAAAGTAATCATTTTCATTCGTTCATTCATTGAAGAAAGAGAAGAGTGGAGGGGAGAAGTTTGTAAACAATGGAGATTTTTGTATTATTTTAGCTTACATATCTCTGTCGCTGTCAAAGAGCCAAACTATGATGACAATTCAGTCACTAATTATTACTAACTCCCTGTTTTTACTGTTTTACCCTTTTGTTTCATCAAATTCAAGAACCAAGCAAATTTCTTCTTGACTATAGAAATTGGAACGAAATTTTCAATTTCCGTCGATTTTGATTTCAAAGCAAATTAGTAACCCACAAAAGATCATTTTCATAAAGCAAAAATATAGACGCACTCCTATGAACGTGGAAAATCTATCGGATTGGTCGATTCGAGTAGAAATTGTAAGGTCATCCATAACTGTTTAGTTAAAACAAGAATTCATTTTGACTAAACCATCTAGTTTCCTTTGATTATTGCGGGGCATATCTCATTTCAAGATTTATCGACTGACTTGACCGGGATTCTATTTCCAATCTACTTCCGGTTTACAACATATATGTTCCGCTTAGACTCTCTTGAACAATATTTATTTTTCAATTTTTCCCCCACATTTAAAAATTTCGACACATGCATGTCGAAAAAACACAAAAAATCGACATGTATGGTAATAAAAATGGGAACATATTTAAAAAAAAAAAAACTTGAAAAATCGACAAGCTCAAAAAAACATAAATGGATACCTTAATAGGTTCTCCTACCATGTAAACTACTATTTTGTTCGTGAGCGGTGATGGAAGGTGTGTAAAGGAGCCGACCTCGCCTGTTTTCAAAGGCTGGAGTTCGAGCTCGAGCTCGACTATTAGTACTCAAAAAATAGTCGTACTCAAAAAACCCAAGCTTGAGTAAAAGCTTTTGTCGAGTAAACGAGCCGGCTCAGCTCGTTTACCACAGCTAGGCGATGGGCGACAGTAGACGGGTCTTCGACTAATGAAAATAATGAAAATGTTTTTTTTGATTTTTCTTAATGCCAAGAAAGGAAAATAAAACAACAATGACATAGGCCCAATAAAAGAAAAGTAGGAGGCCACAATTGGATTAATGGATCAAGAATAGGGGCGTGAGCACTTGTCTCTGATCTTGATGGGCCATTAGTCCATCCGTACAATTGGACCCCAACTCTACAAGAATCATTCATATATATATTATTTGCAATTAATTAATTTTGTTGTTCATCCATGTAGTAATACAAACTCCTCTGAGCACAATTCTTCCACCAACACTTCAAAAATTGCTAACTCCAGATCTGCCGCCGTCTCTGCCACCTGCTCCGTAAAGCATTTCCACCCATCTAACTCTCTCTTGAAATCCAACTCGATTATCTCATCAGTTAGTTTGCGATGCGAAATTTTGTTATCGTGTTTATGAAGGGTTGAACATTGGCTGAAAACTTGGTTGTTGACAAATGATGTGTCTGCTACACATTGTTTCCTGTACAGTGTCGACAATTGCGTCTCTTCTTTCGCGGATTCTACGGTTTGTTCTTCGTATTCATCGTCTTCGTCTGAAGTTTCCAGAAAGTTCTTCTCGAGCTCGATTGGATCAAGTTCTGCTAGTTTTTCAAACCTTCTAAGCCTGTCCAGAAGCTGCTGCCTTGCTCCTGTACATCATTTAGACCACAACAACATTTCATTGGATCCAATATTATTATTATTATTATTCATGATTATAATTCCGATTTTCATTTTTTTTGGGGTCCTTTTGGAACGGAATTAGAATTAATCTTTCATTTAAAACAATGGAAAATCGTGATTTCGATAAAATCCGTCCGATTAATTGTCACCCTAAATCGTTCCACGACTCCACAAAGTGTTAAATAAGATGAAGGTTAATTAATGATGAACAGACAGATAATTAAAGATTGAAATTTTGAAATTAAGACAAGAAACATTATAGGAGTGAGAATTAATACAGATCATAATTTTGAAAAAATATTCAATTTTGCGAAATTAAATTCCACCAACTTAATTATTGTGGGCCGTACATAATTTATTGAAAATCTTATCATATATTACCTTCCAGGCGACAAAATGAGATCACATTCAAGACAAGACTGATGTGCAAGTTATAACTACATGATTACTAAATTAGTAAATTATATATATAAATTAGAAATATTATATATATATATATATATATATATGATGAATGCATGCATGCCTTGTGATCAGTATCATAAATCCTACTACTACTACATGCATATTATGTGGAGCACAGTTGATTAAACTTATATTGGATGGAACTAATTAATTAATATATATAATTATTAATTACGTACTTTGAATATTCGCGTAGCTTCTGTCGAGATCGTAATCTTCGTCTGCATCGACGCTTTCATGTTCATCGTCATCTTCCGAGAAAGGATCTAACACAGATACTGGACTACATTGTTCTTTTTCCTCTTCTACTGAATCTTTTACCCCTGTGTAATTTTCTTTCTCCTATATATATAATAATAAAATATTAACAAAATAGATATATATATCCGAATTAATTAGCAATATAATAAATAATACTGTTAAGATTATTAATACAGCAATTTAATTGGAATATATGAGTGCTAATAATTTATAACATGGTGGTTACTACGTCAGTAATCATCATTAGAATCCAAGGAGGACTAAATAAAATTTAATTTTGTTCTTTTGTGGGAAATTAATTATATGCCGGGACAAAAAATTATCTTTAATAATAAATAAAATAAAATAAAGATTTTCTGATACCTAAAAAATTCAGGAAAAAACAAAGGGTATCTTGAATTCTTGATCTGTTGTATTATTGGTGGAATTGAAGCCAAAAATGTAGGGTAAAATAGTATATTCCTATACCGACAGCATAAGCGAGTCACAAAGGAAATACGTATTTCACCCAATCAATCATAATTTACCAACAACGTAAAACGACGCCGTTTGAATTAAATAAGGGGGTGGGAGAAAAAGACAAAACCTTATTTACGTGGCCAATCGGAGAAACCACCGGAGAACAGCTATCCGGCGTTAGATGGCCGGAGGACGACGACGGAGTTTTGCGAGGAGAAAATCTGAACGGGGTTGAGCAAAATCGCGTTTCTCGAATAGCCTCTTCTCTCGGTTCATGGCTTCTCATGCCACGCTTTTTATTCTTGCTCCGATCTTTCAGGATTTTCAGAAAAGACCCAAAAAACCCTAACCCAGCGATTTTCATCGCCGGCGATTTAGGAAGTTCTGACTGCTCGTGTTTTTGGATCCTCAGAAGGAAAACGGCGCCGGTGGGCGGGGACTTAGACGGGCTGATCTCCGGCGATGTTCTGATTTCCGGCGTGAAGAAACAGAGGTTGGTCTGTTTATTCAATTGGGAGCGCCTCTCTGCAATATAGGTATGCAATTGAAAAGGCTCCTGAGCTTCTTCCAGTAGCTCATGCAGCAAGTACTGTTTATGAGTCATCATCACAAACAATTATGGACTGCAAAGTATAATTATATATAAAGTTGGGGGGAAAATATGAAATTATTTTGAAATATGTGAATTTGAGGATCGCAGGGGTTTGAAAGTGGGAAAGAAGCTCTGAATACTACTAAAAGTGATGGCGAGAAAGAATGAGAGAGAAAGAGCCTCATGTATTATTATATGGGGAAAATACAGTTTTCGCCCCCTCAAACTTGCACAAATTACACATTTGGTCCCTTATGTTTAGAAAAATAAATACTTGTGGTCTTTTCCGTCAATTTTCCGTTAGTACTAATGGAATAGCTTGTGCGCGTCACTGCCTTAACTGAAGGAATAACGGTAAATTGACGGAAAAGACCACAAGTGTTGAATTACTGAAACATGAGGGACTAAATGTATTTTTTTTGAACATGGAGGACCAAGTGTATAATCAGTTCAAACTTGAGGGGTTAAAATTGTAATTTTCCCAATATTATATAGACCTTCCGAAATTAAAAATTGAATTTAAACTCATTGAGTTATATTTTTATTTGAATTAAAATACATTTTTAATTATTAAAAAAATGAACCAATTAGTATGAAGAGTTTGTTAAGGTATGGTGAAATGCATGCATGCGTGAAGAGGGCCGCTCCCACTATCATATGACAAGGCCCGTACAAATTACTGTCCATTTACTACTAACTTTAATTCAAAACCCAAAAGACATTTAACCCCATTTCCTATGTCCAACTGTCAGAGTCATCAATATTTATGAGGTACAAAAATCTTTTCTGATTTGAGTTGTACCATTTCAAAATTGTGTAGATTTGAGTTGTACCATTTGTAATTGATCAAGATTGCAAGAAATTTTGAAATTTTGGATTTTGAAAAAGTATGGAGTTAGGTATGGTGTTGCCTACAATCTTGATCGCCTTTTTTACAAATTAATTAAATATAAGTCGGATTTATATTATTATTTCCATGAAAGATGTCAACGAAACAATGTATATAAAGGAACTCAAGTCAATAGTTCAGTGAAGGTACCACTAAAGGGTCAAAGTCGGCCATGTACAAAACGACATTTTGATACACGGTTGATAGGGAGTTTCAGAGCATTATGGATAAACGAGACATAAAAGAGAATGTAGGGTTCTAAACGAGAGATAAGAGAGATAAATTAGATAGTATTTATGTGAGAGAAAGAACGGATAAGTTTACATAACATTGATCAAACGGATGAGATCAGATTACGAATCCTTCCACTAACTTGGACTCGCAAAAAACACAAACGGGCTTCTCTAGTAGTGGCATAAGTAAATGGGCTTCACTGGCCCATCAATCCAATGAGTAACTACAAATTGTATTTTCCCTGATTTTTAAAAGCTATGGGGGAATATGCCAAAAAAATGATTATCCATTTACACACCATATTAAGGAGAACAAAAGAACAAGAAAATAAAAGGGTCTTTTTTAAAAGAAAAATTAAAATATCTAATTACGGAAAAATCCACAAAAAATAGGCTTAGTATTGTTAACTCATTGGACTGAATTTTAATTCATAGCTACCCACTCCAATTGCTTATTCCGAAAATTCTTCATTCAAAACATATGGGCTGGGCCCATTATTCACATCCATTTACCCAATTATTATTATTATTATTATTATTATTATTATTATTATTATTATTATTATTATTATTATTATTGGCATTTGGCAACCAAAAAGGTAGCTTCACATGTCTGTGTATATAGCAAGTCTTCTCAACTAGTATGTGTAATAGAATAATAATAAAAATAAAATTTGCTCTAACTGTACATGTCAGAGATTTTTATTCAGAACAAGTGTCAGAGAGCAGATGCCAAAGTGGTCCCCACTCCTTTGTCGCTTTTCGTTTCCATTGTTTTACTCCCAAACTCACACTCATACACTATTATTTTGTATATATATATATTTATTATATTTTCTCAGAAAATAAAATTAAAAATAAAAGTATATAATAGTAAAAAGAAAATATTGGTACGAATTTTGGGATTGAAGGGGCCGGTAGTATTATTTGTTACTATTTGGTAGTATTGAAAAGGAAAAAAAGGTTGTGGTGGACTGGTGGTGGTGGTGGTGGTGGTGGTAGCTGCAGCACGCCGGCACGCGACACGATTATCCGATGTAATCTCTCACGTGTCTTCATGTGACTTATTTGATCGAGGTTTTTGTCTCAGTTTTATTTTATTTCTATTTATATTTTCTCCTTCATTATTTTCATTTTTTTGGTTATAAATAAATAAATTGAAAAGCAAAAATATCTGTAATAAAAAAATGAATTGTCAAGTCAAGAAGAAAACGGTAGTTAGGTGGGTCAGATGGACAGTCGGACCGAACCGAGTCATCACTTAATTTTGGAAAAGTATTTGTCTAAATCAGCCACCCACCTTCATTTTCTGACACTCTATCAGGTTTTTGGATCCGCATTCATTCCCCTCTTCTCAATTTACCATATTACCCCTCGGTGGAATTTTTTTGACAAATTAGTGGACCTTATTTATTGCATTTATTACCCCTTGTGAAAGTCACAATTGTACATTTGCCCTTCTCATAAAAAAAAACTAGCAAATACCTCCTTATGCTTATTTTTAGACGTCACATTTGACCCATTTATCTTTTTTCCGTTGATCAGTCGTGAAAAGACCAAGATACATAGTGGATGTTTTTGCAAAAATAAAAGCACATTCTATAAACTCATAAGTTTTAAAACTAAGGGATCAAATTGAATTTCTAAAAAGTTGTATATATTGAAAGAGGTTAAATTACAATTTTCAAAACAATAATTAAAGAAAAGGGCAAATTGCACTTCACCCTTTCAAAAAAAAAAATGAGGCTGACCCCCTTTAAAATATACAACTCAGGGTACTTTGTCCGAAATATGTATTTTTTGTCTAATTCTCACAAAATATACAGACATTACCATTACATTGTTGTAAATACAGACATCATCTTATATACTAGTGATTTACTAAAGAAGAGAAATAAAAAGTAGAAGAAGAAAAAAACATCTTATCTAATTAAAACACTTCCCAAGTAATTAACTACCAGTTAATTATGAAACTAGAGGTAATTAGCAGAAAATTAGAGCATAAAGCAAATGGTGAAGATTAAGTTGCGATTATGATATTGTCGTAACATGTGGAGGCACACAAACCATACTTTATTTTACCCAATGCACATGATTCTTCTTATCTCTGAGAATAACACCTAGAGGAAGAACCAATTTCTTTTTTAATTAAATAATTATATTTATTTAATTGACTGGACCAATCTAGAATATATTGGTAACTGTAATAACATATTTATAAATATAATTAATTATATAGTTATCTTGGGAAAGTAGTGGCAGTAATTAAGTTGGAGGGTGCCTGTCAAAACCAATATTCCAGTTTTAAAGAACCCTAATTGCATTGCATGTGTCAACTTATAAACAACACTTTTATATATGCTCATGTATTTCTATTATATATTATTATTATTTTATAAGTGTATATATATAAATAAATAAAATTGAAAAGGGTAAAGAGAAATGATTTTGTGATGTAGTAAAATGAAAGTGAGAATATCTTTTGTGATCAGTTTGCAGCTGATGAAAAATGAATAATAGACAATTTCTGTGGTTTTGGCTGAAATGGAATTTAGTATTGTCAGCTCTTTTTTTCTTTTTTTCTCATGAATTATTTTGACTTTTAGTGTACATATACAACAAGTAAAATTTTAATATATATAATATAATTGGTTCACTGGGGAAACCCTAGTTGGTAGCAGCTGCTTTATTTATAATGTACTATTCCCAAAGCTGCAGAAACACAGTCTTACCCCCCACACTTGGGCCTTTATTATTACTACTCTCTTTCTATTTTATTATTTATTATTTTCCTTTTTTTAAAAAAAAATAATATATTTCTGAACTGTCTTGTCTGAGTGTCTTTCCTTTTATCTTTCTCAAGTGCTCTGTGCTTATCCCAGTCGTTAGTCACTGTTCCTATGAATTAAATCATACATTATTGCTAACGGTCGCTAGGTCGAGTTTGTCACACATGGTTAGCCTAGTGTGGTTTACATCTCTCGTATGGTTTGCAAGCTATTATACGAGAGTGTAGGTTTACCCAGTGCACCTATATGGTTGGCTGCGGGTTCCTGCATTACCAAAAAAAAAAATTAAAAAAAAAAAAAAAAATCATACATTATTTCAAACATTTTATATATATATATATAAAATATATATGTAATAATAAAAGTGGTAATTAATAAGAAGTCAGTGTAAAAGACTTTTACCAACTGTGTCTTAACATTGCTCAACACAAAGCAGAAACAGTTTCACAACACACTGCAACCAAGAAGCATAACCACAGAATACCAGGAGGCTCTGATCCTTTGATATCTGCAACACTTATTTTGCCCCCTATGGACTTCAATTTCAAGCAATGGAGAAACCATTCTGAACAACAAGATGATCAAGAAGACCTCCTACATACATCTTCTAAGCTACCTAAACTTCTCCTTAACTCCCACCCCCACCACCACCACCAGCCGCCGCCGCCTGCTTCTTCTTCTTCTTCTTCTGCACTGCCCTTATTTGTTGTCACTGAGCCCAACACCAACTTGTCAGCATCTTACTCTTCTGATCATAATTCCACCACTACTACCAAATTTCCCAGTATATATCATTATAACCTCTCTCTCTCTCTCTCTCTCTCTCTCTGACACACTCACACACACACACACGCAAGCTAGCGTTTTTCCAGACAGTGTTTTTTACTTGCTTGGTTTTGTCATTTGTTTTATAGGGATGGGGAGCAGCCATTTCAGCTTGACACAGTGGCAAGAGCTTGAGCTTCAGGCACTGATATTCAGACATATGATAGCCGGTGCTACTGTACCACCGGAGCTCCTCCATCTTGTCAAGAAAAGTATCATCGTCAACTACCCACCTTCTTCTTACCACCACTATTACCCCCATTACCAGCCTGCCTGTATGATGTCATATATTTTTTCTAATTAATTAATTTTGAGATGTGTTTGATTTTGATTTCATTTCTTTTTTTATGGTGGTGGATGATCAGTGCTGCAATCTGGGTACTGGGGGAAATCGGCGATGGATCCGGAGCCGGGCAGATGCCGGCGCACCGACGGCAAGAAGTGGCGGTGCTCGAGGGACGTGGTGGCTGGCCACAAGTACTGCGAGCGCCACATGCACCGTGGAAGAAACCGTTCAAGAAAGCCTGTGGAAATCCCCACACCCAAATCCAATCAAGGAGCTGTGTCCGCCACCAGCACCGGCACCGGCGGCGGGTTCCCTCGTTTCACGCTCTCGGCGCCCTCCGATCTTCTTCACCTCAACCAGAGGTAACTAATTAGACAACACCACGTACCACAGCTAAAAATTGGTTCTTTACACATTATCCAATCACAACTGATTAACCCACAATTAGGGTTGTATTAATTAAAATTAAAAGGGCAGGGGCAAAGTGTAATTAAGCCTTGCTCCCCAAAAGGAAGAAAGTAACTAAATCATGATCAAACTCCAATCTAATTGGTTTGATATGTTGAAACAACTTTTATCATTGTATAAAATGTTTGGAGGGGTCCTCTAAATTCAATTCACTGTGTCTGTGTCTGTGTCTGAATTGGAGCGTATAATATATAGACCCACCATTTGTCTTGGTGGTGGGCCCCCACCCCCGCTTCGATATTTTTTGATTGTGCTCAAATCTCAGAATCAACCCCAACCAGCTGTTCTTGCTTCTCCCCCTAATTATTAAAGTTTTTATTTTTTTTTCTTGCTCTAACTTTGGCATTAAAAAGTGATATTTGTAGGCCTACAAACTCCATTATTGAGACAAAGGTCCACCTTCAACAATCCCAAACCAATAATAAAACCCTTCGCCATTTCTTCGACGACTGGCCGCCTAAACCACTCGGCCACGAGGATGATAACTCGATGATGACATCATCATCGTCCACCAAGTTGTCTATTTCGATGCCCGAAAACCCGTCTTCGGATTTCTCGTTGAAACTCGGCACCGGCGGCGATGGTGGCGAGGCGGCAGGTGGCAATCGTGTCATTGTGGACGAGAATAGTAGTAGTAGTAGTCGACTTAATTGGGGGATGATGACGTGGCAGAATAATCCGGCCGCTCCTATGGGCGGGCCCCTTGCCGAGGCGTTGAGGTCGTCGGTTTCGAACTCTTCGCCGACGAGCGTGCTGCATCGGTTGCCACCTGGCGGTGCCTCCCAATCTAGCTATGTTTAGTTAGTTCCTATAAATGTTTTGCTTTTATGATCTAGCTTTTTGCAGTATGTGATTTCCCTTTCCTTATCTGAACTTTTCTTTTATTTTTATTTTTACTAATTTTTTTTCTTCATTTCTTGCAATCTTGTGAACTGTGAAAGTGTGACAGTGTGTAAAATGTGGTGCTATAATTTTCAATGATGTTTTTTTTTTCTATCTGATGACAGCTGGCAGACATGGCCGATTCTCTAACAAGAACAAAATAATTATTTTACCAGTATTAGTTCCCTAACTAAATATGAAGAGCTAAAAATCAGGACAAAAGCTTATTCCTAATTATCTCCTCTGGAAATTCAGATACCTGATTCCCAAAGCGAAGACTGTGCCAAAGAGGAGAATGAAAACGAGATGCATGATACCGATAATCGGAAGAAAATGGTGTTCGAAACCTAGGTTTTCTTTAAGATAAGACTTGACTGTCATAAAACCAACACCAGGAACCTCCACTTGAGAAGTTAACTCACCGATTTGAGACACCACCATCCCGTATATCGTCCATGCCACCGGTGTACCCCAGTAATACCACCTCCACCATATCGGAATTTGCTGCAACAATCAATCCAAATATAATATTTGTCACCTTCGTAAATGGTGATTATGATTAGGGGTGGAAATGGGGCGGATCGGATCGGAATTAGCATTTTCAGAAGGAAAAAAAATTTAGATTTTTTTTTCATAAAATTCTAAATTTTTGGTAACCTAAAATATAAAATACATAATAATTTTGATATTAAAAGTGTAATTTTCCGGAAAATGTTGGGATTTTTGGAATTATTTTCAAAAATTAAAATCTGGTCCGAAATTGGAATCTGATAAATATTCCAAATCACAATAAAAAAAAATCGCAAAAATAAAAAAATCGAAATTTTCTGAATTCAAAATACAAAATAATGTTACGAAATGGGACAATTTCTGATTGGACTCAGCGTGATCGGAAATTCCGTTCCAATTTTTTTCCCCTGAATTGATGATTGATGATGTAAAGTGAGTTAGGTCATGTTTGGCTGAAACAGAAACTTACCGTTCTAGGAATGAGGAAACCCGAGAACAAGTTCCATAAGCTGAGGAAGAAAGATGCCATGATAGCGCCAACTTGGACACCGGGAGTTAGGGCAATAAGCATCATACCGTACAATGTGAGGTAAACGAAGCACGTGAAAATGAAGTAGTAAAACCAAAGAAATTTTCCAATCCTCCATTCAAATCCAATCATTGAATACAGAATAAGTGCGTAAATTACTGTCTGAGCTGCTATGTATAATGTCTCTACCGCCACCTATGCAGAAAGATCCCAAAAAACAAAAAAACACGACGAATATGTTTACGAGAATCATTCCAACATTTAATCGAAGGAAATTAATATGGGTACCTGAGAAAATGCGTAAGGCAAAGCAGAGTACATTCCAGCAGCTTTTTCACGATAAAAAACCGTTCGCTCTATCGCAACAACACCTTGTACAGAAGTACTATTTGTGGCTCCGAGGAATATAACAGCAGCATAAATAGCTCCCAAAAGGTTTTGAAGATCTTGTTGTTTTTCTCTGTTTTATTAATAGACAAAAAATTTAGTCCGTCTCGATTTCATTTAAAATAAAGATAGGAAATTTAGAATCGATCTTACATCTTTTGTCCCTTGTTCCAGAAAATGACACCGAATATAACACCAATCGCAATGGTGATAAAGAATCTAATTGCGTTGTACTGTGGATTCCTCCAATAGGACCAAAACTGCTTCCAAAGACAAGCTTTACACTGGTTGAAAAATGGTTGAGAATATTTCGTCGAGAAATGGAGGTCGCTTGAACCTGGTGGAGGGGTGCTCAGTTCGTTTATAAGTTCTTGATTCCTCCTGATGATTTTTATTTAAGACGAATATAAACTATTATTATTCATTAACAACAAATATGAACTCTATTTTCAAGCTTCCTCTGTTTACGTACTGATAAAGAGACGAGTTAGCGTAAATATCAGCAAAGTCAACCCCGAGTTGACTCTCAGCTGATGGAGTGCTGACATCCAGCATCCATGTAGCTGGATTGTAACCATGGTCAATCTTGGGAACCCCAGGAATATCCTGGACACATGATATATATAAAAAATAATATATTTATTTAGTACAAAACAAACATGTGTTTTTGATGTCTATAAATAGACAAAGTTGATATAAAAATAACTCACCTCGAAATATTCGACCAGTTTCTGAGACTGCCGGCCAAGTGGCCCCCCGTAAATGACTCTCCCTCCTCTCTTCATCAATAGCAACTGCGGGCAAAGCTCGATTATTACAACTAACCAAATTAGACCGTGATTTAATAGAAAGAGTATTAACGACTTGATTAAAGATCCTTTACTTCGTCAAAAGCTTCGAATATATCTATGCTCGGTTGATGAATTGTACAGACCACGGTTCTGCCTGTATCTACGGTACTTCTTACAGTACGCATTACTATAGCAGCAGCTCTTGCATCAAGTCCAGAAGTTGGTTCGTCCATGAAAATAATCGATGGGTTAGCCACTAATTCTACAGCAATTGTTAGCCTCTTCCTCTGTTCAGTCGAAAGCCCATCAATTCCAGGTAGACCAACTAATGAATTTCTTATCGGGTTCAGCTCAACTAATTCCATTACTTCTTCAACAAACATCTTTTTAAAAAAAAGTTTAGAGGGTAAAAACGAAAAACAAGAAAATGAAGTAGAATGTATATGATAGTGATATGAATAAATAGATAGATAACCTTTCTTGCGTCTTTCTTTACTTCTACCGAAAGGCGTAGCCATGCAGAGTAAAGAACGGATTCGTAAACTGTAACATTAGGAGAATGAATATCGTTTTGTTCACAGTAACCGCTTATTCGAGCAAATGTGTCCTGGTTTTTGGGATAGCCTGAGATGCTGATGTGTCCTTCAATGCTGCCACCTGTCTTTCTGCCAGCTAGGACATCCATTAAGGTTGTCTTTCCAGCCCCACTAACCCCGACGAGTGCTGTTAATACTCCGGGCCTGAATGCTCCGCTCACGTCTCGTAGTAGTTGGAGTTTATCGCCTACAACTCCTGCTTTCATTTCCTGTTTGAAAAAAAATAAAAAAATGTAACACCAATAAAAAATTTAGTCGTCTTGTTTATAACTATGATTATTGTAGAAAACGCGAAAGAAAAGATGTACTTACTGCTGGCATATCCACGTAGTAGTTCATGTGGTTGAAGACAAGTGACAGAGGCTGAAATGGTAATAGCATTCCTTTTTTAGTTGTCTGATTATTACCATCATTGTCATCGTTTATTCCAGTCGTTTTTTTGTCGTCACCATTGTCCAATATTAAAGTGTTTGAATCACCCAAAGCTGAGAATAGATCAGCCTTTATATTCAGACAGAGATCCCCGAGCTCAATTTTTCGAATTTAATAACGAAATACAAACTTACGTTTCAAGAAAGTGAGCGCTGCGATAAATAAAATGTTGAAGACAATTGAAAATCCTATGAGTGCACAAACACAAATCCAGAACATATAGTCTTCTGTGTAGAAGCCCCTCGATTGGAGGAGGACTTTCCCCACCGTTGGTTCATTAAATCGAGGATCTGTATTAGGCTGCACCGAATAACAAATACGGACTTTCAGAAAAAGTGAAAATTCATGATTTATTGGATAAATGAGAAACTTACAGCGCTCCATCTCTTATCAAGAAACTCATTCATGACAATAGCATTTTGACCGTAACTCATCGGAGAAATATAATAGGCCCATTTCAACCATGGCGCCAAGTCATCTGCCATCAAGAAAAGGGCATGAATATATCACCTTCAAATATATAAAAAAATAATAATAATTAAGAAATAAAAAATCTAAAATCTTACCTTTGGCAACTATAAAACCACCAAGAACAAAAACCACAAGCAAAGTAAAAGTCCCTAATGTGGTAGCAACAACCTGAGTTCTTCCAACTGCAGCAAGAAATCGAAAAAGACCAAGAGCCATCTGATGTATGCTAAAGAATGCCAAGAACTGTCGGAAGAATCTAGAACATTTCCATTCAATTTTTTTTTATAATAAAAATCAGTACATTCCTATGTCGAAAACTCAAATTGCAAGAAGAAAACATTTTTCGATATTTAGTTATTTACCGTCCAGCAGCTGGGGCAAACCCGATCGTGTAGTACGTGAGAACAATCCATATAGTCGATTCCAATATAGATAGTGGGATTCTCAGTATCCAAATAGGCAAACCAAAAGCCCAAGCAGGATAAAACAAGAAATCCCTCTGTTTATAAAACACCGGCAATCTAAAAACCGTCATCGCAAGTTCAGCCATCCCATTAAACATCACATTTATCAAACTGAAAAAAAGGGCGCCAAAATATTTCCCACCATCAGTCAATTCTCCATAAGGCATCTCTGTTCTGAAAAACACAGTAAAAGCAATAACAGCCATGATAGTGATCTGCGAGGTCTTGAAAATGTAAACGAACGAGTTTCGTTTCATAAGCAGCCATTCACGAGAGAAGCAAGCTCGAAAAAGCTCCCAATTCGATATCCCGTATTTCTCTTTCACCAGAGCTGCTTTGTGGGCTTTGGATTTATCGTAACAAACACTGACTTCTTCGGCGAGCTTTTGTCCTATGTGGAAAGAGTCGAATGCTTCGGCGAATTCTGAAACGGAGATGTATCTATATTGTATGTCTTTGTTGTACCAGTACTGTTGCTGATCCTTTCTTGACGTCACTTCTTGAAGAAAATCTGCAACCCCTTTTCGATCGGGGCATTTGAACCCCGTTCGCTCGAAGAATTCTAGAATGTTCTCTTTCGGGCCTTGGTACACGATTTGACCTTCCGATAATAAGATGACATCATCGAAAAGGTTGTATGTCTCCGGTGCTGGTTGGAGAAGAGAGATAATCATTGTTACATCCATTACGTGGACCATTTGTTTCATGTATTTCACGATTTGGAAAGTGGTGGAACTGTCTAAACCCGTCGAGATTTCGTCCATGAATAGAGCTTTTGCTGGCCCCACCAGCATTTCCCCTGTAATTACACAAATATATATTAATCACAAAAAAATAATTTGTTTTTTTTTTTTGATGAAATAGATACACTCAAAACGTGCATATATATATTATACCGGTGGTAACACGTTTCTTTTGTCCACCGGAAATACCCCTTCTCATATCATCACCAACCATAGTATCTGAGCATATGTCTAAACCAAGAACCTGTCATTAAGTTCATAAATAATTAAGGAGCAGCACACCAGAATTTTTTTAAGGAAAAAAATAGCAATGTAATAATAAGACAAACCTTGAGAACATAATCTGTGACGAAACTCGTTTTTTGTCCTGATATTGACGTAGCTTTCATGAATGCATCAATTTCAGGATCAGGGTTTATCCCGGCTGTTTTTTCACGCCTCGATAATTCTGCCAGCATGTCATACCGTGAGCCCACGCCTAGACAACGGCCGGAGAAATCGAGAGTCTCCCTCACAGTCATCTCCCCGTGGTGAAGATCGTGTTGACTTATATAAGCACATGTTCTTTGAGGAACAAACTCACTAAACTCATGCCCACAGTAAGTGATTTTCCCTGATTGCTGCAATGAACTTGTTATTAAACTATATGAAGAACAACTAGAAATCGAAACATAAAACAAAACAAAAACGGAAAACAAACCCTTAAATTATGATCAAGCTTTCCAGCGAGTGAGAGTAGAAACGTCGTTTTTCCTGCACCGGGAGGACCCAAAAGCAGGGTGATCCTAATAGATTTTGGTGTTCATTGCAAAATTAATATGGAATTAAATATATTATTTTTTTTTAAATCGGAGAAATTGTTTATACCTGGATGGTTTGACAATTCCATTGGCATCTTTGAGTATCTGTATCTTTCTCTTCTTGGAAGGGGCAAGCCGAATTAGTGCTAGGAAGCTCTATCATTATCCAACAAAATTACAGAACCAGAATCAGCAAATTAAGAAGATTTATATATTGATTACATGATATTAACAAAAATAATTAAATATACCTCAATTGAATTAATTGTGGCATTAATCAAAGTGGGCAGTGCTCTACTTCCCACATGCACATCTCCTTCCACTGCTAAATGCTCGTACCTTATTTCGATTTTCGGCGTTTCAATCCCCACTCTGCAATTAAACCACATTTTATCATGAATTTTCACACACAGTAGCACACACACTGTGTTTTTTTTTTCTCTGGAGCAATTCATCGATCACCTTTCGGCGCGGCTCCTAATACTTCGTAGAAAGCTCTCGTTGTCCTGTTCGACGGCGTTAAGAATAGTGTTCTTCAAAAGCCTCTTTTCGTCAACCCCAAGTTTTTTAACGTTAATTTCAGTGGTTTTGACGGACCCATCTTCGAGAACCTGAGTCAGCATGCTCCTTCTCAACCGATCGTATGTGGGGAGCCGCTCAATGGCGGCCCACCGCAGCTCCTCCTCGTCATCCTCCTCTCTGCCGCCGCGGCTGAACACATCCGCCGTCTGATTCTGCTGCTGCTGCTGCCACAGATCATTTAAACTCCGGCGGCCACTCGCTGGTCTCGCCAGATCATCACCGCCCGAGGCCATCGCCAAAACAGAGGCGAGAAATAATATTTGATCATAGATCGATCAAGAAATTGGTCTCTGTTTTTTTGCTGCGATTAAGGCAGCTGATAATTTTTTGCATGGGTGGCCACTAAAATCTTTCCTAGACGATGATTGAATGAGCGGCGGAGATCTCATGGAAGCTTCCACATTCATGCAACTATACTTGCGAGTCTCTCTTGTAGTTTGTACTCATTTTTTTGGGAAATATACTATTTATGACGCACCACAAGTTAATATTTACGAGGCAAGAGACATATCTTATGATTATTTTGTTTCAAAATATGAAGCTCGAATAGGGGTAAAATGGATATTAACACCACAAGGATGGACTGTAACAAGTTTCATAGTTAAGGGTGATTGTAATTACGTACATGATGATTCTTTTTGCAATCCGATATGTTGCTATTCCCGGGACATTTGTTTGTATGGTGCAACTCTCATTTAGCATTGGTGTATGTGATTATGACATTGGTATATGTGAATATATACAAATACGGATAAAAAACATCGGACGTAAATAACCCGGTGTAGCATAAAATTTTCCTAAGAAGACCAATTTTTTTTTTAACATTGATCTGTATGAGGGTGATGAATTCAAAGTTTATTTATATCTACCAATTTAGAATTTGGAACACTGGCATCCATCTTCCGGATTTTTCAGTATTTGAAATACAGCGAACTAAGCGTAACGATCAACACTTTCCAATACTAAATGGAAAAATAACAAAAAATTACCAATTATGTCTTAATAGTAACATGAAATAGTTGTAATATCATTGTTACACATCAAGCAAGAGGCTAATTTCATTACATTGCCATTCCAAACGAAGAGAGTGCGAGATAACGGAAGGTCACTGTCATCAAGTTTTTAGCTTAGCACGAGTTGTCTTACCAAATACTAGTCTAGAAAACGAGAAAGGTCATACCCTTCTCGTATTGTGGATTGCAAAGACTCTTCTCGAATTAGTTCACAAGTGTTTTATAGATACAATCCCTTAATCTCCGCTTGCACAACCCCCACAGCCACAGTGCACACATTCTATAACCTTCTCCTCTCGCAGATGCTTTGGCACTCGGCAAACACAAGTCGTCTGAAAGTTATGGTCCCTTGGCTGAATGCACCTCAGACAGCACAGCCTTTCATAACCAGGCTGCATCAATTCAAACACACAAACATGAGAAAACTACAAACACAAATGTTTCAACAAATAAAACTCGATACAAGTAATAATGTATGATTACAGAAAACGGTTACTTCTTTTATGTTACTTCCCAAACAAGGGTTTTCGAGTATCGATTACATTATTCAATCTGTCATAAACACCAAGAGACACAAAACATGATTGAACGCGTATTATGGACAAACCTTTTTCCACTTTGCAATTAAATTACGATCCGCATAGCCCTGGTCCAAGCAGAACTCGTATAACTCCCTGGAAATCTCATGCCTCCTGTGGTAAAGGTCAAAAACATATCGACTCTGCTGATGGGCTATTTTGAAAATAGGCCACAAGGCCTCGCATTTTCTTTGTCCATCGTGTGGGTCATTCTCAGCTGCCACCCAAAAAATAAAACAAAATCCGTACATAATCAAAACCAAAAACACAATAAAAGAAAGAAATCAAAGCGGTTCCTATTTTCTTCTAGACGTAGAAACTGAAAGGACGATAAACAACAGGACGTAAAGAAGCGAGAAAGATGTTCTTTATGAGAATTTCACAAACCTTCTCTCATTTTTGCTTGAAGTTCACGTAGGGTGGGTTCGATCAATTCCCATCCCTCTGGGTACTTTACCCTATTAGTCTTCACCTTCGGCATGGTTTTCTATACAATATACATGGAAATACAGTATGAGAAATCATGCTAAAAAAAATCATAAATGACAATATCTGCACTGTAAGTATACCATGGACGCATAAAAATCGTGACCTAAATCAGAAAGTAAATATTCGAGGGAAATTCATACTGATGAACTTTACTTAAAAATTTCACATATCCCGTTTCATCAGTTCAGTTAAAATTTTAAACAAGGTTTAGGAAAATCTTCTGTAAACGAATTCAGGACATGGAAGAAATTATTAAACAAAAAAACAAAATCTGAAGGACATAATTGGATGAGAAGGGATAAATTGATACCAAAATACCCTAGGGCAAAATTCATTACACTGTCTAACCACCGTTCCAGCCAAAAAAAAAAAGAAAAAAAAAAAACCACAAATAACAAAACCCTAATTCATAAATCGACAAAAAGTAAACACAGCAAAGGATCAATAGACAGTAGCGCGTGATAATTAGATAAGGGCAGAGGTAAATTACCAGATGAATTAGAGTTGGGCGACGGCGTCGGTCAAGAGAGGCGGGAGGCAACGGCGGAGTAGAGGAGGATCGAAGTAATCAACACTTCGAATATTTATTTACACAGGCAGATAAAAGTTGCGTTCTTTCCGTAAAACTACAAATAAGAGTAAAGGCGCGCGTGCAGTTTCTCGGTGCGGAAGCCTATTTTATGACGCGCTTCTTACCCTTTTTTTTGTCGGCTAGTAGTTATTACTTATTACCATGATTTTTTATTTTTATTTTTATTTATTTATTTTATTTTCTTTATTAGCATGATTTCAAATATACAATAATTATTAATTGATATTTCGTAGCAGAACCAAATTCGAAGGGGCAGTTTTTTTTCTACTGCTGTTTTTGAAATTAGTAAACAAAATGGGGTCGTTTTGAAGAGTGTAACCAAAGTAAGGTTCGTCGCCACGTGGTCTGGCGACTCCAATTAGTGCCGCCACGTGGCGTGGCGACTCCAATTATTTCTGCCACGCCGGATGGCGACTCCAACAACAATCTCTTTTTTTTTTTTTTTTTTTTTTTAATTCGTTTTTTGCAAATTTTTTTTGTATTGTTAGAAAAAACATTAAAAAAAATGTAAAAAATGTATTTATGAGCATTTAAAATTCTCAATTATCTAATTCACGCAATACAAGAATACATAAACAATAAATAAAAGAAGTTTTACCAAATAAAATAGTCATACAAAATAAATATTAACAACACAATAAAAAAAAGTTCTACAAAATAAAAGGTCATAAAAAGTCACTGCCTATGTCCACCAGTCCCACATGCAGGTGGTCGTCTAGTCCTCCGCTGCCTACCATCTCGACGAACGTCACGCTCTACTGGTACGTCATCAACAAACTCGGTGTCGTCCGCTGGATATGGAACAGGAGAAACATTATACTGTGGTCGAGCCCGCTCTTGGGGATTTGAGTATCCCAAGTTAAGCTCCAAATGTGGACTCCATGAAGTGAACTGAGTATCAATAGCAGGAGGATATGGGGTAGCTAGAGAATTGGACCATGGCATATCTGGAACATAATCAGTCGTAGATGGACCAAATAGATCTCTATATGTAGGTACCTGAGATGTAGACGCACCGAACATATCCATAAATCCATGTGTACCAGATAAATCATCCATACCTCCATGCATAGGAACATGTCCATAAAAAGGGGTATGTGAAGCCAATGGACCGACAACATCTTCAGCAGGAGGTACCCGAGACGTAGATGCATAATAGTTCCCCTCTCTCGTCTGTCTCACGTCATCCTCCAATTCGGCAGTGCCAGAGCGTCTTCTGGTACGTCTACCTTGTGTCTGAGAAGGTATAGGAGGAATAGGAGGTATGTTGGAAGAATCAGTATCTCTACGCAAAAGTTGAGTCCCAGCTGCATACATCCGTGTAGCATTGTCCTGATACCGATCATAAATCCGATCGTCATCTCGAGACACAGCCCTAGCAGCAAGACTCGTGAATATAAGCTGATTACCCTGAAATAAAAGACATTACATGTTTAAGAACTTAAAAACTTAAAAAAAAATTGAAAAACATCGAAAGTAATGGTTATTTTGAAAAAGATATTGACCACTAGATCCAGTAAAATCGGGTCTCCGATCTGAAAACCAATATCATCAAGATTGTCAACCGGCGATATCAAACGACGCGTGTGCCTGTCATACCAATCGTAGTATCCTGGGTCCGTCTGAGGTCCACTAATCTCAATAAATGGATAGTCAGTGAAAGAATCGAGTCGAGCATGCCATCTATCAACATAGATATTGTGAAAAATAGTCCAATCTCTCCCCACAGCACCTCGACGATCATAAGAATGCAACTTTATCTCAATATCGTGATCAGTAGGATGTGGAGGAATATGCTGTATCCTCCCAAACTGGCGCAGTACCCTAAGCAAACCGCAATTAGCAACTTGTGTTTGTACTTAGTGTAGAGATGAGTTCCATCCACACTAATAACTCTACGACAAAATTTGAATCCATCCAAACATGGCTTGAAGGCCCAAAAGAAGTATCTGATCATCTTTCGTGTTGGAATGTCTGTTGGTTTCAATACAAACTCGATTGCCGTATCCGGGTTCGTTCTATGGAGTGCCTTCATAAACTTGGGCAATTTGTTCATTGAGGACTCCCAAGTCCCGAATAAGTTCTCTCTGCAACGTTTCAAACCATACCAAGCTTGCATCCTTGAAAGTTGAAATCCCAATTGAGACCTAACCGTATTCTGTACTTGGGTTATTTTACAAGCTGGATCATCTCGAACAGATTGAACCATTAGTGTGGCAATGTAATTCCTGTCCAAATTTCTGTGTTGGTTCGACATTTCATCCATTATGCAATTGTGGGGTCCACTATATCTCGTAATCATAAAGAAATCTTTGCCAGATTTCTCAATACCCCGCAACGACCATCTGCAAGGCCTTTCAGTTGTGCTATGCTTGCACTTGACACTCCATATCTTCTTATTACTTTCGACAACTATAAATTCCCGTTTGGCAAACCGAATCGAATGGTCTCTCACCGCAGCACAAAGACGTTTTTTGTCCTCAAACACCATCCCAACTTCAAGAATACCTCGATCGCTGTCGTAAAACCTATCATATCGGCCCCTTCCAACATCTACAGAATCTGCCGCGACTTCTGGAAATGACATCGAGAAAAATGGAATTGACTCATACAACGTTGGTTGTTCCCCCGCTTCTGCCCCTATCCCTTCGTTGTGCTGCAACAACGTCTCTTGGACATCATGCACATCTACATCTTCTTCGTCATCAGTTTCATTATCGGATGGTTCCGAATTCACGGGACTGTTCGGCCCAAGGGAGTCTCCTATTGGGTCATCATCTTCGAAAATGTTCGGTCCCGTCCCACTCGACTCACCAACAAATCTCCCTAAATTACCATAGTTAATTGTATAGGGATCTATGTGGACCTCTCTCGCTCCACTAGGCTCACAATAGTTTTCGAACCCTAAGTTGGGGATACATTGTGTCGCCGCCAGAATATCGGGGGTCACTTGTGGTTGTGAGTTGTTTGATTCATTCAAATCAAATGCTTCTACACTCACTTGTGGTGGGGCACTATCAAAGTATCTCGGTTCAACCTCAACAAATACTTCGATTGAGTCGTTCCCTTCGTCTGGATCGATATACAATTGTAAATCGTCATCCGTTGTCATTTCAGTGATCATCTCCTTCGTTCTTCCTCCATTTAAAATGTAGGATTTGCAACACACTCTTAGACCAAACTGATTAATATCGACCTCTAAACGTTGATACAACTTCGACAAAAATTGAGCAAAGGACATGTCACGTTTAATTCGAAATATAGTTTTGTGGGCAATACTATATCTCGCTACCCAATCGTCGGGAATTATGTAACCTCCAAAGTACACGTACACTTTAACATTATTTCTAGCCGCCATCAATCTTCAAAAGATTAAGGAAATAATTATTAATTATTGATTTTTTAATTTTATTTTATTTAATAGAACTACAAATCGAATATACAAATTAGACATTAACCATAAAATTAAGCACTATAAAATCACACGTGATATGCAATGTTTAAGTATTTAATAATGGTTCATGAGTAATAACGAAATTTATGTTTTAAGTTTTTAGTGTAAGAAACTTTTTAGTGTAATATATGCATAATTCTTCTGACTGTGACAAATTTGGTCACGAATAAATAAATTTATTCAATGTTGCAATGGAATCCTAACTTTTAAATACATTTGAGTCATAGTCAACTATGCTACTAACTCTATCCTTAATGCAAGTGTTGATGATGGGTTTTTAATTTTTAATTAGTCAAAGATTGTTAGTTTTTATTTATTTTTAAGTTAACACATGCTATAAAATAATTTATAATTAAACATACATGCTATAATTATACAATTATGAATTAATTCAACACCCATGTTGTAATTAAAAATTAATTATATAAACATGCTATAATTAAATAATTAATTAAACACACATTCTATAATTAAACAATTAATTAAACCCACATGCTATAATTAAATAATTAATTAAATACATATATTATAATTAAACAAATAATTAAACATAGATGCTATAGTTAAATCAATATTTAAACACAAAGTTAATTATTTAATTAATAAACATAAAGAATAATTAAATAAATTATAACCTTATAGATGGACCGGACGACGACGGCGGCGGCGGCTGTAGGGTGGGGCGGCGGCGAGTTGGTCGGACGGCGGTAAACTGACCTCCGACGAGTTGCCGGACAATGGTGGGCTGTTTTTGTTTTTTGTTTTTTTTTGTGAGTTTTTTTTTTTGTTCAAAATGAGGCAATGAACGGGAGAGAGAGGGGAGAGAGAAGAGGGAGGGGAGAGAGGAGGGTGAGAGAGGGCAGCTGACAATAATTGAGGAGAGAGAGGGGTGGGGTAGCTGGGTAATAAATGAGGAGAGAGAGTCGAATTGCCCCAGCCGTTGGATCCGTTATATCAATCTCAACCGCACAAATATTTCATTAAAATAAAACAAAAACATTAATTCAAATTCGAGTTAAAAAAATAATTAATTAATCACCGGCTAAACCGAGTCGCCACGGCACGTGGCAGAAACACTTGGAGTCGCCACGCCACGCGGCGGCACTAATTGGAGTCGCCAGACCACGTGGCGAAAAACCCTACTTTGTTTACACTATCCAAAACGACCCCATTTTATTTACGAATTTAAAAAACTGCATTAGAAGAAAAAAAAACGCCCCCAAATTCGAACAACTTTTCCAGTTAGATAAAATATAGAGCTTCACTAAAACAGTGTTTGATTATTATTATTACAATAATAACAAGATATAACTATAAAGTTTAAACTTAATTCATACTCAACTTGGTTCAAAGTCGTCCGAGTTTCAAATTCGATCAGAAAATTAAACAATAATGCGTTTGACTCGACTTGTTTGTATTCGGATTAAATAAATAAAAAAATCTATACTCTTTCCTTCACAACTGTTGTAACAAGTTTATTACTGTTCCACACCATGACCAAGGTCTCTTTATGAACTGGGGTTCTGTGAGCCTCAACGTGGTGAAAGTCTAGAGTATTCTTTCGAAGCTTACATCTCGCGATCTTTACAATACTTAGGAAACATCTGTCAAGTAACTGAAAAAAGCATTTCATATATCAGTAAAAGATATAATTTATTACTCTACAACGGAACACGATACCAAAAATCACCGGTAACCTTTTACTTGAGGTGGAGATAGATATACATTATGGAAGCAATTCAGCATTTGATTGATTTTAGACTTACAGTTGGAACGTCAAAATCAGCTTCTCTTGAATCACATATATCGAGTGAGATTTTTCGGAGCATTGGCAACTGCATTAGTCATAAGAAATAATGAATGGAAAATGTTAGTCCGACCAGTACATCTTAACCACGATTATTACCCCAAATAAAGAGGTTCCTTATATGCAGCGATACTTACCTTGGAAGTAGCATAAGTGATGAAGTTTCTCGGAATCCCGGGTCCCTGTTCATAAAGATGAAAGTTGTAAAAAGACGAACAACAAAGGAATTTTGAGTGTTGCAAGAGAAAGGCAAGTGTTGCACTAACGGTGTGACGTAGTACGAGATCTTCAAGGGCATGACAGTCCAAAAGAGATCTTACACCATTTGCAGTTATTTTTCCACATTCCTGTAAAACAAATAACAATGTGCTGAGAAAGCGAAATTACTGAGGCATCTCGTAAGTCTTTTTTTTTTTTAATAAATAAATTCAAATCATGTTACAAATTGGGGAAGCAGGGACCAGCAAAAATAGAGCTACATACAAGGAAGTCCGCAATTGCTGCCCCCTAACTGCTCAGACTAGAAAATAAACTATTTTTAACTGTTTTCTTATTTAATGTCTGATCATGACCTCATCTTTTCAAATCTCCACTGATTAGGCAAGACTTCTGTGAGTGGGTTATTGTTAAGGGTATTCTAGTAACTGGTCCCAAAAGAAACTTTTGAAGTACTCATCGTGATTTCAGTGCAAGGGTCCTATCTCTAATTAAAAAAAATTAATTTTTTAACTCGTCTTCAAACAAGCCCAAAAACAAATTAGGAAAGAAGAGATCCAAGTTTGCCTCTTAGCTATGAGTCTTCAATAGAGATTCATTACTCACTTCTCTTCTTTTTGCTTAGCTCTTATTCTCTTCTTACTTCAAAAATTTACTCCGTGCCAAGAGAAAGATTCACATATTCAGAATAACATAAGAAATTTAGAGAGCAGAAGATAGCAAACCTCAAGATGAAGAGATGTCAACCCTGGCCAACCACTTGAAATTATAGCTTGTGCTTCTACAAAAGATACAAAAAGCAATAAAAATGAGTTTTAATTATCTTTTACGCTTGCATTAAATATAATTTTTGGCTTTATCAATCACTAATATATTTAGTTAGTATGAACTTACTATGAATTCATGAGACACAAGACACTCACCAGAATCAAGCAAGGTGCATCCTATTAATGAAAGCTTAACCAAATTTTCACAATTCTCAGCAAGAGTAGCCAATTCTCCATTAGTCATCCATGGAGTTACTCTTTCAAGTTTCAAGTTCCTCAAATTTGGCATCCTGAACTTAAAGCTTAATGGGGATATGTCACCGAGGCAATAGCATAGGGCTAATGATTGCAAATGTGGCAAGGTATTTATTATGTCAGTTATAGCCGAATCCGATATCACCTGTGAGCATATATTTATTATGTCAGTTAAGTGAACACATATTACACACCAACATCCATTAGCATGCAGCAGTCATTACAACGGAGAACATTCATACTAAAGGACCATTGCTAAGTCGAGATAAATTTCCCTGATTAGGCATATCAAGGATATTCGACATTATAGAGTTTTGAAAACACGTAGGCATTTTAATAGATAACCTATACCAAATAATATTTTTTTCTGCTCTCAAAATTACGATTCTAAGAAAAATAGGCGAGAAGAGCGATCCGACTCGATTTGCCAGCCAAAAACATCACATCGTTCCTTCAATCATTCTATCTGTACAACTTGCAGTGATGCTTAGTTAAAAGATATTAAAGTAAAGCTCTCAACATTTTAAGCACATCTGTTCTGCATATTATAACTATACAATTGTGACCAACCGCGGTAGAAATTCTTCAGGTGGATAAATATAATTACAACATAAATATGATGTTATAGTAAATCTACGGTACCTGAAAAAAAAGAATCAGTGTCTCAAGCAGTGGACAGATAGCGGGTAACAGCTTCAAGCCATCAGGGCCTAAGGATCCACCTAAACCAACAAGTAATGTTCTTAATGTTCTCATTGCTGGTTTAAGGGCTTCAAGAGAGAAAAAGGAAAATCCCCATCCAAGTTCAATCTCCTCCAACTTGCAGGACTTGCCTAGCTCATAGTATATTTCTTCTGGAGTATACAATGGATTAAACAGTTTTCTTTCCTTAGTTTCAGATTCCTGACGTAACAGATGTATACAGCCTCTTGTTTTCAGAGATTTCAAATCAGGATTTCTACGAATGATACGAGATAAAGCAGCAAAGGAAACCTGAAATTTCAGAAGCATGTATTTTTTTGTATGGCTGCATTTACTCGGGCTTGGTATTGCGACTAGTAAAATAGATAGCAACTCAAGATAACTCATTTCTTGAAGATTCGTGAAAGAAAAAAAAAAGCATCATTCGTACCTCAGTGTTAGAAACATCAAGCATCTCCAAGGAGACCCCTGAAAACCTATAAAGAGCATCATCCACAAGTTTAAGATCTCTTACACATAGACTCTTCAAACTATCTGCTCTAGACATAAGCTCAGACAAAATCTTCCCAGTTATTCCTGCCAAAGGAGTTAGTAGAATTAATAACATTTATTCCTGACAGAAAATTTACATATATTTTCGGCCAAAAATTAGTGGAAGTAAGACAGTGGGAGGGAAAAGTAAACAGTATATACCATGGCATCCACCAACGTGCAAGGTTAGAAGTTTGAAAACCATCAACTGCGAGTTATTTTCACTTTGTTCTGTTTCAGTTGAAATACCAGAGGAAAACGCCACAACAGAACCATTTCCAAAAGAGGTATCACACGCCAAAATTGATTTGAGTCTTTTGCATATTAGAATCATTTTTGATATACCATGGTCTGTGACTGATGTACACCCTTTAATGTTAACATAACTCAAAGAACGGCAGACCTCTGAGATGATACAAAGATCAGAATCTGTAACAAATCAAATTAATAATTTAATTTTGACAGGCTTAGCAAAAACAAACTCTACCTAATACAAATACTAAACAACTACAAGTCAGAATATCAATCACATCCAGAGCAATAAGGCTGCAAGATAACTGTACGAATGATAAGATATTAGGTTATTATGGTTGAAGTTGGTTTACTACCCATGCTGCATCATGGTACCCACACAACCCTAGCCTCATTTTTTCAAAAAGGCTTGAACCTGGAATTAATCCCGAGAAATCCAAGATCATAGATACATGTCTACAACCTTGATGGAAGACTGAAAACATGAGAAATATAGACCGACTTCTAGCCTCACCACCCTAGTATATTGAGCTTCATGTTAATAGAATGAAGAGAACTGCTAAATACCACTATTCACTAGTCTAAAGTCTGAAATTCTAGTAATCACACGCCTTGAGCCCTTGGCCCTCACATATATCTTCATAAGCTCTCGGACCTTGCATGAGTTCTCCACGTATTTCTCGTAGTTAATAAAAAATTTCAAGCTTTTCTATGGAGCATTTGGGGTTTGGGGGGAGCGGGGGAGAATCTTACCTCTTAAATCAGTTCGGCCCTCCAAAGTGAGTCTTATGATATTTGATACCAAGGGCTTGGATGTATAAAACAATGATGCTGTCGAACTTTCTGGTATTAGAACCGATGAAGATACCGCAATAGATACTTGTGCAGGTATAACAGGTTTAATATCCAAACTCAAGTCAATATTGGCAAGTAGAGGCAATTTTTGCACCAACTGGCGCAACTTTCTTATCTTGAAGTTTAAGTAATAAGCTGCCCTTAATGTTCTTAGAGATGGAAATAACTTGCAGAAACAATCAATTGCTGACTCCAGGGAAAGAGATGGGCAATTTGAAATATCCAACTCCTGCACTGCTTCAAAACTCAAATTCTGATACACTGCATCCGAGATCTGGAAACTACTTTCTCCAATGTTTCCATTATTCATGGAAGCCTTCTTAATGATCTTTCTCAGCATTGAATCAGTTTCACATGATGGAAGCACAGAAAGAAGAAATACTCCTGCCGTAATTTGTGGGCAACTAGAAACATCGATTTTCTGCGCAATACAATTGAGAAAGTGATTATTTAACTAAAGGAAAAAGACCATGCACCACGCACCCAATTCAAAAAGAGATAGATACCAAATTGACTTTCTCTAAGCAAGACCATATTTCAAAAACTGAAAGAAAGGGCAACGAGAGTCCAGAGTTTTAAAGAGATTCTGAGCTGAAGTAACCAACATATGCATTAAAAGAAATGATGTCCTGCACTCCAAAAACAAGTGTACTATCTCTTCGAAAATCAATTTTCAAGGAGGAAAACCTGTAACTTTTGGGGGTCCACGTTACAAATTACCCATATAAGCATGTAATCCAGAAAATGTCGAAAATATAATGTCATGCTAAGAATGAAGATAGAAAATTACTTGGGTATACTTGGTCAAGCGGATCCTATGTTGACTTGAGTCGCCTCCTCCAAAGAGGTCTGTTGAGTTCGTAGAAGGATATCTCGCAAGACTGAGAATAGTACTTGTTGCTTTATCAGCAAACTTTGAAAAGAAACCGCACCTTCGTTTTCCTGAAACAGTGAAAATGATGATATATAGTGGACAGGTCATATTGACGAGGCGTTCAGTATTCTTAGGGTCAAAAGGCTTCTATTTACTCAAGTAAGACAGCATACCGAGAGCATACCACAACGGCAGGAGGCTCGTACGTATCTGCTCAAGATAAATATGAAACGAGTAAGTGACGAATAAAATTGCACAGATTTCTATTTTATCAACCAAAGAGATGGAAAGGTCTATTACCTTAGGCCTCTATCAAACCTACTAGTAAACTAAATGAGATTTTATTTGCTAGTTACTTCCAAGAACTCTATGAATTTGTATTATTGTGACTCGAGACACTCAACTCTCAAGCCATATTCTTAAAAATCAACATTCCAAGTTCTATTTCCTAGTCTTTTAATTGTTTTTAACCAAATCCTGAATATTCTACAATTTTCAAATATACCTTGCTTTTTTGAAATCTAATGCTTCCACTTAAAATCAGTCCCAATACAGCAACTGGTCGTGAATATGAATTAGACATTTTAATACTGGATTGTGATTCGATATTCAGTGACCGACCTGATAAACATAGAAACTCTGGTAGTATACAACAGATACGAGCATGTTCCAGAAACTAACAGAAATTGTAGGATCAAGATTGTCTGATACTGAATAATATCAAGAAGCCCATTATCACGTTCCTCAATACCAGAGAGATATCATTCAATTTTATCGTTTTATATTGTGCTTACTTGATAGATCCCACGCTCGTACCTTGTCACATAAATCACTGCTACTCAAGCCCTCTGATTTTGTAGTGTTTGCGTTGAGAAAAACTAGAATCGCTTCACAAAGATGCTTCTCACTGTGAAAGCAATTAAAAGGAGCATCACAATGAGTTCTCTTTATAAATAGTAGAATAGGAAAATCTTCTAACCTGTCAACAGTCAAATCAGGATGTTGGATACATGAGTAGAGTAGTTTGTCTGGGACATCAGTGTATGAGTTGAATGATAATGCCCACATCTGCAAATATAAATTATGACGTTATCAGGTCTAAATGAGGAAAATGAGTATAAGATGACTGAGAATCCATAACTGTAATTTGTTAAAGAAATACGACCATGAGCACACAACTTAGAAACAGAAACAACAATAATTCTGAACAAGAGTCGAGTAATAATGCATCAAAATTGTCGAGTCAAAACAAAAGCACTTACAAAGTTCATAGCCAAATAGCTTGTACAGAGCTGCAGAATATAATCATTTGCTGCAACATATTCGACTTCCATCTATAAGACCGAGTTCAATAATATCGATAAAGAAATAAGTAATGCTCATAATTTCTTATACATGCATCTTTATCATAGTCTGCATAACCAAAAAGAAAACCTTACCAAGCTCCAAACCATACTTCCAGATGTGAACCAAGCCATCTAGGCATAGTTGTGGTGATTGAATCCCTTTGAAAGAAGTCACTTCTTCCAACCAAACTCGACACTTACAGAGAAGTGAGTCCACCCCAAAAAATAAAGCTGCCTGGGTATATATAAAAACAATTTCAGAAATTGTGATGGAAAACCTCCCAATATTAACTGAAATAGAATCAATTTCCTAATCGAATCAATTTCCTAATCACTGAATCCAACATCAACTGCTTAGATACAAAAGTTTTAGGAAATCCACACCAACAGATAACTAAGTCCTTAGGAGCTTTAATAAACAGAGTTGATAAGCGTAGAAGAAAATTACTATTTTATAAAAATCACAATGACAAAAGCAATCAATCAATTACTAATCAAAATGCTCTATCGGGTGAAACATAATTCATCAGCAAAGGGTTGGCCTCAAAGAACAGAAGTATTACCTCATTAAGAGGAATAAAATTATCCGAGGAAATTTCCACGTCGAATCCAAATACATCCATTAACACATTCACAAACGACTCCACGTTCCAATGTATTGATATAGAATTGAGCCTAGATTCACTGAAAAAAAAAATGCACAAGAACAACATCAATAAACGATAAGCATGGGAAAGCTTCATCAGAAAACACGTGATTATTACCTAAAACTTCCACCAAGGAGTCCACGGAAATATGAAGATTCTTCAATAAGCCTGTGAATTAAAAAAAAAAAAAAACACTTGATCGGAAATTTATTACAAATAGAACTAATTAAAGAGTATTGAATTAAGAGTCGGGTTGATTTTG